CACACACACACACACACACACACACACACACGCACACACACACGCACAGGTGTATTTCCTCTGTCACCCAGGCATGCAGACACGTCTGCTTTCAAAGCTCCAAACAGCGACTGAGAGAGTAAACCTGCTGCTGTTTGTTCAGATTTTGTTGTCACGCTGTTTATTTGATGCACAGGTGATCAAATCTGCTTTGGTAGGAAATAATTGTCTACTTTCTCCACCTGAGCCTGAACTGAGCAGCAGCACTGTCGCGCGTTCTTCATGTGTCAGTGAACGCACCACCAGGGGAATAGAGGTGTTACAGGATGGAGCCCACATTAGTTTACAGCCACCACCACTTCAAAACACAAAAGGAAGAGAAAAGGGGAGTGTTGCCATGGAAACAGCTCAGACAATCGCAATTGTCTCCTCCATCTTTGCAGGTCAAGGTAGCGGGTCTAACAGCTCCCTAATCTCTCCGTCTCAGGGCCTGCAGGGTGAAGCAGCTTTACTGGAGTCACAAATCTGCTGGAGTCATTTCCAAAGTGGTGTGTGTGTGCGTGCGTGCGTGTGTGTGTGTGCGTGCATGCGTGCTTGCATGCGTGCGTGCGTGCGTGTGTGTGTGTGTGTGTGTGCTTGCAAATGAGATTCTGCATTTTTATGGAGGAACGTGGCTTTCTGACATGTTTTACTTTCGGCATCCATCTGAGTTCGGCCCCAGACGAAAGACCAACCTGGCGTGTTTCTCAGCTTCCTGGATGTGTGTGTATATTTCAGAGCGCTAATCAGAACCGTCAGACCCGTTTGGTTCTGCTGGAGACGGATAGAAACCGTGAGCTGAGCGGCTCAGAGCGTAACGATGAAAATGGTTCAGAGCTGAACCGAAGGTTTGATGGAGTAAAGTCGAGAAACCGGGCGAGTTCGTCTCTCAGGTTTCATCGTGTGTAAAATTTGTCTTGTTTTAGAAATTTTTGCTTATATTTAGGAGTAAAAATGCATTAAAGCTGTAAAAACTGTCCATTTGTTTTCTATTTTGTCACAATTGTTTGTCCTGGTAAAATATCCGCATATAAATGAGAATATAGTCTGGACACGATTCACAAACAGCGCTCGGTCGTGGGGTGGAATCTGTTTGTCTCTCAAACTGCCTCCACGTGCCGCTGAGCAGCAAACAGAGACGTACTCACCGCTGCAGCCACCAGTCAACAAGGCAGTCCTCAGCACTGCTGAAGAAGACCCAAACACGTCCGTTTTCTAAATGAAGATCTGAAGTCCCTCTTTCTGCTCTTGACTCAAAGAAAAGCACAAGTCTGAATGTCCAGAGTTGATGCCAAAGCTGTTTCAAATGTGACAGCACCATCTTTGTTCTGCTCCATCACATCGTCCCGCCCACCAAACAGACAGAGTGCTGTGATCGGCCCGCCAAACAGAGCTCTGTGATTGGCCCACCAAACAGACAGAGTGCTGTGATTGGCCCGCCAAACACAGAGTGCTGTGATTGGCCCGCCAAACACAGAGTGCTGTGATCGGCCCACCAAACAGAGCTCTGTGATTGGCCCGCCAAACAGACAGAGTGCTGTGATCGGCCCACCAAACAGAGCTCTGTGATTGGCCCGCCAAACACAGAGTGCTGTGATTGGCCCACCAAACTGACAGAACTCTGTGATTGGCCCACCAAACAGACAGAACTCTGTGATTGGCCCACCAAACACAGAGTGCTGTGATTGGCCCGCCAAACAGACAGAGTGCTGTGATTGGCCCGCCAAACAGACAGAGTGCTGTGATTGGCCTGCCAAACAGAGTGCTGTGATTGGCCCGCCAAACAGACAGAGTGCTGTGATTGGCCTGCCAAACAGAGCTCTGTGATTGGCCCGCCAAACAGACAGAGTGCTGTGATTGGCCCGCCAAACAGACAGAGTGCTGTGATTGGCCCGCCAAACACAGAGTGCTGTGATTGGCCCGCCAAACACAGAGTGCTGTGATTAGCCCGCCAAACAGACAGAGTGCTGTGATTGGCCCACCAAACAGACTGTGGGCTGTGATTGGCCCACCAAACAGACAGAGTGCTGTGATTGGCCCACCAAACACAGAGTGCTGTGATTGGCCCGCCAAACACAGAGTGCTGTGATTGGCCCGCCAAACAGACAGAGTGCTGTGATTGGCCCGCCAAACACAGAGTGCTGTGATTGGCCCACCAAACAGACAGAGTGCTGTGATTGGCCCACCAAACAGACAGAACTCTGTGATTGGCCCACCAAACTGACAGAGTGCTGTGATTGGCCCGCCAAACACAGAGTGCTGTGATTGGCCCGCCAAACAGACAGAACTCTGTGATTGGCCCACCAAACTGACAGTGTGCTGTGATTGGCCCGCCAAACACAGAGTGCTGTGAATGGCCCGCCAAACAGACAGTGGGCTGTGATTGGCCCGCCAAACAGACAGAGTGCTGTGATTGGCCCGCCAAACACAGAGTGCTGTGATTGGCCCGCCAAACAGACAGAGTGCTGTGATTGGCCCGCCAAACAGAGCTCTGTGATTGGCCCACCAAACAGACAGTTGGCTGTGATTGGCCCGCCAAACAGACAGAGTGCTGTGATTGGCCCGCCAAACACAGAGTGCTGTGATTGGCCCACCAAACCGACAGAACTCTGTGATTGGCCCACCAAACTGACAGAGTGCTGTGATTGGCCCGCCAAACACAGAGTGCTGTGATTGGCCCGCCAAACACAGAGTGCTGTGATTGGCCCACCAAACCGACAGAACTCTGTGATTGGCCCACCAAACTGACAGAGTGCTGTGATTGGCCCGCCAAACACAGAGTGCTGTGATTGGCCCACCAAACAGACAGTGGGCTGTGATTGGCCCACCAAACAGACAGAGTGCTGTGATTGGCCCGCCAAACAGAGCTCTGTGATTGGCCCACCAAACAGACAGTGGGCTGTGATTGGCCCACCAAACAGACAGAGCTCTGTGATTGGCCCACCAAACAGACAGAGCTCTGTGATTGGCCCACCAAACAGACAGAGCTCTGTGATTGGCCCACCAAACCGATAGAGGGTCCTCCAACATTCAGGAAAAGTGAGCGACATTTTACAGCTCCACGTAAAACACAACAAAGGGAGTGTGGTGGAACAGGTGATAAAGCTCCGCCTCCTTTAGAGTGACATCACCCAGGAAGACTTACAGCCTTTAGAATGTGAAGACTGAAATCTCACTTTGGAAACTTTTATGGGTATTTTTACAATCACAGGATTAAATTTAGGATTTTTGTTGCGAGTTAACGAACTTTCTAGAGATCCCAATGCTCTGATTCCCGAAAGCCTTTCTACTACATGAACGTATTAATCATCACCAGGTGGGAATGTTTGTCCTTCACCTTTTCTCTGTCTCAACAACTGTGGGACTCCTGGTTTTAAGTCCCTCCGGAGCAAAGACTGCACCTCCAAACTCTCATCAAGTCAAGTATCTTCTCATTTCTTCATATTTCCTACATAAAACATCATAGAGACACTAAAGTGTAAACATGTGACTATCAGACCCTCCTGACCTCAAATGTTTTTTAGAAACGTTGATTTTTCATTGTCTCTGCACTTCTTGCCCTGTGTGGTTGCCACAGTGACCCTAATGAGTCACTGGTGGCAGCTTTAACATTACTTCCTTTTTGTGTGTGTGAGTAAATTCAGTGCGCTGCTGGTCTTTATTATCTTTGATCTTTTTGTGTTTGTTTGAAGGAGGAAATCTGATTGGATAATAAAGATAGATACCCGAATCTGAACACAGACGTGTGATAAAAGAGCTCAAAAATACTAAAAGTATCCAAGAAAATAAGCAGCTTTATTCTAAAAATAAGAGTCAGCTTTATTATGACACAGAACGACATTTCTGCTCTATCTGCAGTGTTTTAATAGAAAATCCAGACTTGGAGCTAATCTGAGATAAACCTGTGTAGCACTGCAGGGCCGTCAGCGTCGTCATTAAACACGCCAACGCGGGCTCTCGTACATCATGGATGTAAATAATTAAACGCGTGCGCCCGCGGTGCTCACGCTCAGCTCCAATCCTGTGAATAAATGTGGCTTCATGCACGGAGGAGCCGGATAATATCCCGTCTGATATCCAATCAGGAATCAAAACTCCTGTCGTCGTTTCAGAGGAAATAAACGTTTTCTGGCTCAGGACAAATAAAGTATAAATCTGTGTTTGATCAGTCGGGGCTGCAGCTGGAGGAGACTCTACGTCTCGCCTCCAAGATGCTTCCATCTGAAAGGCGCAGATTAAGCCTCAGAAGTCCGACAGCGACCCAAACTTCCAAAAACTAAACGCGATTCTGAATTTTAACAAGATAAGTCAAATCTCAGCTGACCTTTGACCCGGCATCACAGGACTTTATCAGGAAAGATGAGCTGCGGAAGAAACAAACATGAAAAAGATTCATTTTATTTTATTCCAACCCAACAGAAACAGGAATTTATTTTATTTCTCATCTGTTTATTTTGAGATTATCTCTGAATTTACCGACGTCGAGGAGGTTTTAGGAGGTAAAAACCTCGTTTGCATTTAAATGACGCCTAAAGGGAAGAATCACTCTTTCAAAATAAAAGATCTGCTGCCAAATTTCTAAAAGTTCAATCAAGCGCTGTTTTTTTAAAGTATTCCTCAAATTTTACTCCTGAACACATCTTTTTAAATTTAGATTTTTTTTCCTAAATTAAACACCTGAAAAATAAATCACCTGGGTGAAACTTTCAGCCAATCACGGAGCAGCATCTGTCTGCTGCACACCTGCAGGTTTTTTGTTTTCAACAAAGCTTCAATGTTGTGGCTCCAGCTTGTTAGATGTGTCCGCAGGTAGGAGACAGGTGTGTGTGTGTGTGTGTGGGGGGGGGGGGGGGCACAGGTGAGTTAACCCAGCTGTGAGACGCTGAGAGAACCTGGGAAGGTAAACCAAAGAGGGGTTAAACATCTCCCAGTAAAATGCACCACAGGGCGAGAAAAAGGTAAACAAGCAGGAAAAATAAACATTCATGAGGAATCATTTATTTTTATTTACATTGCAGCTGAACAGGTTCAATCTGGTTATTATGAAGTCATCATGTTCATTTGTAATTTACTTTTAGCCAGAAGCAAAATTATTACATTTAAAAAATATATCTTTTATAAAAAAAATACATTGCTGCTGAATTTGGAGCCTTTAAGCTGCTAAACTATTTATAAAAGGACATTTTAAGTGTTTTGTTGTAAAAGTTTTAAACTGAATCATTTTCATCTCAATGCTGTAAATTCCTGAACGGCCTCAGTTCAGAGAAATGGAGAACATTTAACTAAGGATTAATGTGCTAACAGCTAGAACCATGTTGTCTCCCAAAGCTCACAGACGCTTTTATTTTACGAATCTTTACATCAGAGTCAGTTTCACATTAAAGTTATTTACATGAAATTCTGCGTAAACATCAAAAGCAGAATTTTTCTCTTAAATGCATCCAGGAGTCGAATCAAACCAAAATGAACCTGATGAAAGAGTGAAGGTTTCTAAAACTAATTTACAGAATAAAACATTTAAACTTCTCCCAGTTTTGAAGCAAACAGGGATTTTAACACATTTTTACCTCACACTCGACCTCGAGTGCATCACACGTTTGTTTTAGATGCTGCTCATATTTAAATTAGTAAAGAAAATGTATTTCTGAAACCAGAAGGCTGGGATGTGGGTCAGCTGACTAGCCGTTAGCTCATCAATCCCAAAGAAAGTACATTTCTTTGAACATTTACACAAAAATGCTTCTAAATGGTAAAAATCCATTAAACAAACAGAAATAATAAACGTTTCTTTTAAGGACTAAATGCTTTTATTCTGACGGGTTTCAGCTTATTGACCAGATTAAGGCCAGGAGGCAGCCATGTTTTTACTAATCTGATTTAACCAGCAGGCAGAGTTAGGAAGTGTGTTGTTGTCCCTACAAACGCTCATAAACACATAAAAATATATATTTCTATTATTTTCTCATTTAAGTTACATCTCAACTATTATTTTTGGAGTTTTTTCCGTTTTCGTGCTTCACAAACCCAAACGCCGGCTTTTACAACATTTCCAGCAGAAATTCTGAGAAAAAGAGCCGTAGGAGATCAGGGAAGCAGCGCGGGATTAGAAACAAAAGCAGGTCCTGGAATTCCATAAACGTGTGTGTGTGTGTGTGTGTGTGTGTGTGTGTACATTCAGGTGAAGTCAGAATCGCAGGTCAGTAGTGTGAAGTGTCTGTTAGAGGATGCCAGAACCAACGGGACGGCCCCGTAACAGAATTCCGGTCAGATCGGGAGCTCTGATTTTAGTTTAATAAGGAGAAATCTTCCCAAATCCCACAGAAGTGCTCCCAAATATCCGACCGTCATCCCAGCTGCCGACGCACCTCCTGGGATTTCATTCACCTTCAAGCATCAAACAGAAGTCTGAGGTAAGCAAACGGAGCCTAAATGGGTCGGAGCGCCGAGGAAGACGTCTGAGGAAGTTTATCCGGTTTGGGAACGTGTCATTAATCTTCCCGTGGTCGGCAGCGAGACGGCGCTAAAAGATTTCATCAGGTGTCCTCGTCCTGAACTCCCCGCTGCAGCAGTCCTAGTGAAGCCTGAGCAGGGACGTTTGATGGCAGCCTGAGAGGGACAGAGGACGTCCTTCTGTCCTCCGGATGCAGATCAAACGGGATTCCAGGATTTTAGGGCCAGTTTCCCGTGTTATGACTCAAAATGAAAACATGAAGGGGTGAAAACGGAGCGTTGATGACCCGATGGGCGTGTCCCCATCAGCGACAGCCGCAGTGGAAGTCGGCGTTTGGGTCCGTCAGGATCTTCTTCCTGTCCACGTGGAGACAGTCTATGTGGAACCAGGCGTCGCAGACGTCACACTGGATCCACTGGACCGTGTCCTGCTGGGGCAGCCGGCACCGCGGGGCCGCACACTGATCCACCGTCCCGACCGACGTCGCCTCATCTTCATCCTCGTCATCGTCCTCTTCTGACGAGGAGGACGAGGAGGAGCCGGAGGAGGAGGAGGCCGAGGAGGTGGAAGAGGACGAGGAAGAGGATGGAGAAGGCAGTGAGGGCCGTGGAGGGAGGGGGTGCTTCCTGGGGCGACCTCGTCGTTTCCTAAAAAAACAAAACATAAAATGTGTTTAATGAATACAGGAAAGAACCAGATTATGCTCAGATTTAATCTGATTGAGATTATTTTGGTTTTAAACGTGACAGAAGATCAGAATCAGACAGGAAGTCCCGTTTTTTTTAAATTACGACACGTTTAGTTTCAGAGACAAGAAACTTCTATCGTCTTAGAGCTGGGCGTACGGAGGCCTGACAGTGCCACTATTAAAAATCTAATGCCTTAAATAATTAGTCATCTCATAAATTATAGACATGCACTTAAAATAATTTGAATATATTTTTTCATTTATAAAATTTGCAGTTATCCTTCGGAGAAAGGCAAAACTAATCGATCCCAGATAACCAAATCAGTCAACCCTGGGATTATTAAAATGGCGCTAATCTCTACACTCACGATGAGCCAATTACAGCTCTGCTACGACCAAAGTTATATTTTATTAAGTCACAAGCTTTTAAAAAAAAAAGAATAATTTTCAGACAAAAGCAATCAACTCAATGAGATCAGCGTTGGCCCCGCCCACTGCAATTAGATTTATTTCCTGGCCAAATCATTTAACCCTCCCGCTGCCCTCATGGGTGTGAACCTGCGAGGAAAGATGGTTTAGCCCTTGAGGTCCACGTGGCAGGGGTGAGGAGTGAGCACCACCTCAATGCTTAATGGTCAACTTTCCTCGCGGGGTCACCCGTAAAGACAGTGGGAGGGTTCATCAATAACTTATGTGTTCATTAATGAAACGTCGAGTTAAATAATTATGTTTTAAAATCACTTTGATGTTTTTTATAGCAGCAGAACAAACTCTCCCGGACGGCTTACGTTGCTTGGTGATGGAATCGGCTGAACTGGACCCGCCCTCTTTCTTCTGTCCGGATCCGCATCGTGGGCGACGCCAGGTTGTAGTTCTCGCCTCCCACCACCAGGGGGGAGAAGACCGGCGAGCTGTTGGCCCGCCGCCTGCCCCTCTGCGCAGTCGGTGAAGCGTTGGCAGATTTCTGTTGGCGGAACGCGGAGATGTTTCCGTGCAGCACCGTTTTGACTCGCCGGTTCACCTCCACTTCCTGTTTGTGAGGAACCACGTTGGGGAAGGAGGTCTGGAGGAGCTGCTGGTTCAGTCTGCTGTTGGTCATGGCGCCGTGGAAGCTGCCGATGGTGCGGATCCCCACGGGGAAAGGCTTGGTCGCCAGCGGCCGGCGGATGTCGCTGTGGAGCTTCGGCTGCAGCGGAGGAGGAGGAGGGGAGCTGAAACCTTCAGACTCGGACTTGTAGAGCCTCCTCCTTTTTTTCGGCCTCGACCTCGTTTCGTCCTCCATGGCTCCGCCCACAGCTGAGCAAAACCAAAGAAATGGTTAGAATCAGCTCAGGAACAATTACTTTCCTGCGAAGATCAGCTGATCTTTACCTTCCCGATCCTTAGGCTCGTCCGAGCTGTCGTCCTCCAGCAGGACCGTGTGCGCCGACTTCCTCCTGCTCCTGGGGGCGGCCTGCAGCGGCTTGGCCGGCGGCGCCGAGGCCTCAGAGGAGAACGAGGGAGGAGCAGAGGAAGGGATGAGCGAGGTGAAGCTCACAGGAGAGGAGGAAGAGGAGGTTCCCGGGTCGGAGGCGGCCCCCTCCTGGCTGCGGTTCCTCTGGAAGGTCCAGGCGCTGCCCTTCATCTTGCTCAGGCTGCCGATGGAGTTCAGGATGACCGTGGCCCGGTTGATGGACATCTTGGAGAGGTCCAGGTTAGCGGTGACTTTACGGTCCAGGTTGGTTCTGATCCGGTTCTGTAAGTCGGAAGAAAAGGTCCCTGCCTAGGAGACCAGATAAAATATCATCAAAAACGATGGAAATTTGGCCCGACTCAGACTTTGTGTTTAAAGATCATTTTGTTTGTTTTAGGGTTTTAATTTTAACGTTTTAATATTTTAAAAACCTTCAGATTTAACATTTATTCAAACTAAATATTGAATTTCTTCGTATTTCTACGAGGTTCAGATTATCCTAACCTTTCTTGGTGTAAACAACCATAAATTAATCTCTCACGCCTTTTCAGCAAACCTGAACGTTTAAAAGTAAAGAAGAAAATTAAGATTCTGAAAAATAATTATTTAAAAAAAAGTTTGAAATTGATTTTTTTTCAATCGGGAAAGTGTGTATAAAAAATCCAAATAATAAATTTGAAGAGATAAAAAATAAAAAATGTAAAGAAATAAATGAAGAAAATGTCATTAAATAAAGGAGGAAACGCACTTTAGTTGTTTAATGAATAATCCCAACAAGATGTTTCAGTTCTTTAAATGTGTCCAAAAACTAAAAGAATCATTGAAAGTATTAAAGGGACTTTACGGAGTTTTGAATTTTTATGTTCGTGATTGCCCCCTCAGGCCAAAAGCGTAATGGCAGCTTCAAAAGTAGGCTCGCGCACGAGGCACGCATGGTCTACGTGCACACTCCTTAATGAAAATAACAGCTGAGACAGTCCCGTGTGTGTGTGTGTGTGTGTGTGTGTGTGTGTGTGTGTGTGTGTGTGTGTGTGTGTGTGTGTGTGTATGTGTGTGTATGTGTGTGTGTGTGTGTGTGGCCCGGAGGACAGAGGACAGGAGAACACGCAGCTAATTAATTAAATAATTTGGTTCTGTAGCTTTCTCTTCAGCAGAGCCGGCAAAGGTTTATGATGGGTCAGTCCTCCTGCATGCTCAGATCATTCCCTTCCCTTGCTTGAAAAATTGTTCCAAAATGAAAGTTGAACCCACATCTTTTTTATCCGTGAATTCAATGTCGTTCGGCGAGTCTCAAATAAAAATTTGGGCGGTTTATTATTGTAAAAAATATACCATTAATGTAAAAAAGAAACTCTAAATGAACTATGTTCACATCCAGAATCGAACCCAGGGTCTTCTGCATGAGAGTCAGACATCTTACTAGGTGAGCTACACTCTAGTAACATTCACAGTATCTGTAACGTTTATATCCTTGATGACAGCTGAAACAACGTCAATCCAAAGAACGGTTCGGAGTGAAAATGGCTATTTTGTTGCTAATTAGCAGGAAATATCTAGAAGAAAGTTCTACAGAAAGTAGCTAAGGGTCCTCAGAAATGTAGCTAGCTTTGTCACTAGGCGTTAGGAACAGCGACAAAGTGGCACTGCCTCTCTCTCTGCTGCTAAAGCTACGGATAGCAAATGCTACGGGCGATGCCTGAGCGTGAACGCGCATGAAGCAGCCTGCTCGACCCGAGCATCTCTCTTTTTCTGTGATTTTACAGAAAAACAGGCAATCACAGTAAAAATGCCAGGGCTCATTCTACAGGACCAGGGCATTGCAGGAGAATGTATGAAGAAGACATTTATTATTTCTATACATGTTTTGGCTGTCACACGTCCATAATGCCCCTTTAAAACAGATTTCATTAGAGAAATTTTGTATTCATGAAAGTTTTTGAATACAGAATTCCGACTTTCTCAGAAATCAAAAGTCAGAATTTTGGCCCTAATCCTCTTCCGTAGCTCGGGTGGCTTCTGGATGAACTTTAGACACATTAAATACAAAATAATCCCTGAAAATCGTCTAAAAGATAAACTACAATAAAATCAGTCTCTTACTTTAGGAATGGTGATGGCATCAAAGTCCAGAGGACGAACTTTGACCTTCTGGAACAGGAAGTAGAACTCGGGGCTTCCAGGGGCCGAATGGCCCCCGAAGGTGAGCGTGTCCCCGTCTGAGAGTTCCCACAGGACGCCCGGCTGGAGACGCACGTCGTTCACCCACGTTCCTGCAAACACAAACGTTTCACCACAAACTCCTGCTGAGTTTTCCTCTCATGATAAAAACGATTTCCAGACTCCTAATGAGGCAGACGAGCGGCGGGAAGTTCCTGAAGAGCAACCCGCAGCGGGAGCGTGACTCGAGGACACGAAGATGTTTTAATATCCAAACATCTAAAACAATCAGCGACTGTTAACAGAATAAAGAGCTGGGAGGCTTCAAGACAATCAAACGGCTGAAGGAACGCAGGAGGAATACCAAAGCACAAGTCCAGAGGCAAGGAGGGAATTCTGGGAAACGGAGTGTGAAATTACTGGAAAAATGACACAATAAAGGTTCAGATTCATCAGAGTGTCGGGTTTAATGTTGTGAGACGGAACAAGAACAGCAGCGACGTTCTGATTGGATCCATGAAGACCTGCTGGGTTTAGTTTTTATTCAAGCCGAGACGGACGCCTGAAACGGGAAATTCTGTCGTTTTCATCGTTTGTAGAAAAAGTATAAATATTTCAGAATCTGGTTTCTACATCTGCCTGAAATACGGCTGCGCTTTATGAGGATCTGGGATTTCAGTGGATTTTCTTCTGTAATCAATCAACATTTCAGTTTCAAATGTGGTGAAATAAAAAAATATCAAATCCAAAATTTTTGTCTTCACAAAAAAAAGGTAATTTAGGATATCAAACATTTTATAAATGCCCTAAATTCTTCAATTTAACCTTAATATTTTCTCATATTTGTTCATTTATTAAAGAGCAAGTCACCCCACTGATAAACTATATAAATGTGTGTCTAATCGTGCTGCAGACACGTGTCGTCAACAGTTTTGCCCTTTAGTGGATTTTAGTAAAAAATTTTATTTTCTGCCTAAAACTGTCAGTGTTGAGCCGTTGTCGGGTAAAAACTCTGCACTGCATTTGAATTTAAATCTGCCATCGCTATTGGCTAAGAGGTATGCTAGAATGTTAGCTGGTACCATATGATGTCACAATGTCGTTGTGAGCCTGTGTGTGTGTGTGTTTGTTAGCGGCTCCGCCTTCTCGGTCTGTTAGGCAACAGCATTTGTTACATTTTTCAAACAGGAAGTGGGAGTGGAGTAAGACTCTGGAAGGGGGTGACTTGCTCTTTAAAGTATTTAACCCCCAGCAGGTCCCTGAGGTCCAGTGACCAAAGCCTACTGGTTGTGCAGCACCAGGCTAAAGGTCAAAGGTGACAGATCATCTGCTGCTGTGGCCCCCAGACTCTGGACCTCTCTCCCCCTGAGCCTGAGATCAGTGGACTCAGTGGTCTCCTTTAAAAAGCAGCTGAAGACTCACTTGTTCAAGCTGGCTTTTGTATGACCTTCTTCACCTCTCTCTCTTTATTCTGCTCTCCCCACCTATTCCACCTTCCTCAGGATCCACTGACTTCCCTCTTTCCTGTTCACTCTCTCTCTTTCTTAACATGTTTTATCACAATTGTCTATTTTTGCTCATTTTAAATACATTTTTAACCATTTTCTAAATGATTTTTATCTTGAGGCGCTATAGAAATGATATTTTCTTCTTCTTCACCCATTTAAAGCATCAGCTGTTTTTTCAGATTCTTTATGAAAACTTTTGGTTTTACGAATAAAAGCGACAACTTTAAACACGTTTAAATGAAAGCGTGAATCTTTTTATAAAACGCGTCACAAATTTATCGTTTTATCTCATTTATAAACCGAATCTTCGATTACGCAGAAAAGTTTATTTTACGTCTCTAAACCGATGAGTCCACCTCCTGACGTCATACTAAACGCGACCCCGCGTGGAAAAGCGGGTTAAGAGAAAGGGTGGATAGAAATTTTAAGTGCAGCAGAATAAACGAGTCTTATTTTAATAACTCGGATTTCACACAGCAACCGTTGATCAACTCTTATGTTTTGATGCTTTAAAGACAAAGATGGCCGCGGACATTGTGGTGATAAAGGAAAATGAAATTATTCAACAAAAACAGATCTGTGAGAAATGGTTCACGTCCCAAAATATGTTAAAATATCAGTTTTCTGCCTCATTTATTTATAAAAAACAACCTTTATTTACTTTTAAATATTCCAGCTGTGTCTAATAAAATGGCTCAAAACGAGTAATAAATGAATAATTCAGTGAACTGTGAACTGTTTTTCTACATGCTGACCTCTATTATAGTTAAGACTCTTTCAATAAATGAAGTAAATGTTACTTTTCTGTAGTTTTTCTGCAGGTTTATTAAAGTAATTTGATATTTTTTAAGCACGAGTGTATTTTTCCCTGTGATTATGGTATAACCTGCGGAGGTATTTCCCTTCCTCTCCCACGGTGACTATACAGGTGTGTGTGCACGTCTCATCCTGCCTTTGCAGGTGTGTTTTGTGTCTGTGGCTCCGCCCCCCTCTCACCATGACTGCTCCTGTCTTCAAGGTGAACCTTCCAGCCCTCCTCCTGCTGCTGCAGCTGCTCTCCCTCCGCTCCACTGGCCTCCTTCTCGGCGTGCAGCTCGGCGTGGATGCGCGACACCGACGCCGACTCCAGCGTCACGTCGCACAGCTCCGACGCTCGACCCAGACGGAACACAGAGTGGTTCCGCGCAGGTCGGAATGTGTACAGGTCCCTCGCCGAGTCGCCCGACGACAACCCGATCCGAAGCAGCTGGAAGCACGGCTGTGCACCACACAGCATGGCTGTGGATTATCTGGGGCCCCCTCTCTCCCTCGCCTCGAGGCCACCCCCGATCTGTGTCAGGCCCTGCTTACAGCAGGCTGCGTTCCATTTCCGTAAAGACTCGGAGCTAAACCAGACTGAACGCGTGTGAGCAGGTCGAGCTGAGAGCCGACATGAAAGCTGTCAGACTGTAGGAGAGGTCACAGGCAGGTGGAGCAGCTTCCACCAGCAGGTGTTTGCATTAGTGTGGCGAGCTGCTGCTGCTCTGCTGTGAATACATGAATGAGTAATGAGGACTTGGCTCTGCGGATGAGACAGTGAGGAGTGAAAATGAGCTCCGGCTCTACTTTATGAGCCCCGACTCAAACGGACTGAATCCCCCCGCTGAGTGGAGACGATAAAGCTGCGAGTTCAAACATAAAGAGCAGCTGGGACGTGGACGGCAGGTGTGTCACAGCTCTGCAAACACGAGACGGAGCTGTAAAAACAACAGCTGTAAGCAAATCCGCCTGCAGCCAAACATTTAAGAATTCCGGGTTTGGAGAAAGATGCCAAAGAAAGTCTTGTTGTGTTTGTTTGAGGGAGGAAATCTGATTAAAATCCAGCTGATTCAAACCAAATAGGAAGTAACAGCTGCTGATCTGCAAGAAAACAAAAATAAAATCACTTATAATAAAGAAAAGGTGGATTTTTATTCATATTCATTCATCCATAAATGCATTATTTATCTGACACGTTCTAATACATCTGAGCCCATTAATGGGACCGTGATGAGCACTTAACAAACACTTAAAGGTGTAAATGTAAGCAGAAAAAACATCTTTACATCATTTTGGTCTCTGAAACGCGCATCGTGCTTCATGGGATCCAGACACCAGCGGCATGAACCACATGAAGAGAAAACGTTGCCCCTGCCTCTGAAACTGCATTTATCTTTGACTTCTGAACATGTTAGGCTCGGTTCGGACGCATTAGCAGCAAAAGCAGCTAATCTGAGGAGTGAAGTCTCCTCTAAGCTTTCTGATCGTCGCTGGTTCCTGGTGGGGCAGAATGAAAGTCAGAGCAGGACTTACAACAATGACACGACACCGACTTCCTGTGAATCATTCCTCTAAAAAGAGTCGTTCCGCTCGTCCGCGAACGGATTTTCCTCCCGAACTCCGACTCGGACGAACTTATTGGTATTTATTTCCTATTATATATAAATGTGTCGCCATTGTTCGACTGCTGCGAGCAGCTTTTCTTCTTTCCTCCCAGGAGGAAGTCCTTTGAAATTTGGCGCGCCAGTTGTGGGGCTTCCGTGCGCGAGAATCTGCGTCACTTCCTGCTTCCTGCTGATTGGCGGAGAGTCTGGGCGGCTTCAGCGGGAATAGGAAAACTGTCATGGCGACGGCTGTGTAGTCACTTATAGATATTTATCCTTCTTTATTTTGTAGACAAACCTCTTGTAATATAAAAGAGTTTAATCATATTTATAGTCTCTTTATTTTATTACTCCTGTTAATTTAATTTATAATGGGTTTTTTTCTGGTGAAAGTGGATTTATCTCAAATAATCTACTGGACAATTTTAGGAACGTTTCAGAAAGTAATCTGTAGATGGACATTATGACATCACCTACTCAGTGGAACGATGGTGAATGGATAAGAATAAGCTTTAGTGTCCACCCGTCCCAATAATCTCCACCTATTCTCATCTGCTACTGCGACTCAAACTACACAAATAATGCATAAATAAATAAGCATTCATTCATTCATCTGTCCTGGGTTAATCACACTGACACCTTTAATCAGTGGGAAGCTCCGCCTACCTATGTCCGGACCAGAACCTCCGGACATAAGAACAGCTTCTTTCCATCTGCCGTTAGACTTGTGAATAGATTATAAACACACAACCATGCTGGTCTTCTGTACTCGACACAACGTCACGTTATCGGCCATGTTACCATTACCTGAAAGTTTTATTCTAGTTTTTTTATTATATTTTATTCTATTTTTAATCTTATTATTCATGTTATATGTAGCACATTAGTACCGAAGCAAGGTCCTAGTTTGTGAATTGTTTGTTCACTGACAATGGCAATAAACCTTTTCTGATTCTGATTCTAACGTGAAGCCAACGTGGAAGTGACAGAAATTGCTGTTCCATCCTCATCCACTAGGGGCTGGCATCAGAAAGGAGCAACTTCCCGTACTGATGGACTAAGGTGGAGTGAGACATGATGAATGATGATGATGTGTGTGTGTGTGTGTGTGGAATGTTATTCAGAACCAGCGGATCCGGATGCGGAGTGGGAGTGAATGTTTCGCTCTAAGCTTTAGTCGGAGGTTTATAACACACATGAAATGCCATCTGTCGGTCTACGTACCCCAGGGGAAACCTCCGTTAGATCCAGAATGTCGAGGTCCTCGTGGACCCTCTTTGGAACTGCCGGTAGAAAAGCAGCTTCCAGGTCAAGACAGGTTATCACTGGCGTCTCCGAGACCCTGAAGGGGTCGTGAGGTTCAGTTTTTATTCTGAAGGAACCGTTGCGGTCAGGTGTAACTTGCAACAGATTTTATCCAGCTTGTCGAGGTTCTTTTGGCTGAAGAGGAAGTCCGGATGGCCGGTCCGAGACTTCTCTAGAACGCTTGAACTAAAGAAAAGGTGGCGTGGGATAGTTTTTATATTGTTATATTTTGGTTTACTGGCGAATCAGAATTTGACATGCAAAAGAGGGTTTATACAAACACCACAGAAAACCACGCCTCGCCTCAGAAACAAAGGTTCTGATTGGATCAGACAAAAGGAAATGTGTCGTGTGACTTTAGCATTACGTGTCATCAGTGTCTAGTGCAAATGTCCAAGATTGTAATATCAAGTAAAATACTACTGATCACAGGATTATAAACAATATCAAGTAATAATATCGTCATTTCACAAAATGATTGAACATTGGGCTCACTTTATTATTGGTAATAACAAAGTTGTTGATTATGAATTCATCAGAATAGTTCTTGTCTTCGCTTGCAGGTAACAGATGTGAAGCAGTTCAGATGAGCAGAGTGCATGAAAGACCTTGGCCACTATCTCATGTAGATTAGCCTGTCAGAGACTTTATGTCTCTGCTCGAACAGACGCAGCAGATCATGACCTTTAGGTCGTAAACAGGACATTCATGACGCTACACATTTAATTTTAAAAATCTTCTTTCTTCTGTGAGCAAGACTTAGATAAAAGGGGTGCTCTGTGAGGGACCTTGGAAAGAACAGGATGTCAATGTTATGATTTCGTTATCTCTGTCAGAGCTGCAGGCTCTGAGCTCCGGCTGGTGTGAGGAAGGCAGGCTGATTTAAAGGGAACGCGTGCAGTCTCGCGTCTCCTTTTTGACCAGATGTTGAACGGTCAAACAGTACCTAAACTGACCATCGCTGGACGTTACACAGCCTTGTTAAAACAATTAAGTTTGATTGGTCAAGTTTATCGTCATGACAACTCTGAATGTTTTAACGTAATTTTACCTGTTAATGAGCCATCATCATTGCTAATGCTAGCAGCCTGCCCCCCCGCTTGCCTCAGTGAAGGCCTCAGCCTTGGGCTCCCATTCAAAGTGTTACCTGCCAACCTCCGTTAGCTTCGGTAGCTCCAGGTTAGCTCATTTAGCTTGTAGCTAAATCGGCTCAGACTTTGATGGGTGTTGATCATCTGCCTCCAACCTCACAGCCCCGCTCTCAGCTCCATTTTTTTTTTCCAGGAGTGATGAGAAGCGTGATGCGGCCAAGTAGGCAGTGGAAGACACCTATGGGCTTCAGTTCAGCTCTTCAGAAACCTACGGGTGATGGAGCAGAGGGTCTGTCCATTATTTATAGTCTATGGCAGGGGTGTTCAATTCCATGCCTGGAGGGCCGGCCTCCAGAACATTTTAATGCTGCTTCAACACACCTGACTTCAATCAGCAGGTAATTAACAGACTTCTGCAGAGCCTGATGAGCTGCTGCAGGTGATTCACCCACTGAAAGTTTGGTGGAGCAGTGAGACCACTAAAACATGCTGGATACCAACCTCTAGGCCTGGAACAGAACTCCTGGTGTATGGGGTTAACCTCAGCCCGATTAAAGATGGCCGCCACAGCTATTTGACTCTAGCTTGTTCTAAATGGATAAAACCGGTTTGTGGTGTAGACGATCGAGTGACACGACACAAATTCTGTTTGTGTAAGAGCTCGTATTTATGAGCGATCACGCTAAACATTACCTTCAAGATTTCATCAAAGAGCTGTAAATCAGTATCAGATGGTCCAGATATTCTCCGTTTATAAAATCATAAACATGTTTCCCCACGACACCACTAGCTGCTTTATGAACAGCTGCATCACGTCCAGAGGTGCCATCAGCAGTTCTGTATGGGGTGCCATTTGTAAAGTCAAACAGTCATAATCTAACAGCAATATTTTTGGTTATTTAGCATATCATAAGAGAAAAAATTGGGAGTTCACTTTTTCAGTCATATTTTCACCATTATTCAGACATTTATAAATGTTAAAGTTTCCAAATATATATTTAGTTAGCAAGCTAAATATTTAATTTATAGTCAAATATTTATTTTTGCAAACTAAATATTTAGGTCTGATCTAAATATTTAGTTTGTAAAATAAATATTTAATTCACTAACTAAATATTTAATTTACTAATTAAATATTTATTTAGGAACTAAATATTTAATTTGTAAATTAAATATTTAATTTGTAAATTAAATATTTATTTTCCGAAAAAATATTTAGATCCCAGCTAAATTTTTATTTTGGAGCTAAACATTTAGTTTGCAAAATCAGTATTTGGAATATGAATAATTAAGTCTGACCCAAAAATATAAAATATAGTGTGGAGCTAAATAACATTGTGGGAACTAAATATTTAGCTGGTACTTAAACATTTAGCCATAATGCAAATTTGCTTGCCAATAAGCAGAAGTTGTTACCAAAATAAAAGCTGGATCTCGCTAACCTCTATATAAACTCTTGCTCCGAACCAGAAATTGTTTTATCTCTGGTTCTATTCTTCTTCAGCCAACACGTTGGACATGTTCAGAGGAATATTTATTTCCCAAATACTGATTTTGCAAACTAAGTGTTTAGCTCCAAAATAAATATTTAGCTGGGATCTAAATAATTTTTCGGAAAATAAATATTTAATTAACAAATCAAATATTTAGTTCCAAAATAAATATTTAATTAGTAAATTAAATATTTAGTTAGTGAATTAAATATTTATTTTACAAACTAAATATTTAGATCAGACCTAAATATTTAGTTTCCAAAATAAATATTTAACTATAAATGAAATATTTAGCTTGCTAACTAAATATATTTTTGGAAACTTTAACATTTATAAATGTATGAATAACATGGTGAAAATATGACTTTGAAAAAGTGAACTCCCAATTTTTTCTCTTATGATATGCTAAATAACCAAAAATATTGCTGTTAGATCATGACTGTTTGACTTTACAAATGGCACCCCATAGTTCTGATCACCCAAAAGTCCTGCTTCATTTCCTTTTATCTAGACAGAAACGACACAACACGACAGCATAGAAAAGAAGTTTAATAGTTGTTACTGAGTTTAACATTCAAGTTAAAGGTGAACATGATGCAGATCAAACTACTTCATCCTAAAGAAAACACACAGCCTCTCCTGAAGGAAACGGGGTCTCTTCTCTGCTATAATGCATGGAACGAAACATAAATGTTGCTATGGTTACTGAGCAGCGAGAGCTGGGTTCGGGTCCCAGGAGGATGATGGGAGACCAAGAGGTCAGGATGAATCAGGAGGCCAGCTGTACAGAAGAGTGTGTTTGATTTGATCTCTGCTGCCCCACAAACAGTCCGCAGGTCGGCTGCAGCTACGCTAGCTAGCTGAGACGGCTGGAGCAGCTGGTGGTGATGCTACAGAAGGGTTTTTACGCCGATCCTTCAGTCAAGCATGTTACAATGTCATCAGGATGGCATCAGTTTGTTTTGATGCACGAATGATATCAGAATAACTGTTTCAGAATAAAAGCATGGAGTGGTGCTGCAGACCAAACAAGCGGAGCAGAAGTGCTGCAGGCGTGACTTTCATGCTTTCAACACTCTAAAACATAATTACTGTAACACAGGATCCTCTGAAAGACCCAGCTGTCACAGATCAGCAGCACAGGCAATTATCAAAGAAGCTGCTGATTTAAAGTCGAGTGAATCAAACATTTCTGAGTCAAAAGTTCTTCAGATGTTTTGAATTAAAGCTAATTTCCTGTTTTGATCAAACCGCCTCGCAGATTCCTGCCTTTTCATTACATTCTCTGGAATTTCAGAGAATGGCAGATTAGCAGGACTGAAAGAGCGTTTTGTTAAATCTTCCTCTGCCCGCTCACGGATCAGCACTTCTGCTCCGAGGAGCCTTCAGAGCCGGGCCTCAGATGTGAAATGAAACAGAAAACATCAGAGCGAGGGTGGCCGGCACAAAGTGAAATGCTTTCATAAAGCACAGCGTTGTTATTCCAGCAGAGCGCACGCCGAAACCCGAAAGCAGCTCGTGTCCTTTCACCTCACAAAGCATCAAAGTGTCCTCAGAACGAGGAGGTGTCGATTCCACTCACGGTTTAAATTCTCGTCTTCTCTTCAAAACGAAGACGTGCTTTCCAGGTTTAGGAAGGAAAACAGCTTCAGCGGCCTTTCAAACACCCAAAAACCTGAAGATACTCACAGCCAATAGTTCAGGAGACTAATCAGCTGCTTTCAGACTCAAATCCACTCAACAGATGGATAATTTACACTGAATAAACAACTAATTTGTCTATTTTTCTGATGCAGTTTTCTCAGAATTAGAGGAAAATGATGTTTTTTATCCAAATATCATCAAATAATGAACTTCTTTTCTTCTGTGTGTATTTTGTGAAACGCGAGCAAGATTATTAATGTCACTACAGTTGTTTTAGTTCATATAAACCACTGAAATCCAGCAGGAAATCTTCGTTTGGTGCATTTTTAAAGGAGTTTATATCAAAACGAGCTTCATGAAATAAAGGATTATAATGTTTTTACATATTTGTGTGATAGCATGCCATAAATGATCAAGAATTGACCATTTTCCCAACAATTTAAAGAAGCATAAAGATTAAAATGACTAAATAAGCAGAAAATAGCCGAACCGTGTCGCTGACATGAACTTTTTCCTTCATTTGAACAGTAGTTTGAGGTCAGTTTACTTCTTTGTTGCCTCTTTGGTTCGGTTTGTCGGGTTTAGAGGTGTAGAAGTCACATGCAGTTGGGTTTAACATCTTTTTTTGTTTGTTTTTAAACTAATATAAAAATTTGAGCCCGTTTATAAGACAGAAAACATGAAAGAAAGATTTAAAAAAAGATTTAAATTAAGAAATCGTTATCAGATTGTTGCTGGGTGGCATAAAAGTTTCCACTATCACCATAAAAAGATCTTTTGTTGCTAAAGAGGCTAAAAAATCTCAGTTAAAATCAAGTTCTGAATGAACTTTTTGTACTTTTTTAAACTAACATAAGTTTAGATGAGATGAAGTGAAACAACCTTCCCTCTGAAGCTGGAGGCCCTCCAGGACAACGAAGGTCTGTTTTATCCTCAATATTACATCAAAAGTCTGAGATTGAACGCAAAGCCGAGCAGAAGTCGTACACGTTTGTGGATTTCTGCAGCTGATCACAGATTCTCGCTCTGACCTTGAAGACAGGACCTGAATCTGCCTGAACCCGATTGGATCATTAGCCCTCGATGTGTCGGTGCGCCCTGCAGAGGCTGCCGAAACCCGCTGAGACCAAGATGGATGAAAGGATTTCACACGAAACCAAACAGACTCAGACATGTAAACATGGGGAGAAAGAGAGAGAGAGGGAAGGAGAGGGAGCGAGAGAGAGGGGGAGAGAGAGAGAGAAATAGAGAGAGAGAGGGAAGGAGAGAGAGGGAAGGAGAAAGAGAGAGAGAGGGAAGGAGAGCAGGCGGGAGAAAGAGATAGAGAAATAGAGAGAGAGAGGGGGGAAAGGAGAGGGAGCGAGAGAGAGGGGGAGAGAGAGAGAGGGAAGGAGAGCAGGAGGGAGAAAGAGATAGAGAAATAGAGAGAGAGGGGGGGAGGAGAGGGAGCGAGAGAGAAAGAGAGTGAGTGAGAGAGAGAAGAGAGAGAGGGAGAGAGGGGGAGAGAGAAAAAGAGAAAGAGAGTGAGAGAGAGGGAGTGAGAGAGAGAAAGAGAGAGGGAGGGAGAGAGGGGGAGAGAGACAAATTGAGAGTGAGAGAGAGAGAAGAGAGAGAGGGAGAGAGGGGGAGAGAGAAAAAGAGAAAGAGAGTGAGAGAGAGAGAGAGAGAGGGAGAGAGGGGGAGAGAGAAAAAGAGAAAGAGAGTGAGAGAGAGGGAGTGAGAGAGAGAAAGAGAGAGGGAGGGAGAGAGGGGGAGAGAGACAAATTGAGAGTGAGAGAGAGAGAAGAGAGAGAGGGAGAGAGGGGGAGAGAGAAAAAGAGAAAGAGAGTGAGAGAGAGAGAGACGAGAGAGAGGGAGAGAGGGGGAGAGAGAAAAAAAGAAAGAGAGTGAGAGAGAGGGAGTGAGAGAGAGAAAGAGAGAGGGAGGGAGAGAGGGGGAGAGAGAAAAAGAGAAAGAGAGTGAGAGAGAGGGAGTGAGAGAGGGAGAAAGAGAGAGAGAGAGAGAGAGAGGGAGCGAGAGAGAGAAAGAGAGAGAGAAGAGAGAGAGGGGAGAGAGAAAAAGAGAAAGAGAATGAGAGAGAGAGAGAGAGAGAGGAGAGAGAGAGGGAGAGAGGGGGAGAGAGAAAAAGAGAAAGAGAGTGAGAGAGAGGGAGTGAGAGAGGGAGAAAGAGAGAGAGAGAGAGGGAGTGAGAGAGAGAAAGAGAGAGAGAAGAGAGAGAGGGGAGAGAGAAAAAGAGAAAGAGAATGAGAGAGAGAGAGAGAGGAGAGAGAGAGGGAGAGAGGGGGAGAGAGAAAAAGAGAAAGAGAGTGAGAGAGGGAGAAAGAGAGAGAGAGAGAGAGAGAGGGAGTGAGAGAGAGAAAGAGAGAGAGTGAGAAAGACAGGGAGTGAGAGAAGGAGAGGGAGTGAGAGAGGGAGGGAGAAAGAGAGAGAGAGAGAGAGGGAGTGAGAGAGAGAAAGAGAGAGAAAGAGAAAGACAAGGAGTGAGAGGAGAGAGAGAGAGGGAGAGAGAGAAAAAGAGAGAGAGGTGTGTTTTCTACCTGCGGTGGTTAAACGAGCGTTTCCATATAAAATCCTGCATCAGCTACACAGAAACATCCAGATTTCTGACATTTTTCTCATGCAGATCTCATTTTTTCATATTTACAACCGTGACAACGAATAATTAATAAAGTTTGTGTTTGAATGTGGGTGTCGGTGACGTTTATCTGCAAACGTGATTAAAAATCCACTAAACCACCTATTTATGAATCCGTTTCAGTGAGAATAAATAATGAAGTTATAAACATTTTCCACTGAAACAGGCTTAGAAAACTGATAATTCATTCACATTCGGTTAGAATATTCAACACACGATGCACATCGAACCTATCTGAGCTTCAATAGGAAAGGAATTAGTTCTTTACAACAGCCGCATCTTATTTCTTAATAAAAATGTGATTAATAACCATATTTAAAAGGAACGCCATGCTAATGTTTGTGCTTTTCTTTTCTTTTAGGACTCAAACACCCGTGCCTGCTCTAGGTGAGGTAGCCTGCTAACAGATGTCTATGGGAACAGTAACACTGGTGTGTAATGGGACTACTGGGATACTGGGGTCTTGTTATGGCCGCTCTGTGTCAGAAGATGTGATCGATGTTGCTGTGATGCAGGAAGTGGAGGAGACAAGGTGATTGGACACGGCGTGAAATGTCGCGCTCTCAGAGGTGGGAATGAAACCCTGTGACCAGATTTAGCTTGTTTCACAGGAAGGAGGCGGAGCTAATAAACCAGAAGCTGTTGTCAGCTGCTGGTGGAGGTGTGACCTAATTAAATCAGTGACTTCATTTCTTTACATTCCCCCTACTTCTCTCATTTATCATGAGTTGTTAACAGAATTATCCAGAAGGTAAAGGAGGAATTCTAGGCTGCCTATTGTTGGATGATCTTTAAAACATGAGCGACCCCACATGAGGAGATAAAATATCACAGATAAACCCACTTTGGTCTGTGGTGTGCAGCCACTCAGTAGAAACTACACTGCAGATGGGGAATCTCACGAAACCTTATGAGATATAAGTTCACAGAGTAAACAAACATGGAGGAGGAGCATGCTTCCATCATCGTGCTTTCTGATTGGCTACACATGACATTCAACAGGTAGCACACTCGTTGGCCCTCAAAATCGGACCGAGACAATCCAACATGTTGACTTTATGATCGGACCGGTTCCGACATCCTGGGCAGACCAGAGCACTCATAACACACCACACACGGCAGGAATATCTGTTAAGATTATCTTTAGAGCCATTACAGTAATCAGGCCCATCGTTAAGATCGTCAGAGAGAGAGAATCAGGTAGAAAATCAGCAAAACGATCTTACCACGTGTTCCATCTGTTGGTCAGACAACCAGTGGGACTAGTAAACAGGTTAACCACTGGTCACAAACCAATGCTAGTTATCTCTCTCTGAGACAAAAACCAACAGAAGTCTGAATAAACGTTTACGAACACAACCATAGGCGTTTTCCATGCATAAGGCAGCCATCTTGGATTTTAGCATTTCCAGTTTGTTTTGGTAGAAATTAAACGTACATTTTTTTCTTACATCAGTGTTTTTAAGCCGTAAAACGACAGAATCTGAAGCTACTTTTACATGTGAACTATAATCAGTCATGTTAACAGTCCATGGGTTTTTATTTAAGATGGAATAAGCATCTCCACCTGTGAAGTCACGACATCTCGTCTCCTGGCGTTTTAGAGTCCAAGCGCTCAGGGTGCCTACTAACCCGTTCAAACATCAAATAAGCTAAATTTAACATTGCAACATGCAGTAGCAAGAAATAAAATATCTGAAAAGTCTTTCAGTATTTAAATATTAAAAATGTAGGGGGCGGGGCTTATGAACTATACTGCAACCAGCCACTAGGGGGCATTCTGTTGTCACCTGAACCTGGAGTGGATGTCTAGTGTGTAGTCTTGTGTTAAAGGACTCTCTGCAACAGGGGCACCTTTTAGAGCACAACACCAGCAGGCGTTCTCCAGAGTTACACTCAGCTAATTAGTGCTTTAATTAAGGCCACTGGCTTGGCGATGTCACTCCAGGGACCCATGGAGTCTTTTAGGCATCATCAGAAGACTTTCTATGACTCACTTTTATCCTGAAATAACAAACTAATTTAAATGCTTCAGATCCTTTTCTAATGTGAACTATTCTAATGTGTTTCATCGTTTATGGCGCTTAAATTATTTTATATTTGAGCCAAAAATGAATTAATTGGTTCACTCTTTAGGAAAAGTAAGTTGTGTCATCGCTAGTCCACTTTTACATAATCCCATAATCTCCCGTAACGTCAGGGATTAGTGATGTTCTGCTTTAGGACACTTGGGATCATATTCTTTGTTATTGCTGTTATTTAAACCTCATTTCTTCCTTTAAAAATGTTTCTCTCCTCTCATTTCCTGTTTAAAGGTCCCAGACTGACTCGTATCTCATATGAAACTCTACCGTCGTCTCCTCCACGCACTGACGTCGTTGACAACCGCTTATTCCGTTGGAGATGATTGTTATCACACACACACACACGCACACACACACACACACACACACGCACACACACACACACACACACACACACACACAAGCTTCCATTTGGGCAACAAAAAGCTGCGAGATGGATTTTGGGGTTGAGATATAAACACGTTATGAATCATGCATGTCACTTCCTTTTCTTCCATCTCTGTTATCAGTGCTCTTCTCTCAACGATGGCCGTGATTTAGTCCGTCTTCTAAACGACTGGAAATCCAATCATGTTCTCGAGAGCAGCTCCATAAGTCCCCGAATGTCACGACGACTCTGTGAATCTTTATTTTCCTCCGACTGAGTGAATCCTAAAAAGAGACGAGGACAGCGTTTGCTGTTGTTCGTGGGGAGTTTTCTGGTTCTCACCGTTCGAAGAAGCGGTCGTTTCGACAGGTTTCCTCACAGGAAGCCTTGAAGCGTGGCGAGGGACACGTCGAGTATGAAAGAGGGAAACAACCAGCAGACGGGTGCTGCTGATCCGGTTTCTGAGAATTAACTCGAGGAGCAGCACTTCTCAGGGAGCGAACGCTGAAACAAGCATTTCTGTGTGTGTGTGTGGGGGGGGGGGGGCTGACATGTTTGTACTTTAATAACAGAGCGCGTGGGGGCGGACTCAAATGCAATCGCTGAAGGTTCGTCTGAGCGAGCAGAGCAGTGGCGTTGGAGGAAAAATGCCCTGAAGGCGAGATGCTTTTCTTAGTTTTTTGCAGATTCTTTCTGCTTTCCGACCGTCGTACCCTCCAACCTCGTTTAATCGCGTCTCTTTTTACAACATTTGAGAGGATTTCAGACCAACAGACGTGACTCAAGTGTTTCTTTGTGTTCTAATATAATTGAACCTGTTTGCATGCAGTCTACTCTAACATCAGTTCTGGTCTCTAGACCCGATCTATGGTCCTTATGTTTCATTCATGCACTTAGATGCAGGAGTTTTGCTCTTTTGCACTTTTTTCTGTAAAGTGTGTTTAACTCTACGTTGTGTGCATCTTTAAGGCTGCATCTACATCCAACCTCGGCATTTTAGTCTGTGATGTTTTGACTTTTCCGTGTTTAGATGTGAGGAATTGTGCCACGTGGATGTCTAAAGTGATGTGAGCCAAACGCTACACCCTGGTGCATCCCGTCAGCTGCTCGGAGCCGGTTATGCCATCAGACCTTCGCCGCCCTCTGCTCCGCCCTCCGTCTGGGCTAGATCTGACTCAGCGGTGCCCCTGGAGGCATTTGCCGGTGATGCAGCGCTGTGCAGGCTCCCATCAGGAGTGGCGGCGGCGGCCGAGCGGGGATTGGACGCAGGACTGGTGCTCATGACAGAGTCAGGGGTTCGGACGGCGCTCAGGTCCCCGTCGGGAACCACTGTGGCTTCCAGGCTGTCGGAGTGAGGTCCTTCCTTTAAGGCTGGAGGGGAGGCGGCATTCAGGAGGGGCTTGTGGGAGGCATAGGTCATCACAGCTTCAGTATCACTGTCCAACGGCTGGCCAGAGTGGGAAAACTCCACTCCAGAGTCGCTCATTTCCAGGAGGTTGTCCGTAGGGAGAGCCTGGTATCGGCCCGGTTTGGACACTTCCAGACCCTGCAGGGAAGGAAGAGACAGAGGAGGAATTCATCACGGAAGCAAATGCTGGAAAAGGTGGATGAATGTGAAAGGAGCAGAAAAATGAACGGAGCAAGAAAATAAAGGTCATAAAAAGCAGCAGTGTGAATTATTCATGCACGTTTCTGGGTTTGTATTTATAGATGTTCTCCTCTGCAGCCAGCGGGTTCCGTTTTACACAGACTCAACACAGAGTCATAAATATAAATCAGATCAAAAAGACTGAATGTGTTAAAAGAGACAGGAACTGTGCTGAATAATAAACAGTTAGAAGAAATCGGCTGGAATTTAACATTAATAATGAGAGACAACCTAAACCAACCACATAGCAATAATGTACCAATGAAGTCAAGCTGTTCAAAAAAAAGAAGCTTTCGAATTTTAATCCCCCATAAAATCTAATTTCTTACATTTAAATCTGTAAATGTTGCCATACTTCATCTTCTCTAAATATCAGTCTCAAAATAAACAGAATAAAATGTGTTTCAGATGCTCTAAGTTAAGATTAAACAGATTCTGGTTTTATTACACAAACAGATCTGATGAGGAATGAAGCTGAATGAGCTCATACGAATGGACCAATCAGAGCCTTTCAGAGTGTGGGCGTGGCCAGACTTTTTAACAACAGGAGAAACTCTCCTACTTCAGGTGGAAAGAGACCATAAAAGGTCACAAAGGGCTGAAAGTTACATTTTTATTTGATTTAGTAGAAATCAAATCCGTTTAGAAAGAGAATCGTCTCATTTTGTTTTTATTTGATGATTTATAGAAACCCGAACGCAGAATCAAACTACATTTAAAGCTAACTTCTGCTCCTCCAGCTGAGCCTCGTTTGATAATTGAAGTCTCGACTCTGAAACAGAAACTGTAGCTTGGTCCTGATCTTTGGCGCTGGCGCCGCGACTCTAATCAGTCGGCTCAGAGCGCTCCCTTGAACCTTGACCGCTCGCCTCTCCTCGCTGCTCTTTCGGTTTGACAAAAGGTCCTTCTGCTAAACTTCAATCCACTTCTCTGCTGAGAGCGGCGATGAAGGTTGATTGCTTTTTAATTACACTCGGCTCTTTGGTGGCAATAAACCACAGGTACTTCCTGCTGAGTCATCTCCGGGATGATTTAATGGTGCTTCTGTCTTTATGTCGGCTTTTAATTGATATCATTCAGGCGAAGCTTCGCTGGGAACTTGCAGCCATTTTGTAAATCGGGTTTGGAAGAGAAATTTTCATCCGCTCGTCCCTATCATGAAGATCTGCTGAGGATAGGAACTGTTTAATACTTTCATGGTCAGAATGGATCACAGGAAATATAACGTTGGATTTAGGGATGCACCGATATGAAAATGTGGGCCAATATCCATATAAATATCGCTGTTATACCCGATAACCAATAATTATCAATATTACATTATTATAAGAAGGAACGTAAAAAAATTCAACACACTGAATTATGGTGATATTTTGTGTAGCGATGCCTCCCGGACGCCTCCCTGGTGGCACGTCCAACCAAGAGGAGACCTAAAGGTAGACCCAGGACACGTTGGAGGGATTATGGGTGTTTTTCAATGCCAAGGAACCTCGCCTTTATGTCTAGGCCCCGCCCCGGTTGCCTAGGAGATACGTATGTCATCGGGAGCCGCCAAGACATGTTCCAATGGTTCCAATGTTCATGTTCTACCGAGGCGTGTGTTCTCCGTTTGTTAGCTGATTAGCTAGCTGAGCAAGGACACACGGGAGGTGTCTTGTAGCCTAGCCTTGGTCAAAAATTACCCAGAATAAACCGCGGTATTTTCAACAAGACAGCGGATCAGAAGCCGGCAGCTACTTCAGGGACAATTTTCAACTTTAAAAGTAAGTCAGCTAATTTAAAATGTTATTTTTAGATCAAAAAAGTTATCTATGGTTGGTTAGTTGCTTAGTAGTTGCAGCTTCGGTGGCTAGCGGGTAGTAACTCACTTATATTTTTAATTTAATAAACATATACACAATTTAAAAAGTAAAAGGCTCGTTATATATTTATATTGAAACTAATAACGTATAAAATATAACGTTATCTCCCGTGTCACGTGACGTTACGTTACCGCCGTGGAAGCCGCGGTCACGTGATGCAAGTCTGTTCCATTTAACCGTTTTCTTTGACCAAGGAAGGACAGTGTCCTCGTTAGCAAGGCGCCTGGCCTCGCAAGACATTCCCTCGCAAGGCAAGGCGCCTTGACATTGAGAAACACCCCGTGTCTGTCACCTGGCCAGGGAACGCCCTGGGATTCCCCCCGAGGAGCTGGCCCAAGTGGCTGGGGAGAGGGAAGTCTGGGCCTCCCGTTTTAAGCTGCTGCCCCCGCGACCCGACTCCAGATAAGTGGAGGAAAATGGATGAATGGATACTGAATTGATATTTAATAGTTGTGTATCAATTTTATTGAGATTTACTTTAAAAAATTTAACATTATTTTTTGTGTGATGCAATTCAAACCCCGACTGGTAGGTAGCAGCAGTTTGTACCTCAGCAAAGAAGGTTTCACAGGAAATTACCAACATTTTTCACTAGTTACGCAGCTGGAAACCTGCAGGTGACTTTTATTTTGAAATTTTATAAAGATTTTACACTGCTTTCTTGTTCTTGTCTGGCCCATCAGAACTACAGAGTTTGACATGTTCTGGAAGCACGGCGCATACAGACAAAAGCAACGCGTCATTATGTTTCTGGGACGCATCCAAAACGTGACGCCTCGCGCCCGGCGGAAGAGAACCCCTCCACTATAACGATGGATAATTGCTGCAACGTAAGTTTTGCTGCCATTTCGTCACAATTACGTGTCTAGTGGAAGGGAGGGGTTAATCAACAACAGCCCTTCCCCGTCATGAGCTAATTGGCTAAGTCCATGAATGCTAAATACTGACAGTGTGATGTAGATCTGTCGGGCTGTTCTAATCTGAGCATTTCCCCGTCTATTTTCTATCGGTGGCTAAAGCAGGAAGTAGGTGTAGCAGACTGGTTTTACGTTTAGCATGCATGTAACACTCACAAACACCAATCATATTTCAACACTAAAGCTGCTTTCCGGAGTTTTCCCCTTTCAGAAATGATGTATGATTTTTCAGAAATCCGTAAAAGTGATGATCTCATCATGTACTGTGATGAAATGTAAGCAATACGTCTTTTTTTTTGTGCTAAGCACGCCCCCGCCCCGCAGAGCTCTGTTCAATAGGAAACTGAGCGCCGACCAGATCTAACCAATAGCGTTAGACTACCGCTTACTTGCTTCAAATTTAAGGAATACCTCGGCTGATGCAGAGTTGATGAACTTTTCACGGACAAGTAAGTCTCTAAAATATAAATATATGAGAACACAACATGACAGGAGAATAATACTCGTAAAACAACGTGTTTTAGCTGTTTGTCGGCTACAGAAGCACATTTAGAAACAGAAACGTGAAGTTGCCATCTTAAAAAACGAATGTAGAAGTTATTTGTGTGATATGCTTGTCAGCCACTAGATGGTGCCATCAGATAAGAGAAATACTCCGGAAAGAGACTTTAACAAGTAAAAAAAAATAATGGTTTCCCAGTGAACTTGGTCTTTAATAATCATCCCTTACCTTGATGGTGACCTCCGTGCACTCTGATGGTTTCTCACTGATCGACTGCATCAGAGACTCCTCAGTGAACCTGCTGTAAGCCTCGTGCACTACCTGCAAACACACACACACACACGTATTTACATATGTGTGTATAGTTAATTAATTAAAGATAAAAACTCATCTGGAGACTTTCAGCAGTGAGTAATAATATTTTTGACCAACAGAGTGGACCTTTTTAATTTGTGGTTTATTTTAGCATTAGCTGGCTCATGTTAGCATTAGCTCGTTGTTAGCGCTAGCTACAGCAGGGTAGTTTACAACAGTTGTAATTCCACTTTTGACCAGTAGGGCGGAGCAGCAGGAAACTGCTCTGTTACTTTAAAAACATCACATTGGTGCTCTCAGGGGGCCCCTGGTTGTATGGGGGGCCCCCACCAGTTGCTTTACTTGCCTTGGACTGGCTCTGACCACACCTCCCACATAGACCCGGTTCAGCTACGTTAACAAGGTAAAGATTTAGCGCTTGGCCTGGTGAATTGTTCCCCGGCAGCTCCTAAACGTTTCCTTTTAAACAAACTGAATCGGTGCATGTTTTTGAAGGTTTTGTATACTGGTCCTGCTGGTTTCTTCTCCCTCTCTGCTGGTTGTGTTGCTGGGATTTCCAGATGATGCCTGCAGCAGCTCGGTCTCTGTGGGGTTAAATCACATTTTGGTCTGAGTCCATCTTCCAGACCGGCTCCAGGTAATTCATCGACTCTTTGTCAAACGAAGTCCTCCATCAGCATCGCTACGACTGACGGCTCTGCAGGAGTCATTAAGGAGCTCCGTATCGCTCAAGGCTTCCTGGTTTCTGATCCCAGCTAGAGGAAGCTCTTCACACAGGTTGAGCAGAAAACTTCTCTTTTTTTGGTTCTGTCACAAAAGCAGCATAGTTTTCTAAAAATGAGACAAACAAATGAAACGGAGGCCAGAGCAGAGCTCTCTCGCCAAGAAGAGGCGCCGTGTGGAGCTCCTGAAAGTTAGAAAGAGACGCGGCTCAGATTCGACAACATTAGACGGGAACCACCACGGCCTCAGAGACAACAAACAAACGTATAAAACTGGAGAATGATCAATGCTAAAAGACAAAAATCAGCTGATTTAAACATCACAAACGTCATTAGAAACACGTAGGAGGCTCTCAGGTGTAAATCAGAGACATCTAGAATAAAACAGCAGCATCTCGGGCTGATCGAGGCATAAATAATGTGAGTTTGTAACGCGGAGCTTCATTTCTGCAGACTCTGGGTGTAATCTAATCGTCTCCGCCAACGCCGCTGTTGTTTACGACGAGCGAAGGTTCTGCCGCCGGAGGGTTTTTAATGGTCTGGAGATTCAACTACTCTCAAAAAAACATTCAGAGTGACAAGAGCTGGAGGAAGGAGGGGGGCATCCTCTTCAGACGACACTTGAAATGAAATAAAAGCCTCCAGAGGAAAGAAAAAGTGGCATTTTGGAGATTTTAAAACGATTTACTCAGGTTTTCATGATGAAATCTGTATTCATTTGTCATCCTGCAGCAGAAAGCTCCTCTCTGCACCAGAACTATTAAGAAATGAGTAATTCTCATATCCTTGAGCCTGATTAGGGTCAGCTCTTATAAATCCCCACAAATCAGCGAATCAGTCTGAATAAATAACCTGAACAAGAAGGAAAGCCAATTACTTTATTCTAAATTAACATGTGAATACAGAAAAACAGCTTAATGACAGTTAAAAGGCTTTTTGTGGCTCGAGAGTCGTTATTTAACAAAGCAAACATCAACTCTGAATGTTGATTAGTTGCGCCAAAATTACAGTCAGTCAAAAAACAGCCGAACAAAGTAGAAGTCAGACGTTTCCTGGTGGGCGGAAAACTCGTCAGAGGAATAAATGCATCTTAATTTGTCGGCTAATCACGGTTCTCTGTGCAGAAACGGCTGCTTTCATGCTTTTGGGCTGTCTGCTGTGAGAATTAAAGCTTTAGAAATCAGTTTGTCTAGATTAGTCATAAAAAAAGAGTCAAGATAAAGTCTCAAATACGTGAAACATGCTAGAGTTTTACGTAAGAGTCTGAACATTTAAAATTAAAGTTTTAAATGAAAGTTTTCTATTTTTTAGCTTTAAAGGCACACCGATGGTTTAGCTTGCTTTTAGCACCCCCTAATGTTCGTTGTTAATTATCTGTGGTCAAACCGAAAGTGAAACTCTTCTCCTTGCTGTGGTTTCGTGGTTTTAACACCTTCATCTAGCTGCTCCAGCGTCTCCCAGCCTTCATGAGTGTCTACAGGAGCGGTTCATCACTACGGGAAGCAAATCAGCCGCGTTCCTGATCTAAAACATGCAGGAAATGAGCTGGAAGCAGCGCCAGCTATGCCGTTAAACAGTAGCCGAAGCGGCACTCTGAAGTTGCAAACGCAGTATTCCGGCCACAGGGGGCGGTGGGGGTCGCTTTAGCACAAACTGTCCCAAGAAAATGATTTAAAAATACAAAAAAGTTACAAAGTATCTTTAAATTATCTGAGTTTTTGCAACTCAAACCTTTTGCTGCTGTGATGTATTTTTGTTCCTTTTGTTTTAATGACTGGTTTTGTTTATTTTTAATAATTTGTGTGTTATTCCTTTACTGAGAACAAACAGAAAAAAGAGCTTAAATTAGAGACAAGCCTGTGTTTTATATTGATTTTGTTATTTATGTCAGGTACTCTGGTCCTAAATGTTGTAAATGTTATTTCTCTGAACTGAGGCTGTTCAGGAGGCCCTTCACCAGAGAAAAGCGTGGCCCCTCAGACATCACTTAATTACCCCCACTGTTGAGCCACTGGAGGACAAAAATGTCATACATTCATATTTATTTTACCTTTGAGGTCACACTTGTAAAAACTCACCATTCAGAGGATTTTAACCTTTAAAATCCAGTTTGATATATGCTTTTCCAGCTTTTATTACAAGTCAATTTTGGTGTTTTATTATGAAATATCTAAATTAATAATTGTTTGAGTCAATAATTAACACTCATAATCCTCGTGTCACTTCTAAAAACAGCTTTAAAATTACATAGATTAATTTTTTCTGCTTTTTGGGATTAAATCTTGTGATCAGCTTCAGTTCTGATAAAAATGATCAAATATTGATTATTTATCTAAAAGTTAACCCTTCATATGCTAGCTTAACTACATGATGCTAATTTTGAATGAAAAAACAAGAACAGAAGAGGAAATATTTTTTGGAGGACTGAAACATTTTTTTTTAAATCAGCCATAGAAATGTAGCTTTCACAGACACTTTTACTAGCAGATGTCGTTGTCCTTTAGGGACGGTTTTGTCCCTAAAGAGGACGGTGTTCCCTTGGTCTAGTTCCCGAATTCCAAATTTAATTTCTACATTTGTTAAGAGATAGAAAAAAGTTTTAACATACGCACAAACACTGATAACGTGGCGTCGGAAAGAAAAGGGAAAAACGTCCCTAATGGACTAAAACGTCTCTAATAAACAAAAATGTCTCTAATGGACAAAAATGCCTCTAATAAACAAAAACGTCCCTGTAGCGTGATGAATTGTCCATTTCTGACCTAAAGGCCCTGCTCTATTTGCTCTGCCCAAGCAGAAACACAAGTTTCTGACACAAGCCTAATCGATACGGGCCAAGGCCGCTCATGCTCGGTGCTCTTATCTAAACTGTTGCCTCCTCGGACAGCACAAGAAATAAGACGAAGAACTCTATTAAATAATAATTAAATAACTTTGTTAGTCCAAATAATCATGTGAAGCTCCATGTTCAATCATTCTGTGAAATGAGAATATTAACTAATTTATATTATAATCCTATGATAGTATATAATAAGTAATATAACTTTAAATTTTTACACTAGACTGATCACACGTAATGCTTAAGTCACATGACACATTTCCTTTTTCTGATCCAATCAGAACCTTCCAGATCTGACGCGAGGCGTGGTTTTGTTGGTGCTTGTTAAATTCCCTTTTGTGGCTAATTCTGATTCGACCATAAATCAAAACATCCACATTATAAAACTACGCCCACGTCATCTTAACTTCAGTTCAAGCGTTCTAGAGAAGTTGTCGGAGCGGCCAATCCGTAAATTTCTCTTAAAGCCGAAAGAACCCAACGACAAACTGGATTAAATCTGTTGCTGTTCCACCGGCTGCTACGGCTCCTTCAGAATAAAAGCTGAACCATCACGACCCTTCAGCATCTCGCTAGATGCCAATAAACTGTCGTGACCTGGGAGTAAATCAAGACTGGAAGGGTCGGCAACCGCTGCATATCTACAGGCGTCGGTTCCAAGCTGGACCCCCGACATTCCAGATGGGGACTTCCGTTGGGGAACGTAGACCGACAGATGTGTGTTATGTGTGTTATAATCTCCAACCAAAAGCTTAGAGCGAAACACCATCTTCACTCCCATCAGAACTAACCGTTTCTCTGGATCTGCTGGTTCTGAACATATTCACACACACACCATCCTCAGTCTTACTCCACCTTAGTTACACCATCACAGTGTTTTAAGTTGGTCTAGTTTAATTTGTTTAGTAATAAATATTTAGACTTTTTAAACCTGACTCTCTCTCTCTCTTTTCTTGAAGTTGATACGAAGCGTTGCTCAATCCCTGCAATAAAAAGATCCGATCTTCTGGTTAAATGTACTCAAAGATCCATTAAGGTGATATTTCATATTTTATGATATTTCACATTCTATGGTTTCTAATTCAATGTAAGAACATCTTCTCTACATATTTGGCAAGCCATTGCCAGTTATTTGTACATTGTGACACTTTGTGTTGAGTCTAAGATCAATTTTAATTAAATAAACACTAAAAAATTCATCAAAAGTGGATGTTCTGAGTGAGATCCATTAAGGTGATATTTCCTATTTTATGGTTTCTAATGTCTCTAAAGGACAAAAACATCTCTAACGATGCCCGAGGGTTAAAATGACCAAATTATCCTTTTAAAATCTGCAGACGTGAGGAATTACAATAATAAAGAGATTTTCTTTATCATAATATTTGTCTGAAGTGTGTGTGTGTGTGTGTGTGTGTGTGTGTGTGTGTGTGTGTGTGTGTGTGTGTGTGTGTGTGTGTGTGTGTGTGTGTGTGTGTGTGTGTGTGTGTGTGTGTGTGTGTGTGTGTGTGTGTGTGTGTGTGTGTGTGTGTGTGTGTGTGTGTGTGTGTTCTGGAGAATAACACGGAGGAGTCACCAGGAGGTTTAGAAATAAGCTGTTTTGGTAAATTTGGCTCCATCAGGACCGACTCTGTCACACGGGAATCTGACCATCTCAGCAGGAGCAGAACCTTCCTCCACCCTTTAATCCCGTCAATCTGTCACACTCTTCCCTCTCAGTGGATAACGAGCCCCCTAATCCGGAGTCTGGAGCTTCTCACTGCCTCTGGCTTTTCCTCCATCTCAGGTAAAAATAACTATCAGAGCACGGAGGGGGCAGCAGCAGCCGCGTGTTACCTGTCTGAAGGCCTCGCCGTCTCCCTTGCCGGCCTGCTGAGCGATGAGCATCAGCTTCTTGCTCTTCTTGTTGCGTTTGTGGATGGTGTAGAGACAGGACAGCAGGCACACCAGCAGCATGAGGGCGAGCAGACTCAGCAGGGACAGGATGGCGACGGCCAGGGGGGGCAGCTTGTAGGCTGAGAAGATAACAGCAGCAGAAAGTAATGAGGATTCTGCAAACGGAACAAACAGGACATTCCTGTCTCCAGCTGCTTTTCAGTGGCGGATTTAGCAATTTGGGGGCCCAAGGTGAACACAGACATGGGCCCCCTTACACTAAAATTTCCACAATCTTATCTTTAACTGGATTTGCGAAACTCTCCCCAGTTCTGACACGAGTTATTTTGCCTTTTTATTGGTTTTTCCTGTCTTTCTCTCTCTTTGAGTGCTTTCTTCTTCCTGTCAGTGCTCCTGTGCTTTTGCCTTTTTTTCTTCTATTTTCCATTTTGGTCCATTTTCATCCCTTTAAACATTTTCCATTGTCTTTCCTTTCTGCTTCCTTTGATGTTTACATAGAAAGACGACGTCACTTTCGGGAGTGAAGATAAAAGCTTTTTTAAAGCAAGCTGCTTCTGTCTCATGCTTCATGTTTTCACCACCAACGCGCCCGCCTCTCTTCTTCTTATTTGTGCTCTTGTGGCACTTGGCAAACAACAATTTGGTGCATTACTGCCACCAACTGGATTGGAGTGGAATGACTACCAATCACTTCCTGTTTGTGCATCTGTGTCTTAAAGGAATAGTCCATTGTGGCATTAACAGAGGGGTGTCGGCGGTCAGGGCTGGGGGGCCTCCCAACACAAGGGGGCCCCAGGCGGCCGCCGACCTATGGCTAATGGTAAAACCGCCACCGGTTGTTTTAGTGAGAAACTTAACTAATGACCGAACTTTAAATGTTTAGATGAAAGATCAAAAACCAGAATCTCGCTAGAGACAGAAAAATATGCAGATAATCCGTTTGAGTCCCGCTTGGTTCACGCGGGCAGCGTGCGGGAGAATTTAGACACAGAAAGCTCTAATGAAGTCTGGGTTTGTTTCATTGTGGTTGTAAAGCACCTTGGGGGGTTGTAGAGCCCTAGGAACACACCATTAGACCGTTAACCGCTTTCGGTCTGACTCTCACGTTGTTCACAGCGTCGGAGGAAGGTCCAGCTGGATTCTGGTAGAATCACGGCGAAACAACAGAAGAGCGAGTGATGTAGTGAATATTACATAAATCTTGTTTTTTGTGGTACAAACATCCATGTTACATTTATATTTACACCCCCGTTGTCCTTGACTCCAGATCACGTTAACAAACAACAAATCTAAAATAACATCCCAGAATTTCCGTGAAATGAAAAGTTTCATTTGTCGTCATGTTTGGGTGTAAAAGCGGCTTTCATCACCGCGGCGGGTCGAAACCGAGTTAAACTGAACAAAAAGGTTTTTATTAAAAAATGAATGTGACCAAAAAAATAATTAATAATTTAACAGAATCGGTTCTGGTCGACTGTGTTCTGACTGCTTAGTAACAAAATGTATTAAACAAAGGAAAAATGGAGGAAACATAATTCATTCATCTATTAATTTATTCATTCATACATTTATTTTGTAAGTATTAATTTATGGGTTTATTTATTCATTTGTTCATTTATTTATTTGTGTATTCATTCATTCATCAATTCATTTATTCATTCATTCATTTTGTAAGTGTTTATTCATTGGTTTATTTATTCATTTGTTCATTTATTTATTCATGTATTCATTCAGCAATTCATTCATTCATTCATCAATTCGTTTATTCGTTCATTAATTTATTTTTGTGATTATTTATTTATTGGTTTATTTATTCATTTGTTCATTCAGTTTTCATTCATGTATTCATTTATTCAGTCATTCATCAATTCATTCATTTATGTATTTATTTACTTATTGGTTTATTTATTTATTCATGTATTTGTTTATTCATTCATTCATCAATTCATTCATTTATTTATTCATGTATTAATTCATCAATTCATTCATTCATTCATCAATTCATTCATTTATTTATTCATGCATTCATTCATCAATTCATTCATCCATTCATTTATTTAATTATTGGTTTATTTATTCATTCATTTATTCCTGTATTCATTCATCGGTTAATTTGTTCATTCATTTATTTATTCATTTATTCATCTGGTTATTTGTTTATTCATTAATTGATTTTTGAAATTTTTTTTATTGGTTTATTTATTCATTTTGTTCATTTATTCATGTATTGATTTATTTATTCATTCATCAATTCATTCATTCATTTATTTATTAATTTATTTAATTATTTATTTATTCATTTTATTTATTCATTCATTTATTAATTAAATTTATTTATTGGTTTATTTATTTATTCATTCATTCATTGATTTATTTGTATTTGTAGCAGAAATGTTACTAGTAGTGTTACAAGTAGAACTATTATTAGCAGTAGCAGCAGTAGTATTACTAGTATTAGTAGCAGTAGTTTTAGTATTATAATTTGCAGTAGTAATACCAGCATTAGTAGTAGTATTTATAGTATTTTTCCACATCTACCTGAGACGTTTGTGATGTTTGGCTGAATTCACTAACGATCATTAGAGGTTTTAACCACAGCTGAAGCTAACTAGTTAAGCTAACTAGTTAAGCTAACTAGTTAAGGAGCTCTCGTCTTACGTTCCACGTTGATGTGAACGTGAGCCACGGTGAATCCGCCCAGGTCTTTTATCATGAACACTCCGATGTCGGAGGTCTGGACCTTCTTCATGCGGAGTTCTGACCCGTCCACTGTCAGCCGGCCCTCCAGCTGAGGGTCCAGCGGCGCCACCAGAACCCCCTGATCCACCACGACCCGGTCCTGGTTGTCTGATTTGGGTCTGTAGACGATGTTCAGGTTGGAGTAGTGAAGGAAGAGTTTCATCCTCAGGTTTTCTCCGTAAGAGAGGCGAAGGAAGCTCTGGTGGTCTGAGATAAACATAAACAGAGTGATGATGATGATGGTGGTGATCTAGAACCTTCTAGGGTTCTACTGCCTCCCAACGGGCTGAGCAGGACTCGAACCTGCAACCTGCCAGTTACGGGGCGGGTTCTAACTCCTCTGCTTCTGCTGTCCAATATGCATTAAATGTTTCAGCTCTGCGCTGCTAATTAACTTTAAAGGGAGATTAGGCAGTTTTGGCTCCTTTTAGCGCCCCCTGGTGTCCGTTTGCAGAACTAGAACTAGAACTCATCTCCTCGCTGAGCGTTGGTCTTTTTAACACCTTAATCCGACAGCTGACGCGACTCCTCGGCCTTCAGAAGTGTCTACAGGAGCGATTCATCACCATTAGCTCATGATGGAGCCAGACTGCAGCAGCAGGTAGGTCAGCTCCCAACAGAGCGGCCCGCCACTCTGAAGTTGCAAGTGGGATATGTCATTAACTCTGTAAAGGGTCATTTTAGCACAAACTGGCTCAAGGAAGTTATTTAAAATATGAAAAAGTTGCAAAATGTGTCTTTAATAGTTTTATTTAGCATACATTCTTGGAGCAGAACCCGTAAACGGAACCTCTCTGGTTCCATCCGAACCTGCTGCTTTGGTTTTGCTGAGCTGCAGGTTCTGAAGGGGGCGGGGCTAATCCGCACCTGGATGCTTCTCTCATGAGGAATAAAATCAGCAGTTCTGGTTCACGTGTCTGTGTTTGTGGAGCTTCGTTTAACCTCCAAGTTTCAGATTACCGAGCTGCCTGGGATTAGAGGCACACTATGAAACTTTCTCACAGCTTTAAATCATCTTCTTGATCCAGAATTTGCTAAAATAATGAAGAAATGTCACTCAGACCCCACCACCCTCTGTGACCAGAATATCGCACTTGCAAATTCTGAGTGCCGGTCAGGTCATTTCAGATCTGCAGTCTAGCTCCAGCACGTTTCCTGCACGCTTTAGATCAGGAGTGATGAATGTCTCCTGTAGACACTAATGAAGGCTGGGAGTCGCTGCAGCTGTGAGATTAAGGTGTTAAAAGGACGAACGCTCACGGTTACAGACGTGTGATTTATACGCTAAAGACGCGTGGAGGTCAGACCTAAGAGAGATGAAATCAAGCCTGAGAAATAATCTGGCTCTGCTCACCTCGGACGTTCAGACAGTTCTTCATCTTGGTGAAACCTTCCCGGTCCAGAACTGTGAAGCTTCCTTCGTCCGTCATCCTGACCGAGTGCAGCGTCACCTGCCTGTCCGACACGCTGAGACGGCCCACGTAGTCCTCCCCCAGAACCGCCGTCTGGTTGTACAGAACCACAGGAGGCGGTTCTGATGTCTGAATGTCGGTCTGGTTGACTCTGACCAGACTGGGTCTGACAACCAGAACATGAGAGGAGGACCGTTTTATCTCTAAATGCTGAAATAATCGTTTCTACGTCACACTCACCTGAACTCCAGCGTGATGGGACCTTCTACATGGTTCAGGTGGATGACGTAGGTCTCTCCGTATTTTACCACCTGCTCCAAAGCGCAGTCTGTTCAGGACAAAACCCAAACTTAGCCAAAAACAATGAATTATTCTGTGTAGTACAGTATTTAGATTGGTGTGTTCTGTGTTCTTAATATTTAAAAGGTTTTAATCCTTGGAAACATCATTTGTGCAGAAATCAAACTCAGGATGTTCTTTTCTCACATCCAGAGAGTTTAAAACTAACGTTTCACTCATAAAGTTAACGAATAATCACATTCCTGATTAACCGGAGTGTCCCTGAATGCATCAGATGCATTTCCAGGCCGGAGGAAACAGAAACTTCATCAGACTGGGCTCAGCAGCGGGAATCGTACCCCTGACCACGAGGACCAGCTGTCTGCTGGAATTCCGGTTGTCTCTGATGATGTAGACGCCTTCGTCCTCCTCCTGGACGTCCTTCAGCACCAGGTCTCCCAGAGAGTTCAGCTCGGCTTTGGACTGGTTGACCAGCAATCCCGCACGCAGCAGAGGAACCTCGTAGGACCGGTTGGTCCTGGGTTTGAACACGACCTCCGACTCAGACGAGACCTCGATGTGGACGTCCTCGCCGAAGAAGGCCGTCCTGCTTTCTGTTTTTACTGAAACAAACACAAATCTGGTCACTCCTGAAGCAAAGATCTCCTTTCATCCGGAATCTTCCAACAGAAGGAGCAGATTTACCGTGTGGCGACGCCGACACGACTGTGGAGAAAACAGAAAAACGGTTCACGTGTTAAAAATAGGCTGATTATAACGACTCAGAGCGAAGGAAATGAGGGACATAACCGCATAAATTAGCTTCACTGGTGGGTTTTGTACAAGTCATTACCTTTGTTCTGGGTAAAGTTTCTAACGCTCGATTGGGAGAACTTCGACCCAAATGACGGGTTCTGTTTGTGCTTACCGGTGCAGAACACGGCGCTAAGGACTGCAGCTCCAATTACTCTCATCTTGAAATGCTTTTCTCTGCAAAAACCAAACCTGCAGACAGAAAAACAACAAAAATGTATTTTTAGCTTCATTATGGCTTAAAAGAACTTCATAAACGGAGACGTTCATCAGCGCCGGGTTAAAGGTTCTGGAGCTGACGTCATTTATTTACCTGGCAAGAAAATCTATAAATTTGTATTATTCATGTTTGGTTGACAGATTAATTGTTTTTAAGATGTGTGTGTGTGTGTGTGTGTGTGTGTGGTGGTGGTGGTGGTGGGGGAGCTGTGACAGATTAATTGTCTTTAGGGTGTGTGTGTGTGGGGGGGGGGGCTGTGACAGATTAATTGTCTTTAGGGTGTGGGGGTGAGCTGTGACAGAATTGTTTTTAGGGTGTGGGGGGTGAGCTGTGACGGATTAATTGTTTTTAGGGTGTGGGGGTGAGCTGTGACAGATTAATTGTTTTTAGGGTGTGGGGGTGAGCTGTGACAGATTAATTGTTTTTAGGGTGTGGGGGGTGAGCTAAGACAGATTAATTATTTTTAGGGTGTGGGGGTGAGCTGTGACAGATTAATTGTTTTTAGGGTGTGGAGGGGGGTGAGCTGTGACAGATTAATTGTTTTTAGGGTGTGGGGGTGAGCTGTGACAGATTAATTGTTTTTAGGGTGTGGGGGTGAGCTGTGACAGAATTGTTTTTAGGGTGTGGGGGGGGAGCTGTGACAGATTAATTGTTTTTAGGGTGTGGGGGGTGAGCTGTGACAGATTAATTGTTTTTAGGGTGTGGGGGTGAGCTGTGACAGAATTGTTTTAGGGTGTGGGGGTGAGCTGTGACAGATTAATTGTTTTTAGGGTGTGGGGGTGAGCTGTGACAGAATTGTTTTTAGGGTGTGGGGGTGAGCTGTGACAGAATTGTTTTTAGGGTGTGGGGGTGAGCTGTGACAGATTAATTGTTTTTAGGGTGTGGGGGTGAGCTGTGACAGAATTGTTTTTAGGGTGTGGGGGTGAGCTGTGACAGATTAATTGTTTTTAGGGTGTGGGGTTGAGCTGTGACAGAATTGTTTTTAGGGTGTGGGGGTGAGCTGTGACAGATTAATTGTTTTTAGGGTGTGGGGATGAGCTGTGACAGATTAATTGTTTTTAGGGTGTGGAGGTGAGCTGTGACAGAATTGTTTTTAGGGTGTGGGGGTGAGCTGTGACAGAATTGTTTTTAGGATGTGGGGGTGAGCTGTGACAGAATTGTTTTTAGGGTGTGGGGGTGAGCTGTGACAGATTAATTGTTTTTAGGGTGTGGGGGTGAGCTGTGACAGATTAATTGTCTTTAGGGTGTGGGGGTGAGCTGTGACAGATTAATTGTTTTTAGGGTGTGGGGGTGAGCTGTGACAGATTAATTGTTTTTAGGGTGTGGGGGTGAGCTGTAACAGATTAATTGTTTTTAGGGTGTGGGGGTGAGCTGTGACAGATTAATTGTTTTTAGGGTGTGGGGGTGAGCTAAGACAGATTAATTATTTTTAGGGTGTGGGGGTGAGCTGTGACAGATTAATTGTTTTTAGGGTGTGGAGGGGGGGGGGAGCTGTGACAGATTAATTGTTTTTAGGGTGTGGGGGTGAGCTGTGACAGAATTGTTTTTAGGGTGTGGGGGTGAGCTGTGACAGAATTGTTTTTGGGGTGTGGGGGTGAGCTGTGACAGATTAATTGTCTTTAGGGTGTGGGGGTGAGCTGTGGCAGAATTGTTTTTAGGGTGTGGGGGTGAGCTGTGACAGATTAATTTTTTTTAGGGTTTGGGGGTGAGCTGTGAACAATGAATTGTTTTTAGGGTGTGGAGGGGGGGGGGGTGAGCTGTGACCAATTAATTGTTTTTAGGGTGTGTGTGTGTGTGTGGTGGTGGTGGGGGGGGAGCTGTGACCGATTAATTGTATTTAGGGTGTGTGTGTGGGGGGGGTGAGCTGTGACAGATAATTGTTTTTAGGGCGTGGGGGGTGAGCTGTGACGGATTAATTGTTTTTAGGGTGTGGGGGGTGAGCTGTGACAGATTAATTGTTTTTAGGGTGTGGGGGTGAGCTGTGACAGATTAATTGTTTTTAGGGTGTGGGGGTGAGCTGTGACAGATTAATTGTTTTTAGGGTGTGGGGGGTGAGCTAAGACAGATTAATTATTTTTAGGGTGTGGGGGTGAGCTGTGACAGATTAATTGTTTTTAGGGTGTGGAGGGGGGTGAGCTGTGACAGATTAATTGTTTTTAGGGTGTGGGGGTGAGCTGTGACAGATTAATTGTTTTTAGGGTGTGGGGGTGAGCTGTGACAGATTAATTGTCTTTAGGGTGTGGGGGGTGAGCTGTGAACGATGAATTGTTTTTAGGGTGTGGAGGGGGGGGTGAGCTGTGACCAAATAATTGTTTTTAGGGTGTGTGTGTGTGTGTGTGGTGGGGGGGGGGGGGGAGCTGTGACCGATTAATTGTATTTAGGGTGTGTGTGTGTGGGGGGGGGGTGAGCTGTGGCAGAATTGTTTTTAGGGTGTGGGGGGTGAGCTGTGACAGATAATTGTTTTTAGGGTGTGGGGGGTGAGCTGTGACAGATTAATTGTTTTTAGGGTGTGGGGGTGAGCTGTGACCGATTAATTGTATTTAGGGTGTGTGTGGGTGGGGGGGGGGGGGGAGCTGTGACAGATTAATTGTTTTTAGGGTGTGGGGGTGAACGTCGATAAGTCATTAATAAACCTTTCAGGTTTGTTTTCCTGAAACAATAAAAAATAGACGCAGAATAATATTTCACATCGAGCTATTTGTAAGTGAAGCTAAAAGCTGATTTTAAATGATAAAATATAAAAAGGTTGTTTTTAAAAGGTTTCAGAAATGTTCCTGCTTGACTTTTTGATTTAAAGTGTTTTTCTGTGATGTCATCGCTGGGAGGCGGGACTGGTTTTAGGTGTTTAAGTTTGTAAAAGAATCTAAACCTGGTCATTCTGCAGGGTTCTCAGCTCCAACACACCTGGTTTTGGTCCGCAGGTGGCTGACGGGTGACTCCAGCATGAATCAGGTGTGCTGGAGCAGAGAAACAACTAAAACAATTTCCAGCTCACCACTGATTTAAACAGTCACGTAGTTCTCAGACGAGCCAGTGAATGTTCTAGATTGTGATTTACTGATGAGACGAAGCAGATCGCTAAGTGGGACTGACCACATGTTTACAATAATGCATGACGGAGCCATCAGCTGGAGGTGCAGAAACAACAGAGCAGACGCTCGTTTCTGCCGTACCGTTAGACCTCCTCCCAGCTGCTCCTCACCTACAGTCAGCTCACCTGTCTCACTCAGCAGTCACATCTTTCTGTGTCTCCTGCTCGTTGTTCTGTCCTGTTCTCCGGGTCATTAATAGCATGGACCTCCCGCCCGTTCTCTCTGTTTTCACACCTCAGATTATACATGAAAACATGCAGATTCATTAGAAATTGTTCGCCCTTAAGTTTCATAACAGGAAGTGAAGCACAGACGACGTTTCCCCTCGTAGAAAACAACTGGAATGTGTTGAAACCCCGCCTCCTTTTGGAGCTTTGACCCACAGGTGTATAGCACCTTTCAGACTCCAAAGCGCCTTACACTACAGTGTATCATTCACCCATTCACACGCTGGTGGTGACGAGCTGACAGAGGTGAGGCTGCCGAGCACCACCTGCAGGCAAGCTGGGTAAAGTGCCTTCGAGCCGGGATCGAACCTGCAACCTTCTGATTACTGAACAACCCGCTCTACCTCCAGAGATACAGCTAATGGGCTGCTTGTAGTTACCACGGATATAAAAATAAGCTGCTGGTGGTTGCCATGGTGTCCCTGATGAACTTCTGACAACAGCTTTAACATTTCAGTTGATTAAACTGTGGATGTTTAGATTATGACTGTGTTCAAAAACTTTCTTTACCTCAGACTGAGACGTCCTTCCTAAAGACTCCAGGCTGAGACGTCCCTAAGGCCTCTGGTTCTAGTGCGGACATGCTCCTGATGGAAGTGATTAGACCAGCTGATCTGTACCAGACAGCTGACTGACGTCCAGCATCTCCCTGATGATGAAAGGTGAAGAGGTTCCATCTTTCCATTTGACCTCATCACTCCACCCTGACCGAACTTCCTGCTCTTGTTATCATGTCAGCTCTCATCTTCCTGCTTCCTCTCTCTCTCTCTCTTCTTCCTCCTCGGTGCTAATTATCCTCCCGGGTCCTGCAGAGGACTGCGGCTCTGTGGACAAGCTGAGGTAATACTGAATCTCCTCCCCAGTCGCTCGCATTCCATCATGGTTTCTTCTTACACTAAGTGTAAATGAATCTGATTAGCCCCAATCCTAACCCTGTGGTTCTGCACAGCCCAGCAAAGGCCACGCAGACGTTCCCTCGTCTTTTCATTTAGCATAAAAACCAGCCTCCTAAAATAGAAACCGTTCCTGCAGCTCCGTCCAAAGCACCGGCGGGAGCTGCTGCAGCTCAGGGTGTGTCGTGACCGGCATGAATCAGGATTAGGGATGAGGAAAGGAGGAGCGGGGAGGGAGAGGAGGGCATGAATGAAGAATGCAAGGTGGCATTTTTGATGCTCAGGATGAAGCATGCTCTCTCTCTCTCTGTGATGTTCAGACCAGCTCCAGAAGACTGAGTCAACAATCAGCTGCTCGGAACAAATTTGACCCAATAAAATCTGATTTTACTTCATTTTATCTTTAATTAACCCGCAAACTGCTCGGTGAGTTGGCTAATCTGCTCCGGCCGTTAGGAAGTGGATCATCATTCAGCTCTAAAGGAGTCTGGATGTGACAAGTCAGCAGGTCTGGCGCGCGCCAGTGCAGTGCGTAACGTTTCCAGCAGGGTGGGCCAGAAACCCCCCATCCCGGTGGGTATATCCCGAACATGCATGTGGAACCTCGACCCAGATTAGAGAACCAGATTAAACACGCCTCAAAGCTGCAGATGTGTCCGTTTAAACGCTTTTAATGACAGAAATGAAAGATTCGTAAGGATTTTACACATTTTCACCAACGACACGTGAGCGGCGGGTTTAGCGTTTTCAGTGAAAACTGGAGGTTTTTGTCCCAACTGCACCTAAACCGGCCCAAAAGCAGCCAAGGCGCGCTGCAGATTTAACCCGCTCCCTCCCGGGTGGAGCGCAGAAACCCGACACAGATGAAGGTAATTACCTTTTTACAGCCGTGGTTCTGGAGACCGGAGCGCGGGGAGGAGCTCCGCTGGGCTGCGAGGCGCTTGCCTGGTGGGTCTCGTCCTCCCCCACCTCCCCCAGCCGGGAAGCAGACTTTCAGCGCGAGGGAAGAAGATCGGGACGCGAGATGAAGATTTCGGTGGATGTCGGGTGTGTGGAGGCTGACGGTTCGGCTCAGGTCGGGAAACTTCGGGAATAAGCGTGAATCCTGCTGGCTCAGCGCCAGACGAGCTGCTCTGAGGTTTGGGGGAGTGGGGGGATTAGGGTTTGAGCTTTAAACGTCAGTTTATAAACACACGTTTATCATTAAATCTAGATATTAGAGCCCAACTTTATAAATTTAAATCTAAATATTTAGATTCAAAACCCAATTGTCCGTCCTGGGACCCTCTAAAGAGGACATCAGCTTCATCCTGGATGATAGTTTACTCAATTTAAACCTGTTTTGTTTTTTAAGAAGTCTGCTTGTAAATGTAAAACAAAAATAGTTTATTTATCTTGTTTTTAATTATTTAATTTTACTTTATTTTAGTCGTAAGGTTCTGCTAATACAAAATGGCTCAGGAAAATTTCACACCAAGAAAATCTTAATCCAAACATACAAATTAAGAAACTCTGTATTTAGAATCACCACTTTACGTTATCTTAAAGAGACAGTGTGTATGTTCACCTTTAATCTCTGGAAGCGTCCATCGGAACGTTGCTGAAAATGAATAAAATGACGTCGTCGTTGAAGAATATTGGCGACTTTGTAACATATAACCATGAATTCTGGTCTAAACAGGGCGCGAGTCTAGTGTCGTTGGGGGACGCCATATTAGACGCCATGTTTCCTTTTGGCCAGCGCTGGGTGTCGATGACATCACACTAGATGATTGGCTGGACGTACGATTTCTGGAAGTTACTATACCACGTTTGGAAACATTTCGGAGGTAAGAAACACAAATTTAGGAACAAAATTGCTCTTTCCAAAACCAATGTGAAAGAACAGAATTGAAGAAGAGATGCATTATAATTTGGCTGAGTGGCATTGCCGTATATGATGACATCATCAGCAGGCGCAGGACCCCGAGGAGAAAACTACAATCGACATTGCATTCTCTCCGTGGAATTAACTGAAGGTCCATCAAAGTCTGAGGAGTCACGCTGAGGTTGCATGCTTTCTGTTCCACAGGTAACAAAAGTTAGCCTAACGTTTTTTTAAACTAGACAATTGTGTAAAAATACCCTGAAACTTATGTACTGCCCCCTAGTGCCAGGAAACTACACACTGCCACTTTAAATATAGATATACTTTAAAATGTCATAAAAATAATTCTACTTAAAAATTTACAATTGAAAATGTAAAATGTTACATTTCAATACTCAGATTAAAATCTAAAGTTACAACTTTACCTCTAAATGTATAATTAGCTCTCCTTACAAGGACTCTGTCGCAGATCTGATCCCACATCAGTTGGTCTGGTCTCCTTTACCCACTTTCTTCCTCTTTTGTTCATTTATAGATTCTAAATCTGGTCTCTGAGTCTTTTTTCAGCATCAAGCAGTGATAAATAAAGATGAAATGTTGTTTTTAGACTTCTTCAGAGGGTCTTTAGAGGCTGCTGTCCATGGTCCTGATCATCTCCGACCTGCTGGTGCTCTCCAAGGTCCTGAACCACATCAATCTATTAATGTATTTTATTGGTCCTGAATTTCTGCTTGAGCGTGTTTTATTGTTAGTAAAGTTATCCGACTGTTGTTATTGCACATGTCAGATAAAAGCACCAGGTACCTTTGCTCTTTGCCAACGTGTGTTTCTGCTTAAATATAAACTAGATTTAAATTAAAATGAAATTTACTGTCAAAAATATAGTTTTGATTCTGACCCTTAGAAACAAAAAATAATCTTACTTTAAATACCTGCACATGGAGAATATTATTTACATTATAAATTGGGAAGAGTTTAGGAATTGTGAATCAGCACCAGATGGATCCTAAAAGTCTCGTCAGCGTGAAAGTGGCAGCAGCTTTTATTTTTTGGCTCTTCGCCATCAGAGCTTTTATCATATTTGTTGTTGTCACAAAGAAGACAAAAACATCCTGAAAGTGTTTCTAAACACGACAAAAGCTGCTCGTTTATAATAATGACCGCTGGAAGTGTTTCCTAGAAATATTTTGATTTGCTCCCAACATCTAAACACGACAGCATCCCATAATAAACAGGAATAAAAACAGCATCTCATCTGAACGCAGGCATTTCTTATAGGAGGCAAGGATGTCAGTATTGGTTTCTGTTACCATGGAGATGGTGATGCTTTACTAGACCAGGTCATGAACTTTTGTTTGTTCCAGGCGCTCGCTCTGCTCAGGTACGTCCAGCCGAGCGAGGGTCTGCTGCACGAGCACCATCAGCTCCTAAAAGTACTCACAATCAGCAAATGTTCAGACGTCGGGTTTGTTCACACGTTAGAAAAATTAACATGGGAGATTTATTTTTTAAAAAGAAGCGTGTTTATGTGATGAAATGAGTTTTATATGATCAAATAAAAACTAAATCAACTTAAAATGTATTTATTTGTTCCTGAAGTAAAATATAAGTCCAGTTTTTCTAAATGAATTATAAAAAAAACATGCAGTTAACCATTCGTGTGTGTGTGTGTGTGTGTGTGTGTGTGTGTGTGTGTGTGTGTGTGTGTGTGTGTGTGAGTGAGTGAAATATCTCAGGTGGCCACCAGATGAAGCCAAACGTTAAAAAAAAGTAAAAATAAAAAATCTACTCTGTATTTTAATGATCTTTGCTGCTGCTGCGACTCCCTTTCTCCACCAGAGGGAGCTCTAAGCTCATCCTTTCACTCGTCCACCAGGCAGCTGTGGTAAACATGTCCTTTTAAACCCAGAGAAAGGTTTATTCATGTATGGATAAAGTCTACTGATGGCAGGATTTCATCCAAAGAAGTCAGCAGGCTGAACTCATAACATGGGTAGGAGGTGACCATGCAGGTCAAATCTGACCAGGGATACTTACTGATGACCAACACCGTCTTCACCCCGCCTGTGAGAGCTGTCTGATATCTGGTCCAGTCCAGCAGTGGTTTGGTTGTGACTCACCTGAACTCTGCATCCACCTGAAGAGAATGAAAGCATGGGTTTGAGATGTGATTGTAGTGGGAACTCGGGTAAATACCTCCGAAGCGTAACCCAGTAAGCCACCTGACACGCAGCGTGTACGGATTCGCCCTGGTTGATATTGTTTGAGGGATTTTTATGAATGTGATGTAACCGCTTACTGCAGTACTTCCGCCTGGTGTGCCCATGAGCTTGCCCACTGCCAACTACAGTCTTTAGGTTGACATCAAACTAAAAATAAAACTGTAGAGAATTAAATTAAATATCTATGAAAGTTTATGAATATTTACCATCACAAGGTTGCCACACACAAAAAAACTGGTGTTTCCCAGCCGAGATCTGAAAAACAAAGACATGCAGCAGCGTCAGGAGGTAGAGCGGGTCGTCCAGTAACAGAAGGTTGCAGGTTTGATCCCAGCTTCCACCAGAGGATGCTGCTGTTGTGTCCTTGGGCAAGACACTTAACCCACGTTGTCTGCTGGTGGTGGTCGGAGGGACCGGTGGCGCCTGCGCTCGGCAGCCTCGCCTCTGTCAGTGCGCCCCAGGGCAGCTGTGGCTACATCGTAGCTCATCACCACCAGTGTGTGAATGGATGAACGATTCACTGTCATGTAAAGCACTTTGGAGTCCTCTGACTCTGAAAGCTGCTGCACAAGTGCGGCTCATTTATCATTTGCCTAAAAATGTTTTTTTTAGTGACAAACGGATCAAAACAGAAAACCCAAAACACTAATTCACCAAACTTACATGTTCAGAATGAAAAGCTGCCACTGAGGACTCGTTTCGCTCTGATTCATCTAAAGACTTGATTTTTAAATGATTCTTTTTTTTCTAAATGATCATTTTCCATAAACCCAAATCAACTGAAAGTCGAGTTTCTGACCTGACCCTAACCCAGCTTCAGTTTTTACGTCCCTGTCCTGAACTCCGAAAACGTTCAGACGGCAGTGATACATCCAACATGGACCCATTCTAGTCTGAACATCCCCACAAACACGATCAATCCTGATTTATGCAACAGCACAGCTAGCTAGTGCAACAATCCATTGTTTTATTGTCTCCCTGTGAACAAGGGGAGTTGCGCCCTCCAGTGGTGACAACTGGAGCTGCAGTCTGGTTAGCTTCATTATCCCAGTGATGCTGAAAATAATCCTAATCTCTGATTTACCTTGTCTGTAAACCCTTCAGGAGCAGCTAGTCTTGAAGCAGAGAAAAGGAGGTTTTCTACTTTAGCTGCTGAACTCAGGGTAGCTGCAGGTTTAAGGGAGCCAAATTTAAGACTTTTTAAGGCCACTTTGACCAAATTGAAGCTATTTTTAAATTAAATTTAAGATATAATTTCCAGCTATTGCCTGGAACCGGTGCTAACCACGTCGTGAACGCGGGATTAGCCACCCAGTTACCATTAAACTTGCACTTCCCAATGGTGCAAGCTCCCACTTATTCCATCTTTCAGTTCTTTGTTTGACGAAACGTTGCAGGTAAATAAAAACCTTTCTGTGTTTTAAAAAGAACTGAAAGATGGAATTAGAATTTCAACACAACAAGAACACACCAAAGAAGCTCCCACTAGCTTAACCAGCTAAAGTGCTCATCTAAAAATAGCCACCTTTCACAACCAACTGCATGTGTACGGTTCCGCTTACGGCAACATCATACACAAAAAATGCTGAACGCTGACTAGAAATTCACGAAAATTTAATAGAAATAAAATAATGTTGTTTATCGGGTCTTTGGTAATTAATTTAAGACCTTTGGAAACTGTATTTAATGATTATTTATCATTTTTAAGGCCTTAAATTTGGAAAAGCAGATTTAAGACTTTTTAAGGACCCGTGGATACCCTGCGAACAGGTGAGCCGACCCTCGAACAGGTGTGTTGGAGCAGAAAAACAACTAAAATGCTGGATGGTGGCCCTGCAGGACCAAGTTTTGGGTCAATAATTGAATCATTTTCCTGATTTAACAATAAAAATACAGAAAATTGAACCAGGTGTGGATTTCTGTTGTTGCTTCATCTTCAAATATCATCTCATCAAACACATTTAGTGACAATTTCCTCTGAAAACCCGAGTTTCTGCAGGACTTCTCCAGCCAAGTGCATCTAAAGGACATTGTGACTTCATGCGAGAACAAACCTTGAATAGTTAAAACATCCGGACTAAAACGAGCCGGCTGGACTTAATAAAACACGCCAGACGGAGGTGGATTTGCAACATAAACACTTTTATGTTTTATTAGGCATAAAGGGAAGATGAGGTTAACTGTGCATATGCAAGAGGGTGGTTAATAAGTGGATTACCAGGAGCGTTGCTAGGTTATTTCTTCATAAAAAGACACAACAGAAAACAAGGTGGATTATACATGAAGACCGTCGCCGTGTGGGCGTTTGGGTTGGACCCGTCCTTTAGTGCCGTCGAATCGTGTTTAAATGGTTACTCGTGGGTTTCTGATCACAGTGGTTCCCTTCTGAACAGCACCGGGAGAATCAGGGAACGTTTTACAACTTTGGTTTTCCATTTATTTCCCAAATGAGCGGAAAGTTTCTAACTTACGCTGTAAAAACTGTAAAGGTGGCTTTAATTCTCTTTTCAACGGGACTAAAATGTTTTTATTTCTAACAATAAAAACTCTTAAATCAGGATTATTACCAGTATCATGTGAAGTTGTGTTGACATGATTACTTTTGATTTAAACGTTTAAATAAACCTCGGAGCTTTCTGAGACCCATCTCCGTGACTCGGTGCTCGTACGTTGGGCTTTTTTCTCTTTTCATATATTTTCTGTACACGAGACGAACACTTCCCTTTGATCTATGTTATGTACAGCATACTGCAATCCCATAATGCCCCAGAGCGGGTCTGGCGTGGGTAACCTCTGCACTGCCGTTGGAACGAAGAGTCGTAAGATGTATGAAAAGTTGGTCTAAATAAGGCGGGTAACAGTACCTGTCAGCTGTTCCTCACACTCACGCCTCCCACCAGCTCCCTGACTCAGACACGCCGGCTCTCCTCGCTCCGGGAGGGAGGAGGGATAACATTAGAAATGGAACTGGACCCCCCCCCCCTTCCTGTCACTCATGCACGTTTCTCTCTGCATGTTCAGCGTTCCTCTGTTGTAGAAAAATACAAACATATGATTTATATATATATATATTAAAAAAAGACAAACGATGACAAACATAGGCATGAAGTACGAGCTTCATCAAGTGCTTTCCTCCTCCTCTTCCTCCTCTGCTGCAGATTAAAGTACATTCTTCAGCCGCTCCGTCTCTTTTGATCAGTAATTTGGGCTCAGAGGGAAATTATTCCTCCACTCGTTGCTCCTTACAGGAAACACGGGTGTGAGTACGATGATAACGGATCTTTTGATGTTCAGACCCTGATTCAACATTATCCCGTCATTCCAGGCCTGTCTGAGGAACCTTGAGTCTTCCATCGGTCCCGTTTCCTGGGGAACGTCCCCAGAATGAAACTGTTGGGTGTTAACGTTCCTCAGAGCAGAACTGCTGGTTTACCGTCAGAATTAAACCTTTTTATGGTTTCAACATCAACTAAAATGTGAAAATATTTACATGAAAGCCTAAAAAGCCCAGAAATGAGATGTTTGGGGAGGAGATGGAGTCTCAGAGCCTCGGATGGTCCTGACAGAGTCTGAAACCAGCGTTTCTGCTGAGAGGAACCCAGAAAGTGAACCCAGCTGTTTAAAACATCTGTGGTGAAAAAGTAGAGGCAGGTTCTAATCCTCCAAACATAATCTGACGTGGATTCTGATTGTACGTAAACTCCATCCCCTTCCACAGACTGAACCAGGAGATGACGGAGCTCCTTCCCCGTTTGTCACAGACGACGAATGACGAGTTTAAACTTTTTACACGGCAGATATCTGGGACCAATCACAGCGGCCTACGAGTTCATGTGCTCCACCTGGATGGCCGACGTGGAGACGGTTAGACACAGGTCTTTATGGGTCACCGGCAGGTCGCCCACAGTGACCGGTTTATACTGGATCTCGCTGGCTGCTACTGTCTTGTACTGGTGCAGATCAAAGGGACACTGAACCACGGTGTCCGGGGGTTGCTGGGTGGGCTGGTAGCTGCCTGGGGGCCCGGGGTTGGGGCTCTGGTTGGTGTTGTTCTGGTTCTGGAGCTGGCTTCCTCTCCCCCCTCCTCTGCCTCGACCGCGGCCTCGGCCCCGCCCCCCGCCCGGCGTGAGGCCCTGGGCCTGCTGAGCCGCCACCGTAGCAGCCACCGTTAGCGGGTCGGGGTTATGCTTCCTCATGTGTTTCATTAGATACGTCTCCTGAAAAACACAAACAACGTCTCAGGAACCGTGACCCGTCTGACCCATGGTTAGCAAACCTGTAATGATGTCATTTTAACATAAAATCCACAGAAAGAACAAAATTTAATGAAATAACAAAAACCAGATGAACGATTTCTTATTTTTCCCTCCAACTAAAAACCAGCGGTCTGCAACTGGTGGCTCTGGAGCCACAAGAGGCCCGTTAGATTCTTAAAAATGGCTCCAAATAACTTCAGCTACAAAAGATAAAACCTGATTTATGCTTTTTAACGCAGGTTTAAGCAGCTTTTAAAGTTATTATAGAATAAATGTTGAATTCACACATTAGAATCAGATTTCAGTAGGGATGCACCGATACCGATACCCGTATCGGTACAAGTTAACCGATACCAATGCAGTTGCTTGAAAGTGGCGTCACTGTAACTTGTCATTTCTGTTCACCTGATATTTTGGTTTTGTGATGATTTTTATTCATATATTTTACTTTTATCTACCTCACAGTCTTTTCCTGTTGAAAGCAGAGAAGAAAATAAAATCATTGCATTTTTTTGTGTGGTAGAAGTATCGGTATCGGCGAGTACTCAGATCCAAGTATCGGTATCGTATCGGTGTTCATTCCACTTATTATTAGAAGTATTTGTGTTGGATAAAAACCGATATTGTACTGTTATTAATGACTTGACTGTTTAACATCTGGTGTTTTTAAACGAAGGTTCGTCCATTTTATTTGGACTCTGGTAACCGACAAGCTTTTGTAGTTCCTACAGGGAGGTTTGACCGTGCCCCGGTACCAGGACCGGTGCTGGTCCCGTTATCAGTAGGACTCCCTTGAGAAAGTCCAGTTTTGTTGTTTTAGAGATGCACCTGGAGTGTCTTCCTGCCTGAGAGTCTGTCCGGAATGTCGAATGTGTGTGCGTTTACCTTTTTGTGTGTGTGCTTAATACAGGGTATCTGCAGGTTTAAGGGAGCCAAATTTAAGACTTTTTAAGACTTTTTAAGACTTTTTAAGGACCCGCGGATACCCTGTAATAAAACCTTTCGGAGGGCATCTGCCCGATGAGAGCGAACCGGCAACCTTGTCTGGTGTTTCCTCTCCGCTTTGCAAGGTCTAAACTGATCGACTGTTTGATTATTGGTATTTGGTTCTGATCAGCTGATTGTCGTATAACTCCCCGTGCTTTGAAGGTAATCCCGGTTTGATAAAATTACTCAACATTTTATTTCCCAAAAGGACAACATATCTCTTTTAGATGTTTGCAGAAGCAGGAAGGACTTTTATGTTTCTCTCGGTGGCCCTAACCCTTCTTCTCTATAAACTGATGAATGATCCCTCTTCCTGTGACAGTGGCGACCGTTACTCTGCAGAGGCGTCGGTGAGGCCGTACCGACGTGTAGGACCTGTTGCAGAGCCCGCAGGAGAACAGCTTGGCGTGTTTGACGGTGTGTGTGGACAGGTGCACCTCCAGGCTGGCAGCATCCGTGTAACCACGGTTACAGTTGTGACACTTGAACGGCTTGTCCTTGTTGTGCTGCCGGCGGTGAGACTGTGAGGAGACGTATTATAGGAGGAGGGTTGAAACCAACGTGATGTCACCAGGAAGGTAAATAAAGGGCGGAGGAGGTCCCTCACCTGTAGGTTGGACAGCTGAGTGAACGCCTTTTCACAGCCTGGGTGGTTACACTTGTAGGGCCGGTCGCCGGTGTGAATTCTGGGTAAAAACGGAGAAAAGGGGCAAACTCAGACATTTTTACAATAATGTTTTCTTTCATCTTTACAAAGTAATGACAGAATTATATGAAGTTTGATCCGTTTTTAAGCTTCAGTCTTATTTAAATTTGAATTGAATGAAACTTTATGTGTAAAGAGTCTCACTGACAAAGTCCTCTTTAAAGGTTTCAGCTGAAGCAAAACAACTAAAGTCTAAAGTTTCCTCTTCCTTCCACTCTCAATCCTGCTAAAGGCTCTGTGGATTATAATCCAGCCTAATCCAGACACCACTGCCGGCAGATCTTTATTGAGGACCAATAAAGTCTAAAAGTCCATCAGGATCAGTTATGATCCGATCCCGACAGATGTCATAAACACAAAAACATCCAGACAAAGCGATGATCCTCCACACACCTGCTCCCACTCATGCACCCAGAAGCCCCGCCCCCAGTACCGTGTGTGCTGCTGAAGGTGACTGAGCTGCCTGAATGTTTTCTGGCAGAAGGAGCAGGTGTAGGGCTTGGCCCCGGTGTGGATGCGGATGTGCTGGGACAGGTAGCTGGAGTTGGCAAACGACTTGGAGCAGTGGGGACACTTGTGGGGCTTGGCCTCAGTGTGGTTTCTAACTCGGAACGCCGGGATCGGAGGGGATGAGGGAGGGGGGGTGGGGTGGGGTGGGGACAGAGAAACAGAGAGAGAGAGAAACAGCGAGAGATTTTTAAGCTTCAGCAGGATCAAACTTTACGATGAACTGAAGACCAAATCATGCGTCTGAAGGATCTGTGATCGATTATGTCGATCACAGATGATCGGTGTGCTCTGTGTGCTGCGTCTATGTCTGAGTTGTGAGAACACAGAACAAACATACAGCAAGCACAGCCTCTCTCTCTCTCTCTTTCGCTCTCTCTCTCTCTCTTTCGCGCTCGCTCTCTCTCTCTCTCTCTCTCTCTCTCCCCCCCCCCCTCTCTCTCTCTCCACTGGGTGTGACCTGCAGTGGGTGGAGTGTGTTTCTGAAAATCTGCATTCAGACTGAAATAGACAGAAAGGCGAGCCGCAGGCAGGTGGAGCACATCATCCGGGTAAAACACCTGAAACTCCAAAGCAGCGAGCAGACATGACGACGGGTCAGCAGCTCAAACGTGGAAGACGACAGCATGAAGGATGACTTGGTCACTAGCATCATCATGCAGGATTAGTACAAGTATTCACGTGGAAGATCCGGTGTGGAAACATGCAGTCAAGTGCAGAAAAAAAGATGCAAAGTAAATCAGGATTTTAATCTCTAACCTTCTCAGATAAAAGGTTCAGTCAAACACAAAAAACCCAGAAAAGGAGAAAAGAAGCTCCTAGTTTGGTGTCAGAGGGCTGAAGGCTACGGGGACACCGGTAGAATCTTCTGGGACTATTAGAAAAGTTATTACAACGGACGGTGGGTGGGTGAGCTAACAGACACTAAACAAGGTAAACAAATAAAGTCTCTGTGTCGACCAGAACCGTCGCTGAGCCTCAGGTTTCTGCAGCTCTGAGGCTTTTTTATTAGAAACGAGTAAAAACTACTCAGCTGATGAGTTTCCTCACGGTAAACAAAGTCTTTATGAATCTAAGTTGGTGTAACTTTCTGGAAACCCATCTCAGCCAGAGACGTGATGATCTGACCTCAGGTCTCCAGTAGACGTATTTCCTGATTTAGCAGATTTGGGTTGTCGGGTTCTGCCTGACTTCTGAATGTTGGAGGTTTCTGATGCCGAGCCTCAGCTGCTGGAGAAGCAGTGCAAACAGAACCCAGAGGAACATCTCAGAACATTTGTGAAGCTTCTCTTGGAGATTGAGAGCCTCGTAAATTTTAATGAGTTTTTTTTAGGGAATGAGTCATCCTAGGAATCTGGAACCCTTCATTTTGGTTTTGAGAGTTGAAAAGTGTGTAAGAACGGGGGGGGGGGGGGGGGGGCAGACCACATAGCAGATAAAATTAGTAGGGATGCACCAATATGAATTTTGTGGGCCGATACCGATTTATGCGCCTGAATTCAGTAAATCTCGAGTAAACTGAAATTATGCAAGCAGAATTCTGGAATGTTTTGCTTTATTTCTATAAAGTTGAATTTGCAACATGTTATACACACTATAGGCTCGTCACGGTGTGAAAATGTAACCTCACGGTTATTGTGACCAAAATTATCACGGTCTTCAGGTATTATCGCTGTATTTTTTTAAACGTGTTACATTCTCAGACAACTACATAAAACCCTGTATGTCAGGAAAATATTGTCCTCAGTTTGTGTCTAAATTTTTCTAAAATGTGTTATTTTGTAATTATGTTGTTTATTTGTTTACATTTTTCCCCTTTAGTCTTTAAAATACCAATATTTGCCCATAACTTCTTATTTTATGTCTGTTTGATGTCATCATTTAAAAATATTAGACTAGATGATACTCAGTACTCAAGTAGCCTTCTAATCAGATACTTTTTTACCCTTACTTGAGTAATAAACCCTATATCAGGAGAATATCGTCCTCGGTTTGTGTCCTTCCAGTGAGCTTTGCAGATGTGGGAAAATGTCATCAGGCAGTAATCGTTGTTAAATTCATAATTATTCTCGGAGAGAGACCAACTCTTATCTGCCCCTGGGAGCCCCGTAATGCATAGCGTCATTTCAACATGGCGGTGTCCGCGACACGGTTTATATGCAGGTAGCGGCGCTGCGGCTGCTTTATATAGCGACTCGTTGCGTTCTCCCTCAACCCAAATCCTCGGATCACGCATTTTAGCTAAAACGCTAACGTTAGCTTGCCTTGCGTTGACTGTAGAGTTGTGGGTGATGGTCACGCAGATGTGTCATGAGATTTGAAGCGTTGCTGCCTTTCACAGACACTTTTTCTGCACGTGCTGCAAACAGGATAGCCGTCTTCTATCAGCTGTCCCTCGGCATTCTTCACATATCCAAAAGATGCCCGTACTTCCCACTTTGTCTTCTTTGAGGGATAATAAACGTCCTGAGCGCTGCCGTCTCCTCATTTGGTCGTTATTTCAGCTTTAGCTTCAAGAAAGTTTTGGTTGTAAACAACAAAGTGCGCATGTGCCGCCGGCAACTTCAGCAGATGATACGGTGGCTGGTAAGGGTCACCACGTCTACACCGCAGCCACGGTAACCCACCAAGATAATATATGTTTAAAAAACAAGACGGTTATTATTATTGTCAACTTTTTTACCGGGGTTTACCACTACACCGGTTACCGTGACAACCCTAATACACACACATTTACGCTTCTGAGATGATTACCATCACTGTCAAATAACTAAACAATTACACATTACGCTCCGCCTCACCCTCGGAAACAGATACACAAACGGAAACAAGATGGAAAAAATATCGGTTGTTAATATCGGCCCAGTTTTACTTATCGGACCGATACCGATATTGATGCCGATATATCGTGCATCCCTAAGTTTGTGCAAACGGCTAATTCTAGATGCAGAAAAGGCGTTTCTGAATAAATACATTTGCACAGCTGCCTTATTTGTTTGCAGTGACATTCGTCCCATGTGACCCGGCCCAATTTAACCATTTTTAAACATATAAAATCAGTGAAAACTGGCTCAGCTCTGAGTCTCCAGCTAGCTGCTAACAGTGAGAAGCAGGTTCCAGTTCTGAGTCAGAAGCTGCAGCAGAGTTAAAGCAGGAAACGGGTTCTCCTGGACCCAAAACGGGGAGAACACAGAAACTCAGAACCACCACGGCTCATCTGACTTCTCTGATATTAAGGTTTAACTGCAGGTCGGTTCTGCTCTAGCAGCAAAGCATGCAAGGCAGGTGAGATGCTGGAAGTAACAAGGAAACAGAGACGCTGGATGATGAGTTCTGATGTCGGCACACACACTTCCGCTCATTGTGCACAACCATTCCCCCCCGCTCTGCGTCATGAAGGCGAAACACCGTGGAACTTGTTTTATTAACGTCGATGATTCTTAAATCTGCAGTTTGCAGATTTTATTATTAAAAACAGCCTGAATCTTTCCCAGTTACATGTTCCAGCTACAGAAGGTAAAATTAAACAGAACGTTTAGGGATTGGGCCAAAAACCCAAACATGAAAGACTTCTGACGGGACCTAACACTCAGAATTGTTGCTTCAGCTGTGCAGAAAGAGCTCAACGCTCATTTAGACCGGTTCTCATCACACAGACAGAGGCGGGTGCACAAGCTCTAAGGGGAAACCACACACACACACACACACACACACACACACTCACACACACACACACACACACACACACACACACACACACACACACACACACACACACACTCACACTCACACACAAACACTCACACTCACACTCACACACAAACACACACACACACACACACACACACACACTCAAACACACACACACACACACACACACACACACACACACTCACACTCACACACAAACACTCACACTCACACTCACACTCACACACAAACACTCACACACACATACACACACACACACACACACATCCCAGTACCGTGTGTGCTGCTGAAGGTGGCTGAGCTGCCTGAATGCTTTCTGGCAGTAGGTGCAGGTGTAGGGCTTGGCCCCGCTGTGGATGCGGATGTGCTGGGACAGGTAGCTGGAGTTGGCAAACGACTTGGAGCAGTGGGGACACTTGTGGGGCTTGGCCTCAGTGTGGGACTTGGCGTGGATCTGCATGTCTGACTTGCTGAAGAACGTCACGGCGCACATCCGACACCTGGAAGGAACAGGATGAGTTTTATTGTAAACAAAAGAGGCAAACTCAGGCTCAGCCCGAACCGGAGGATCGTGTCTACCTGTAGGACTTGGGTCCATCTTTGCTGGTGTGATCATCCTCATCGTTAGACAGGTCGTACGGGTCAGAGGCGTGGTGCTGCAGCACAACAGCAGAAATATGAAGGCAAATGAATAAAATGATGCTGCAACAGTAACAGACACTCACCTGTCCACCAGCAGCAAGGTGAGCCAATATTAACGCATCACTTCCTGGTGGGAGGACGCCGCTCACTCTGCCCATCATCTGTTTGCTCTTCCTGCCTCGTTTTGATGGCGTCGGCATGACAACCGCAGGAGGAACAGAAATGTCCTCTTTCTTATCTGGAAGAAAACAAAGTAAAAGGAGTGAAAACAAAAACACAAGTTTGGAGCGATCGCACACGCGTGACCTCACACAGCACAGGTAGCTCCCACGAGTGGTGTGTGTGTGTGTGTGTGTGTGTGTGTGTGTGTGTGTGTGTGTGTGTGTGTGTGTGTGTGTGTGTGTGTGTGTGTGTGTGTAAGTGAGAGTATGTGTGTGAAAATAACAGGTTAATCTGGGCTAAAGATAAAGCAGGAAACAGATGTTTACAGGAAATGACTCAGGTGAACTGCAGCTGTGTGTTACCTGCATTTGGGTGGTGCACGGCAGACACTATCATGGTGGTAGCAGTGGGGGGTCCAGCTACAAAGGACTGTGTGGAGGCGGTGGGGACCAGTGTTCCTTGTGGGGTGGTGATGACTAAACCAGCTGGGAGGACAGTCCAGATTTTAACACGTTAACGAGATCCTTCACTTAGAAACCAGCTGTTCCGGATTGCTTTTGAAAATGATCCGTTTTTCATGCAGACTGGACATGAAAATAGTCTCCTACACCTATCTCCTACTTTAGCTTCTGATGCGAAACTCTAGGATTAGAAGATCCTGACAGATCTACGTCACACTGTCACTAACATTCATGCACTCACCCATCTTGGCTCACGACGGGGAAGGCTGTTGTTGGTTTAGCGTCCAGGAAACAGCAGAGAACGTCTCGGCTAATAGAAGCTAACTGTTAGCATTAGCAACTCCACCACACAGCAGAACTCCTCCAGGTTTTTTTTTTTTTTTTTTGTGGAGATAAAACATCTACATTTCAGAGCAGACAGAGTCAGTGGTAGAGTCATGTTGCTGTTAGCCAATCAGAGCAGAGATGTCCACATATCAGGAAGTAAGACTCCAGATCCTGTCGTCTGAAGCTACTTTCTCCTCTGGCTGAAATCTCCAACATGTGGAGGATGACCCGAGCCTTCCACAGGATGCGTAACGTTATAGATGCGTTGTCCTTTCGACCTCAGCGGCGTGTCCCTTCCTAGCGGGAGCGTTTCAGTCGTGCAGCGCCTGCATTCCTCCCTGCTGACCCCGTGGGATCAAGCAATGACCAAAGAATTGAGATCACGTGTGGTTTCACCTGTTCACGCGATAACAAGCTAGAACAGCAGCGGGTGTCTAAAGGGTCTGTGGTTTATTTCTGTTCTTTTACCTCCACTAAAGAGGTTGTGGGTTTCCCGCTGTTTTATTGTTTTAACTAACAAAATCTACAGGGGACTTTTATTTTGAAATGTGCCATTTTAGACAGCTCCCGTGTTTTATGTGCCGTCTGGCCTGATCTGAAGGGCTGAGCTTGACGTTCTGGAGGCGTAACTTTCGCAGACGCTTTGGGACGTATCGGATGTGTTACGCGCCGCCGCTAACGCATCCGGTGGAAAGCCAAGGTGACTTAACTCGGTTTCAAAGCTGAAACAGAAGAATGCTACCTAACCTTCCTCATTATTAAGATGGGATCAAAAAAGGTCACTTGAGTAGAAAGCATCACAAGAACAAGAGGAAACCTTCTGACTCACCTGCGGTCATGATGCCTGTGGAGGGAACAGGCACAACGGTGACATTCTGCGAGGTGTGCGACTGGTGTAGGTGCCCCCCAACTCCACCCAAAGATGCGCTACTGCTGTTTCCGCCTCCTCCTGCTCCCCCTCCTCCTTCCGGTTTGGGGACCACGCGCACCCCAACCCCCGGGTCTCCCGAGCTCGGGATGGCGAGCACAGCCGTGGGGTAGTGGGGGGACGAGGTGGAAGACGCAGACGGGTGAGGGAAGGGAGACACGTTGGCCTTGTCTGGACCCAGCTGCTCCTTGGCTTTGTTCAGGAACATGGCGTTCTCGATCTAGACAGGAGCGAGAAAAGGAAGGAAAGGGAAAGGGAGAAGTAATAAAGGGGAGAGGGAAGGTGGCATGGTGAAGGTAAAAGGTTTTGTGGGGGTGGCAGGGTGAGAATTGATGTAGAAGAGGTGAGAATAGTGAAAGGAGGTGAAGAATGGAGGAGGAGGAAGATGCGGGGTGGGAGGTAATGTGAGAAAAAAAACAATAAGATGATGACAAAGAAGGGATGAGGTGAAACAGGTGCAGGTGGAGAAGGAAAAGCAGGATATTACAAACGGGAGGAACTCATCAAATGAAAATGAAGACGAGAAATGAAGAAGGAAGTGAAGAGGAAACACAGATGTCATGAGGATTTAGGACGCAGGAGGTGACGGAAGGTCAAGAACGGCCAAAGAACGAAGCACGGCCGTATTAAAGACACAAAAAAGGGGTTTGTGTTGATGTGAAGACAGGAAGGTGAGGCAAGAAGATTCAAACGAGCCGAAGCAACACGTGGAAAGGGCAGAGCGAAGGAATGGAGTCGGGGAACGGAGAGAAGAAAGCAACGAGACAAAAGAGAATAAGAAGTCATGGTGAGAAAAAGTAAATGAATAAAGAGAAGATAAAGAGATGAAAGAGGAGAGGGACAGGGGTGATCACATGATCGAGTCAACAAACGCACCAACTTGACTGTGAGCTTAACTTCAGCATCTGAATAATCCTTCATCCATAAACCATCGCTTCACCACGTTACCAAGTGCATTTCAAGACAATTCCAACAATAAGGTTGTCTCTACCTGTCCTTGTACTGTGGGGACGGGAGACCAAAAGTATGATGAGTTGAAATGGGAATCGTCCATTATTTCTGTAATTAAAAAGCAACACACTTAGAAAACACCTGTCCTTCCCCTCCTCACTGGTCCTTTTTTACTCAGTAGTTACATAAACAGAGGCCATGCGTGGCTGGACTTCATCCATCATAGCTCGTTTCCTTTTCATGCATTCTCCACAGGTGGAAAAGAATCGTTTGCATAAACAAGAACAAAACCAACCAAATCAATAAAGAATGATCTGGGCGGTTTCATTTATACAACTGACCAAGTTTCCAAAGAGGAGGTGAAAGAAATTAAGGAACGTTGCTCATCCCAGGAAGGACGAACATTAAAATAATCACGATGATCAGCCTTTTATTCGTTTTTAAGTACCACAGCCCATGCACTGCTTCATTAACATGTAAAGCTAAATGTGTTGCTATGACCAAATGCATACTTTTATAGTGGTTGCTTGATTAGTATCATATCAGTGAGTTTTTAGAGTTTTATTTTGTTAAATGCAGAATAGTGAAAATGTGCATTTCTGTTTGGGCACAAACAATATTTTGCATTTGTTCAACTTGTAGGGCTCAGGTTACATTGACATATTTGTTTTAATACCTTATACTGGCATGCATTTGCAATTTATTTAGCAGAAAATGTTAGTTTAATGTTTAGCTTCTGGAATTAATGAAATATTTTGGACTTCATGCACCAAAATAACCTGCATGCATGTAATAACATGTTAGTAAAGGTTGACTGGTGGCTTGTAGCAACATATATTCATGAAATCAAGGGGAGCAGGTGAAAAACAAATGCAACCATCAACCGATAACCTTCGGGGGTTTCATGAAATTTAAATTCAGGTCATGTTTGATTTGTTTTTCCCACCAGCCTCCTGTTTTCGCTGCAGCAGCTAATTTTTAACAAATGGGGAAAGCAACCAAGGCTAATGACCCAATTCCCCACAAGCTGCATCCCAACGCCCCCAACAAAAAGGGGCCGTTATCATGGAAACACAAAGTCAATGTTTCAGTGTTCCTGAGAGCCATTTTTGACGGGAGGGCACGAGCTGGCTCCTTAACTATGACACGGCTAACTGCAGGCTAATGCTAGCAGTGACTGATGAAATCCTGCAAAAATAAATCGGCAGCAAACGTTAAAACCGAGCAGAAATGTTTGATTGCTGCCAGCACGGTTGTTGTAACGCAGCTTAGGCGGCTGTCATGAGCGGAGGGTGTCATCTGGGTGACACAAACATGGCTAACGCTAACTTGCCTCCATTAATTTTCTCCTTTTGTTCGCTGGCTTGTTCACTCAAGCTACAAGGAGGCCTGTGTGCTCATGCTTAAGCAGCTTTCCAAACAAACATCCTCGCTCCGTGCGCCTCCATGGCTCACTCCCTGCTCATCTCGCTGAGAAAATAAAAAAAGAGAAAAAAAAAATCTCGAATAAAAAAAAAAAAACAAGTCAGAAAAAAAAACGTCGACGCCGTTGCCTCTGTTGGAGACGCAGCTTCATGCTGACTTCCGGCGACTGGGACGACGGTGCTCTCAGACACACTGAAAATAACTAATTTACCACCGAATTACGACTCGTAAGTTAATTACCGGTAAACTGGACTCCCTCTCAACCCCCCGAAGCTTCGTCGGGACGGGACAGTTGGAAAACTTTGTCCAAATCCGCCCCTCAAAGGTCTCGGATAGGCCTTTTTTTCCTCGTTTTTTTCTCTTTTTTTTCCCTCCAGTTCTTTTTACGTGACGTGGGTCAAGTCCGAGTCCGGTGTTACAGCGCTTCCGCGTGGGTTCTTTCAAAATAAAAATACAAAACAGACTCGTTATCTTTCTTCGTCTGATTCGTCAGCCGTTCTTAAACAAACTATTTCTAGAAGAAATCTATTCAGATATGGGTACATTTACCATCCAGTTCTTTATTGCTTCTGAATTAAGCATCAAAAGGCTTCAATCTAGACCTTCTAAGATAAAAATTCTGAGCTTCCGGTACTGCACTGACTGTTTTCTTGCTAGTTTGACATGAATACCTACGTTTAGATTGTATTTCCGGTTTATCTCATCAGTGAGCGAGACTTTGATGGATTTGTTATATTAAAATATGATAGTACCATGTAGTAAAGTTATTATGAATACGAGTAGTACTGAGCACATTTTAAAGCCATCCATTATTTAAAGCATTTTTTCTCTGCTGTCTTTCAGAAATGTTCTTGAACCCTTTTAAGTCTAATCTTTTCTTAAGTGTTTTATCTTTTATTTTTTAATCTATCATCCAATGGAGTCGCTAAACAATTAATTAAAGCTTCCTTCTGGAGTATTTCTCTTAGCCGATGGCACCATCTAGTGGCTGACAAGCGTGTCGCACAAAAACGCTGTTACTCTGTTTTTTTTTTTTAAGATGGCAACTTCACGTTTCTGTTTATAAATATGCTTCTGTAGCCGACCAGAGCTAAAACATGTTGTTTTACGAGTATTACTCTCATGTCATGCTGTGTTTTCATATATTTATATTTTAGAGACGTACTTGTCCGTGAAAAGTTCATCAACTCTGCATCAGCCGAGTAGTCCAATGCTATTGGTTAGATCTGGTCGGCGCTCAGTTTCCTACTGCACGAAGCTCTGCCGGGCAGGGGGCGTGGTTAGCAATAAATAAATAAATAAAGAGGTATTGCTTATATTATATCGCAGTACATGATAAGATAATCACTTTTAAAGATTTCTGACAAATCATACATATTTTCTGAAAGAGGAAAACTCCGGAAAGCAATTATTTTAATCATAAATCACAGGTTAGATAGAACCACAAAACTCTTGAGCAAGGCAGTGTTTCTCTAGCAGAGTTTATTTAATAAAACAAGCAAAAAGACCACAACCAAGCCAAAAGTTGTATTGTCAAATTTATTCATTTCATTCACAAGACAGCAGGTTTTCTTGAGCACAAACTCCCAAAAACTTGATTTTAGGCTTAAAGCGCAAGTCACCCCCAAATCAACTTTTTTTCTGATAAACTATATAAATGTGTGTCTAATCGTGCTGCAGACACGTGCAGTCAATAGTTTTGTACTTTAGTGCATTTTAAAATTATAATTTTCTGCCTAAAACTGTCAGTGTTGTGCCATTGTCAGGTAAAAACTCTGCATTGCATTTAAATTTAAATCTGCCATCGCTATTGGCTAAGAGGTACCCTAGAACGTTAGCTGGTACCATATGATGTCACAATGTCGTTGTGAGCCTGTGTGTGTATTTGTTAGCGGCTCCGCCCTCTCGGTCTGCTAGGCAACAGCATTTGTTGCATTTTTCAAACAGGAAGTGGGAGCGGAGTACTACTCTGGTAGGGGGTGACTTGCTCTTTAAAGTTCCATTCTGGCTGAATGTTTACAACATACCGAAGCAGCAACTGAAGTAAGAAAACGTAAACAAACCTGCTTTAGATTTAATATGTTAACGACAAAACACAGGAGCTTATCATTTATGTGGTGCCATATCAATGATGACAAGAAAAACAGACAAAGCTACACCAATACTGTAGCAAATATATACCTAAACTACATGTAGACCATTTACTATAGCACTAAACACATTCTACAGGTGACTAACAGATCATCTCCTACTTTGGTGACTCCACAGTGACACACGTCTGCTGTGTCCTGACTAAAAACATGACTTTTGCATGATTACAGTTCAAGTGTGATAGGTACTGATGATGCATGCATATATGTATATATATCTTCAAAAGCCATTTCAACAGGTGGCTGTTGCGTAACCAGCAGTGCAGAGTTCAAAGGAGAAAAACCATCCTTGGACAAACGCTCCACAGACTCAATAAAAAAATAAATAAAAAACAGTTAGATAATAAATAATACAAGCGTGTTTTAGTGAAACTCTTTAGTGTTGTCTCTAGTAAAGCTCTAAAACAACCGATCCATGATGTGAGGTAGACGGACTCGTGACTTAAGGCATGTTGAGATGTTTTAAAACCTCTTCTGAGCTGATTCTTTAAAGAGCAAGTCACCCCCAAATCAACTTTTTTATCTGATAAGCTACATAAATGCGTGTCTAATCGTGCTGCAGACACGTGTCGTCAATAGTTTAGCACTTTAGTGCATTTTAGTTAAAACTGTAATTTTCTGCCTAAAACTGTCAGTGTTGTGCCGTTGTCAGGTAAAAACTCTGCACAGCATTTTAATTTAAATCTGCCATCGCTATTGGCTAAGAGGTACCCTAGAATGTTAGCTGGTACCATATGATGTCACAATGTCATTGTGAGCCTGTGTGTGTGTGTATTTGTTAGTGGCTCCGCCCTCTTGGTCTGCAAGGGCAACAGCATTTGTTGCATTTTTCAAACAGGAAGTGGGAGTGGAGTAAGACTCTGGTAGGGGGTGACTTGCTCTTTAACCTTTTAGCTGCATTAACATCAAAAACGTTATCTTCCATCCAAATAAATATCACAAGCATAAAATACCACAAATACACAAATAAAACAACCCAACATCAACTTCCTGTTGATGCTGTTGTTGCTAAGGTGGTCTGATGATCCGACTCCCGTCCACAAGTACCAACAGCTGATTCCAGAGTCACTCTGCTATGGAATGGTTCGCGTAGATTTTACCCCAGCATTACGCCTGCTGCCACATAACTGGCAATAATAAGACAAAAGAGTCCCTTTTTCCACCGATCACAGAGGGTGGGTGAGTCTACAGGAAGCAGGAACGTGTTCATGAGTCTGGAACAAGGTGTTTGAGTCTAAATCTGGGATTAAATCTGATCTGAGACTAGATGGAAGTCTAGTCTATGAAACTCACGGTGGTGATCAAATAATCAGATTATAAATAAAAAGGTAGTCACTTTGTAAACATTTGACTCAACCATAATCTTAAATTAGAACTATTTCATGTCTTTCTAAAAGCATCATCTTTTCTTTAGTCTCGATTCTCTGAGATTAAATCCAAACGTGTCGGCTAACAGCAGAACGTCTGATCAAGGACCCTTGGACAGAAAAGATCAGCTCCTACAAATAACAGAAATCCCATTTTAAAAACATACACACTAAAACCCAAACAGGAAGTCCACATCGATAACCTGCCACGTTGTGACCCTTCACGCTAACATGAAAGACTAAAACCTCTGTGAAAAGAGTCGGTAGCTTTATTGAATGAAGGTTTATGTTACATGTTGACGCTAAGATGCCCTTAAGGTCTGGCAGCAAGGCAGCGGGCACAGGAAGTGTCAGGAGACATGAAACGGGGAGACGACACGGGACGAGGTGGACATGTGCCGAGTTTACTGAAAGCAGCAAGTAATAAATAAAAGAGCCAGAGGGATTAGGCGTGAGGCCGTGGATCATGAAAACCCTCAAAGCAAGAATATTAAAGAACCAAAGCCTGAAGCTGCTGCTGCTGAGCGGAGGGCGGCGGTGGAGAAGTCGTTCTGCTTCTGTAATCAGCAAAGATCTAAAAACTCTTTTTTTTTACAACATCTGAGTGAATAAAAGAGCCAGACCGTCTTCTAATCTGGTTTTTAAATCACGCTGGAAGTTTTCCTTTGGATCTTTCTCTCGTTTTTGTCTTTTGAAACGTTAAACCCAGAATTTTAAGCGTCGGGGTTTGTTCCGCTGGGCTGACGAGGGAAATATCACGTCAGTAAAATCCATTTTAAAAAGTCTGACTCCAAAGGCCAAACAACAGATGACTTCAGGTTTTTAAACGTTTCTGTAAAAATGTGCGGCGTGGAAACACGAAACTGAATTTCCCACAGAACAGCAGAGGAGGACGAAGAGGAGGCGGTACGAGACGTGAGCAGGAGCGTCGGGTCGCGTCTCTTCAGCCCGTTCGAGACACCTGAAGGTCGGAGGGACAGAAGTTAAAACCCGCGTCGCTCTAAAACGTTAATCCAGGGTATCTGCAGGTTTAAGGGAGCCAAATTTAAGACTTTTTAAGACCTTTTTAAGGCCACTTGGACCAAATTTAAGCTATTTTTTTAAATTAAATTTGAGCTATAATTTCCAGCTATTGCCTGGAACCGGTGCTAACCACGTCATGAACGTGGGATTAGCCATCCGGTTACCATTAATGTTGCACTTCCCCATGGCGCAAACTCCCACTAGCTTAACGTGCTCATCTAAAAATAGCCCCCTTTCACAACCAACCGAACGTGTACGGTTCCGCTTACGCCCATACACAAAAAATGCTGAACACTAACTAGAAATTCACGGAAATTTTATAGAAATAAAATAATCTTGTTTATTGGGTCTTTGGTAATTTAAGACTTTTGGAAACTATTTAAGGATTATTTGTCTTTTTAAAGGATTTTTAAGGCCTTAAATTTGGAAAAGCAAATTTAAGACTTTTTAAGGACCTGCAGATACCCTGTAATCCCGTAGTGCCGAGTCACCTGAGAGATGTTGACCCCGGTCAGCTTCTCCACTGTTTCAGGGAGGCGGGTCATGATGTTCAGCACCTCGCCCGACAGCTTGGCCACGCCCACCTCCCCGCCGCTCGACACCATGGTGACCTTGTTGGCTTCACACAGAGGCCTGCTGATCTCCTCCGCCATCTGAAACACGACAGAGAGAACAGACGTTGGAACTGACGCGGAGGCTCGTTCTTGCTGCGGGAGTGTTGTTAAGCTACCGAGCAGAGGCGGCTTTCACTCACCAGAGGCAGCTTCTCCAGCAGCATGTCCACCATGGCTCCGGCCTTATACTCCTGGAAGGCCTCCGCCTTCTTGGCCATCTGCTCCGCCTCAGCGCGACCTTTGGCCTCGACAGCAAATGCCTCCGCCTCACCTTTAACCTGAGTGAGCGTTTGCAACCCAGTTCAGCAGCAGAGGGTAATTAGAGCACAGAAACAACCCACAGTCCCATTTACATGCAGGAACACGTGCACACGCTGACCACGTGCACACTCACTAATGAACAACCTTTAGTTTTTTCTCCGCTGGGTCCGTGTGAACAGGCAGGTTCTGTCTCAGAAGCAGCTGTTTACAGATGTGCTTTGCAGCCGTGACAGACCCCAGACGTGTTCCACTGGGAATGAATGTGGGAATTCTGAAGTTTTCAGGATCTACTCCAGTTTTATGGGACATTTCCACAACCAATTATTTAGCGAGAGGCTGAGAAAACCACAGAGTGCAGCAGCCAGGTGTGAAAACAGCTGCTAAACACTCCAGAGAGCTGCAGCTTCACACAACAGAACATCCAAAGTGTCTGGAGCTGAAATCAACACCAGTGTTCTCCGTTCTGCTGCATTTCATCACGTTTCCAGCCTTAACAAGTGTTTTTCTCTGTGTGTGTGTGTGTGTGTGTGTGTGTGTGTGTGTGTGTGTGTGTGTGTGTGTGTGTGTGTGTGTGTGTGTGTGTGTGTGTGTGTACTGATGCTGCAGAGTCTGAAGTGATTTTTATTAGGGATGCAACGATACCCCTTTATTCCAAACCGATGCGATACCGATACTTGGATCTGAGTACTCGCCGATACTGATTACCGATACTTCTACAACACAAAAAAATGCAATGATTTGGAATACGGATTTTATTTTCTTCTCTGCTTTCAACAGGAAAAGACTGTGAGGTAGATAAAAAGTCAAATATATGAATGGAAATGATCACAAAACTGAAATATTAGGTGAACAGAAATGACAAGTTACAGTGAAGCCATTTTCAAGCAACTGCATTGGTATCGGTTCCTGGTATCGGTATCGGTGCATCCCTAATTTTTATAAATATTTTTCAGTACTTCAACTTTTTTGCTCAAAAACAGCTCAGAAAAATCAGATTTTTGGTGTAAAGACACCAAAACGTTTGATTTTCTGCTTTCCTCTTTGCAGAAAAGCCAGTTTTATCTGCTGGAGTCAGACGCGTTGTTCTACGGTAGTTTAGAGAAAACCAGAAACACACAAAACACGTGACGGAATCCTGCCCAGCGTTCCCGTGTGGAAGTCTGTTACTCACCCTGATGGACTCGGCTTCAGCCTCAGCCTCCATGATCATCTTCAAACTGCAGAACCAGGAAGGAGCAGAGCAGAAGTTTCATGTTTTACAACCAGGAGGACGAACCCAGTTCCAAATCCCTAAACTGTGAGAGCTTTTATCGGTTCTGTGGGTCTAATGGGTTAGAAAATGTAGCCTGAAGCAATGTTCATATTTGTCATCTCCTGTCAGAGTCTCCAGCGCTAAAGCTCCGCCCGTGTTAAAGCTCACCGCTCGGCCTCGGCCAGCTTCTCCAGGCGGTACCGCTCAGCCTCCGCGGGTTTCTTCACTTTGGCCTCCAGCTCCTTCTCCCTGCGAGTGATCTCCTGCTCCTGCAGCAGGATCTGCTGCGTCCGCTCCACCACCTGGACCTGCATCTTCTCCTCCTCGATACGCTGCTTCGTCTTCGCTACCTGGAAGAGAAACATTTAAAGCACAACAAAAAGTTTATAAAATGTGTTTTCTACCAACAGATCAGCTAGCGATGTCCCGATCAGGTTTGTTTGCCCTCGAGTCCGAGTCATTTGATTTGGAGAATCTGCCAATACCGAGTCCCGATCCGATACTTGATACATAAAAAAATAAGAAGAAGAAGAAGAAAAGGGAGAAACAGTTCCAGAATGTTCCTTTTTTTTATGTATTTAAATTTTTAACAACAGATCACTTCGGTGAGGTAGCTTGAACAATCAAGTAATAAATAATATAAATTATTCACTTTTGGACTTTATTGCAAATATAAAAAGACTAATATAAAAGCAGATCGCACTTCAACTTAAAATACCTGGCAGGGGTCTATTTAGCCTCAGACCCCAAAATGCTTAGATACGCCCCTGGGCATGGGACGGAGTTTTGAAGATGATGTGAACTGTATCAACGATATAAATACTACATGCTGATAGGTTATTGCTTCATACAGGTACACACGAGTAGTGGGATCAATCTACCTACATTTTATTTTTTAAGAACTTTGTTTTGTTTTCTTGGTTTTTATTTTCCTGTCTTCCTGTCCTGTCTGTCTCTCATCTTCCTGTCCTGTCTGTCTCTCATCTTCCTGTCCTGTCTGTCTCTCATCTTCCTGTCCTGTCTGTCTCTCATCTTCCTGTCCTGTCTGTCTCTCATCTTCCTGTCCTGTCTGTCTCTCATCTTCCTGTCCTGTCTATCTCTCATCTTCCTGTCCTGTCTGTCTCTCATCTTCCTGTCCTGTCTGTCTCTCATCTTCCTGTCCTGTCTGTCTCTCATCTTCCTGTCCTGTCTGTCTCTGATTTTCCTGTCCTGTCTGTCTCTCATCTTCCTGTCCTGTCTGTCTCTCATCTTCCTGTCCTGTCTGTCTCTCATCTTCCTGTCCTGTCTGTCTCTCATCTTCCTGTCCTGTCTGTCTCTCATCTTCCGGTCCTGTCTGTCTCTCATCTTCCTGTCCTGTCTGTCTCTGATCTTCCTGTCCTGTCTGTCTCTGATCTTCCTGTCCTGTCTGTCTCTGATCTTCCTGTCCTGTCTGTCTCTCATCTTCCTGTCCTGTCCTGTCTCTGATCTTCCTGTCCTGTCTGTCTCTCATCTTCCTGTCCTGTCTGTCTCTCATCTTCCTGTCCTGTCTGTCTCTCATCTTCCTGTCCTGTCTGTCTCTCATCTTCCTGTCCTGTCTGTCTCTCATCTTCCTGTCCTGTCTGTCTCTCATCTTCCTGTCCTGTCTGTCTCTGATCTTCCTGTCCTGTCTGTCTCTGATTTTCCTGTCCGGTCTGTCTCTCATCTTCCTGTCCTGTCTGTCTCTCATCTTCCTGTCCTGTCTGTCTCTCATCTTCCTGTCCTGTCTGTCTCTCATCTTCCTGTCATGTCTGTCTCTCATCTTCCTGTCCTGTCTGTCTCTCATCTTCCTGTCCTGTCTGTCTCTCATCTTCCTGTCCTGTCTGTCTCTCATCTTCCTGTCCTGTCTGTCTCTCATCTTCCTGTCCTGTCTGTCTCTCATCTTCCTGTCCTGTCTGTCTCTCATCTTCCTGTCCTGTCTGTCTCTCATCTTCCTGTCCTGTCTGTCTCTCATCTTCCTGTCCTGTCTGTCTCTCATCTTCCTGTCCTGTCTATCTCTCATCTTCCTGTCCTGTCTGTCTCTCATCTTCCTGTCCTGTCTGTCTCTCATCTTCCTGTCCTGTCTGTCTCTCATCTTCCTGTCCTGTCTGTCTCTGATTTTCCTGTCCTGTCTGTCTCTCATCTTCCTGTCCTGTCTGTCTCTCATCTTCCTGTCCTGTCTGTCTCTCATCTTCCTGTCCTGTCTGTCTCTCATCTTCCTGTCCTGTCTGTCTCTCATCTTCCTGTCCTGTCTGTCTCTCATCTTCCTGTCCTGTCTGTCTCTCATCTTCCTGTCCTGTCTGTCTCTCATCTTCCTGTCCTGTCTGTCTCTCATCTTCCTGTCCTGTCTGTCTCTGATCTTCCTGTCCTGTCTGTCTCTGATCTTCCTGTCCTGTCCTGTCTCTGATCTTCCTGTCCTGTCTGTCTCTCATCTTCCTGTCCTGTCTGTCTCTCATCTTCCTGTCCTGTCTGTCTCTCATCTTCCTGTCCTGTCTGTCTCTCATCTTCCTGTCCTGTCTGTCTCTCATCTTCCTGTCCTGTCTGTCTCTCATCTTCCTGTCCTGTCTGTCTCTGATCTTCCTGTCCTGTCTGTCTCTGATTTTCCTGTCCTGTCTGTCTCTCATCTTCCTGTCCTGTCTGTCTCTCATCTTCCTGTCCTGTCTGTCTCTCATCTTCCTGTCCTGTCTGTCTCTCATCTTCCTGTCATGTCTGTCTCTGAACTTCCTGTCCTGTCTGTCTCTCATCTTCCTGTCCTGTCTGTCTCTCATCTTCCTGTCTGTCTCTCATCTTCCTGTCTGTCTCTGATCTTCCTGTCCTGTCTGTCTCTGATCTTCCTGTCCTGTCTGTCTCTGATCTTCCTGTCCTGTCTGTCTCTGATCTTCCTGTCCTGTCTGTCTCTGATCTTCCTGTCCTGTCTGTCTCTGATCTTCCTGTCCTGTCTGTCTCTGATCTTCCTGTCCTGTCTGTCTCTGATCTTCCTGTCCTGTCTGTCTCTCATCTTCCTGTCCTGTCTGTCTCTGACCTTCCTGTCCTGTCTGTCTCTGATCTTCCTGTCCTGTCTGTCTCTGATCTTCCTGTCCTGTCTGTCTCTGATCTTCCTGTCCTGTCTGTCTCTGACCTTCCTGTCCTGTCTGTCTCTGATCTTCCTGTCCTGTCTGTCTCTGACCTTCCTGTCCTGTCTGTCTCTGATCTTCCTGTCCTGTCTGTCTCTGATCTTCCTGTCCTGTCTGTCTCTGACCTTCCTGTCCTGTCTGTCTCTGATCTTCCTGTCCTGTCTGTCTCTGATCTTCCTGTCCTGACTGTCTCTGAACTTCCTGTCCTGTCTGTCTCTGATCTTCCTGTCCTGTCTGTCTCTGAGCTTCCTGTCCTGTCTGTCTCTGATCTTCCTGTCCTGTCTGTCTCTGATCTTCCTGTCCTGTCTCTGATCTTCCTGCATCTCCCAATCCTTCAGAAAAACTCCTGCCTGCTTCCTTCTTTTTGACCTCACAAGTAACTTTAACTAGCAGATCAAATCGATCTGTTGACCGCAAAAAAAGTGGAGTGTGCGCCGCGCTGCCCGGCTGTGCCAGTGACGAGCGCTGCAGCGCAAGCGCGTCCACACGTCATGCTCAAACACAGACAGAAATTACCAGAGAGAAAATGAACGGACACAAATGACTGTGTGTTAATTATATATTTTTTGGTGACGCCACTTAGAAATTTAGAACGTTACTGTGGCCGTGTGCAGAACGCAGCTGGAGTTCATGAATAATCAGCGGTCTGCCTGCTGCTCTGCCCCTAAAGAATCCCCGCTACGCTGAGTCCATATAAATAATATGATAAAGGTAGAAACTGGATCTTTTTGTGCTCCTTCTGGGTGTGGAAGTTAAGGGCATCAGGGGAGCCTGACAACCTTTAAGGAGAACCAAGTTGCTCTCCTGTAATTTGAACCCAGTATCCGAGTCCCGATCAGTCTGAAACCACGTGATCGGGGCCGATTTCCGATCATGTGATTGGATCGGGACATCCCTAATATCAGCTTTACTCGGATAGGTGAGCTGCAGCTGTGTACCTGCAGCTGGTAGGCCATCTCTGACTCCGCCTTCTTGGTGTTCACTTCGATGTCGTAAGCAGCCTTCTTCAGCTCGTAGTCCCTTTGGGCCTTCGCCATGTCGATCTCGTTCTTGTACTGAGCCGATATTTTCACCTGCATCGCGTGAGCCTCCTGCAGAGGAACAAAGGTCAGGTTTAAGATTTCCTCAGACAGAAAACAGGATTTCTGTGTTTCTCACCCTGATCACAGCGTCTCTCTTGTTCTGGGCCTCTCCAATCCGGGCGTCCTTCTGCACCTGAGCTGTTCGGCCTTTTCCCAGAGAGTTGAGATAATCCTGAGGACCAAACAGGAAAATAATGTATGAGCATGTCATCCTCCTCTAAAATCTTAAACAGCTATTTTGGTATCAAAAAGGTGAGGATGCTCCTAGAGGTAAACCGATATGGTTCTTTTAATGCCCATACGTAGAGGTCAAGGTCGATATCTAGAGGTTTTCCACCTTACCTGCATGAGGAAATGTCACTAATAACATTTCTGAACCTGAATCCGTTTTAAACTCTTAACCAACTTAAAATCAAACATCGAACCAAAATTTATCAAATTAATAAAACAGATCAAGCATCAATGGAAAGAAACTTGAGTTGACATAAATAATGGTAAAAAAGATGCTTTTCAGGAACATAAACATATATCTGCAGCAGCACGGGGCTGCCCGTGGATGTGCCTGACTTTAAAGCAGCTCTAGTAAAGAGGAATATTGGCCTGCTTCATCAGCCTGGTCCTAGATGTGATTCTGCGTGAGTGACAGAAGGTACCTGGTCATCATGAACATCTTTGAGGGTGTAGCTGACCACACTGATGCCCATGTTGACCAGGTCCGAGGACGCCACCTTAAACACCTGCTCTGAGAACTTCTTCCTGTCCTTGTAGATTTCCTAGAAGAGGAATGTGAGCATCATTAACGTACTTCTATATCAGGTGGGCGTCACCGCTAGAGAAACTCACCTCCACAGTCAGGTGGGCGATGATGGCTCGCTGGTGTCCCTCCAGAGTCTCTAAAGCGATCTGAGAGATCTCAGGCTCCGACTTTCCCATAAACATCTGGCAGGCTGCAGCCAGCATCTGCTTGTTCTGACCCTGGATCTTCATCTGCAGGAAGCCCTAACATGTGATGCTCTGCAGCAGGTTGTTCCACAGACTAATCTAACACGATGTAATTATGTTTTTGATCATGACTGAAGCCTGACTCTAAAACTGATAAATATGTAGATAAAACTTTGACTAAAGCTCCAGATCCATTCTTTCGTTCTTTTTTAAACACAGAAACAGTTTTGTTTACCTGTTTGTAGCTACAGTTTCGCCGACAGCTGCCGGCTTCTTCAGGCTGACCCCGGGTTTCCACGGGAGCCGTCAGCAGCACGTTACTGCAGCAGCACGTCTAGCTGCTGCTTGGCCCTTCCCACGAGACGCGACGCAGCAGAGGAGCAGCTGTCACCGACAGGGCACGAAGTCACACGAGTGACTTCGTCAGTAAACACAACAACAAGCAGGAGAAAACTACAACATGGCTCCAAAATGTTTGTGTTTTTATATTCTGTCCGTTTTATAATCGCCAATACGGACCTGAAAAACAAAGGAGACCGCTAGCTAGGTGATAACTTCTCACGGGGCCGCACAGTTAGTAACCTTTTTTAAAGTAAAGCGACCGGAAGGCAGTACGTTCTTTATTCTGAAAATCTCGGGAGCTTCTCTCCATTTCCGCGTCCGATTTCCTGTCTTTCCTTCCCCAAAAATGTCGAACTTGACCCGTTTCAGAGGCGTCGCGCGTAGGAAATAGAACCGGCGCGTAAAGGCCGCGACATGCTGCTCCTGAGACGCGGCCGACTCGCGCTGCTGACGGCTGCTGACGGCTCCTGTGGAAAAGGTTCTGTTGACCACAGCCGTTCCTATCAGCAGCTATGACGTGCTGCTGCAGTAACGTGCTGCTGACGGCTGCTGTGGAAAGCCGGGGTGACGCAGCGTCAGCCTGAAGAAGCCGGCAGCTGTCGGCGAAACTGTAGCTACAAAAAGGTAAACAAAACTGTTTCTGTGTTTAAAAAAGAACGAAAGAATGGATTTAGAAAGACACAGCAAGAACACACCTAAGATGTTTAAAGCTCCAGATTTAAACTGTTGCTGCATTTCAGAAAACTTTTAGGTCTGAAGTTAAGTTTATTAAAAAAAAAAAAGTATCAAAAGTCATCATTTTACATGACGTCTGCTAGTTGATTTCCTTTTGATGATTCAGAAACAACCTGCTCTTGAGTTTGCGTCCATTCCGCTCACCACGCTAATGCTTGTGACGTGCACTGACCTGAGCGATCCCAGTAACGGAGATGGGCACTCCGTGGCGAGTGTAAACCTTATCACTCTTCACATTCAGAGTCAGTGTGTTCAGGGAAATCCTGCAGGAGCAGAGGGAGACATGAAGAGGAGGACGGCGGGACTGCGAGAGGCTCTAATGGAGCAGGTTGAGTTAAAAGCTCTCAGCAGATAACAGCAGTCTGGTGCCTCGTTCTGAGGATCTAAGTAGCAATGTTGTCATGAAATAACATCAAATTCTACAAAAAACAGACTATTTGTAACAAAAAGGACATCAACAGAAATGCTCCTGTTCATTAATCCTCCTTATCCCACAAGCAGAAAGATTTTATGTTGCTTACTGATTTTTAAATCATTATTTCTATAAGTTGGTTGAATGTGGAGCATCTTTTGCTGTTGTGTCTTTGTTGTTTGTTTCACATCAGTTAGTTACGTTTGTGTTTCACAAACCAGGGATGCTCAGTGTGATTTAAGATGACGTTTGCAACACGTGGAAGGTTACTGACCTCTGAATCTGCTGAATGCACGGGAAGACAAACACTCGGCCTCCGGCGATCATCAGAGGAGGAGAGCGACAGAAGCCTGAGAGGAAACAGCATCACAACGAAGGGTTAGACGAGAATAAGGATCAAGGAATTTATACATTTTATTAAAGAGCAAGTCACCCCCTACCAGATTCTTACTCAACTCCCACTTCCTGTTTGAAAAATGCAACAAATGTTGTTGCCTAGCAGACCGAGAGGACGAAGCTGCTAACAAATACACACACACACACAGGCTCACAATGACATTGTGACATCATATGGTACCAGCTAACGTTCTAGGGTACCTCTTAGCCAATAGCGATGGCAGATTTTAATTCAAGTGCAGTGCAGTTTTTACCTGACAACGGCACAACACTGACAGTTTTAGGCAGAAAATAACTAAAATGCACTAAAGTGCAAAACTATCTGGAACTTTTTTACGGAACTGCGCTGCTCTGGGTGGCTGCATGTTGGAGTAGCTCTGTTGACTATATGTAAGTTTTGCCTTTTCTTGGAGATTTTTTCTTCTAGTTTCTCAAGAAAAACTGTATTTTTTTTGGACATTTTACTTTTCTGTTTCTGGTGCTGTGAAGCTTGGAGGATTTTTACTGCTATTTTTTATCTTTTTTCACTTTTTGAGCATTTGTTGTGATGCGTAACCATGGCAACAAGCTGGTTTACAATCGGGAGCAGCTGATTAACATTGGAACGGCTGAAATAATACCTCAACTGAAGCCACAAATCCCAAATGAGCTAAAACGCAAGAAGTGTGGGTGCAGAGCGGGAGCAAAACGGAGACAGAGAAAGCGGAAATTCAAAACATCTCTTCCATCGATCATAATGGGCAATGTGAGATCACTGGCCAACAAGATGGAGGAACTCCAAGCCCTTTCAAGAACTCAGCCAAAGTTTCAGCAGTTTCTCAACTGCTGGAGGAGATAATGCAAAGAAGGATTCTCCAGAGAATCAAGAAAATGATGGACAACCCTGAGCATTCTCTTCACAAGACTGTCTGACAACGGAAGAGTGTCTTCAGTCAGAGGCTTCTTCAGTTTGGCTGCAACACTGACCGCTACTGGAGATCCTTCCTGCCAACAATAACTCTTTGATGACTTGATTATTATTATTATTATTATTATTATTATTATTATTCTGAGCTACTACAGCAATCAATTTCCCTCTGGGATTAATAATGTATTTTTAATTGAATTGACTACACGTGTCTGCAGCAAGATTAGACACACATTATATAGTTTATCAGAAAAAAAAGATGATTTGGGGGTGACGCGCTCTTCAAGTAATTAATGTGTTTTTTCTCACTTCCACTAAAAACAGGTCTGACTAATAACTAATAACACCTGTGTTGGTTATCCAGGTAGAAGCTTAAATGAAAGCTTAATAAAAACAACAATAATCAGCTAGTTTGTTTACAAGTTGGTTTATTTTATCTCACCTGACACCACCATAGCCTCGTTTGGACCACAGGTGTAGAACATGTTTTCTTCTCTTCTTTAGACTGAAAAACAACAATAAAACATAAATATTAATTTACTTGGAAGCCTCCCACACAACAAAAGCAATTCAGCCACAAACGACGTAGCCGTGGCCTCGCCTTTAATAATAAACGGGAACCTGTGTGGCTGCTAGCATGAAGGGAGGGGTTACGATGGCAACAGCAGACCAGCAGGGCTCAAATTTAATTAAAGCAAATGTTGCGCAGTAAAGGCAGAAATAAACACAAACAAAAATCCTAAAAACTACGCTCACATCCTGTGAAAAAAACGAATAAATAAAAACATGTAAACATCCTCCAACAGTAACGCATCGTACCGTGTTTACATCGAGAAGAGACCTGAAAAAAGGCGAAATGTGAACACAAACTTACCGATTAACTAATTAACGAAGTCAAATCGGTGAAGTTGGGTTGAATGTATGATAGAGTAACCGTTTACACCGCTTAAAACCGACGTGGGTCGTTCCAGTTAACGTTTAATAACCGTTAAATGATGCTGAGATGATGAAGCTCAGCGTGAAGAACGGAGCACACCCACCGGCCCAGCGGTGCACTTCCGCCCCCTGTCGGCGTGGTGGTGAACCGCTTCCTCAGGCACGTTTATCAGGCTGACATTTTGATTATTTCCTATTCAAATAGATGGATGTCACCCCCCAGAATACACTGACTGGTATTACTTATTTTAAATATAAGTTTACAAAAACAAAGACTAGAAGGTAACAACTGTAAAGATGCATGGTACACATGAAGCTTATAGCATAGCATAGTTTATTTAAATAGCACATTTAAAATGCAGCATGGGAGCTGCCCAAAGTGCTGCACAGGCTAAAACAAAACACACCCATTACAAGGAGCTAAAACAAAGGATAAAAATCTCAATTAAAAGCAGAGAAAACATGAATAATAAGAACACATTAAAACAATGACACAATAAAACACTAAAACGAGTCACTGTCTAAAAGCCAAAGTGTAAAAGTGGGTCTTTAAACGAGATTTAAAAACCACCAGAGATGGAGCCTGCCGAACTCCAATGGGCAATGAGTTCCATAGCTTTGGGGCAGCATGGACAAATGCTCGTTCACCCCGCGATTTGAGCCTCATCCGCGGCGTGTGCAGCAGCAAAAGGTCAGCCGACCTCAACGAGCGGGTGGGCACATATGGAGTGAGAAGGGCAGAGAGGTAGGAAGGTGCCAGGTCACTGAGTGCTTTAAAAACAAAAGTCAGTAACTTAAACTGCACTCTGAAAATGACAGGGAGCCAGTGAAGATGTTCCAGGACAGGGGTAATGTGGCTACGTCGGTGTGTACCCGTCAAGAACCTGGCAGCAGCGTTCTGAACAACCTGCAGCCGATTCAGAGCAGAGTCCGGAACACCAATGAGGAGGGCGTTTGCGTAGTCCAGGCGAGAGGTAATGAATGCATGAATGACTGACTCCAAATGCCTCCGTTTCAGGATTCGTCTGAGGTGAGTAAGGCGGCGAAGCTGATAAAAACAAGACCTCACTACAGAGTTTATCTGTGGGGCCATTGTGAGGACATTATAGAGGACATTGAGCAATATTCACAAGTCTGTTTGACACTTTTGACAGGATATTTCCAGAAATATTTGTTAAAGGATTTGAACATTTTGAACACTTGTCACATTTTCTTTTGTTTATAGCACAGAAAGATGCTCTCACAAGCACCTACTACCGGTCTTTAAAGAGCAAGTCACCCCCTGCCAGATTCTTACTCAACTCCCACTTCCTGTTTGAAAAATGCAACAAATGCTGTTGCCTAGCAGACCGAGAAGGCGGAGCCTCTAACAAATACACACACTCACAACATTGTGACATCATAATGTACCATCTAACATCTTAGTGTACCTCTTAGCCAATAGCGATGGCAGATTTAAATTCAAATGCAGTGCTGAGTTTTTGCCTGACGATGGTGCATCACTGACAGTTTTAGGCAGAATATTTTAATTTTAACTAAGATGCACTAAAGTGCCGAATTATTGACTACATTTGTCTACAGCACAATTGGACACTCATTTATATAGTTTATCTGCAAAAAAAGTTGATTTGAGGGTGACTCGCTCTTTAACGAGCGAGTCACCCTCAAATCAACTTTTTTCCCTTCCCTTTTTTTGTGTTTTTTCTAGAAACAATTAGACATGTTTACTGTATATTTGCACAGTTTAAATCCAGCCTGAAGACACATTTTTTAAATTTGGCTTTTGGTCAATGATCGGTCTTTTATGCTGTGACTCTTCTGTTTTACTGACTTCTGTTTTTATTGACTTCTCTTTTATTGGCTGTTTTATACATTTGTATTGTTTTTAGGTGTTTCTATTTTATGACAGCTTTTATCTGTGTTTAATGTGTATGTATGTGTATTTTGAATGACTTTTTTGGTTTAACTCTGTGCAGTGCTTTGGTCAGCTGACATGCTGTTTTTAAATGTGCTATGTAAATAAAATTGGATTGGATTGGATATTTAAAAAAGGATAGAAATTATCCATGTTTCTCTTTTCAGCTGGTATTTTTTAACTCTTACAGTCAAGTCTAATGTTCATTTCCACAAATGTACAAGTGGGGGAATAACATGGAGCAGATAAAGAAGAATAGTGAATAGTGTAAAACAGGCACATGACACCATTTTTCTGTGGTTATACTGTAATTCTGGACCATTTTCTAGTGGTGAAACGGCCTATACCTGAGTATTACGCAGACTACACCACTGTGATGGTCCCATTCTACTCGTCCATCAAGTGCATCCTCACCTCCACTATCACTGTGTGGTACGCGGGGGCACTGCGAGGGACAAACAGACTACAGCATGTTGTGTGCTCAGCAGAAAAGGTGATCGGCTATATCCTGCAATGGATTCATGAGCTGCAGACCTCCATGGCTGTGAAGCATGCAGGTTACATCACAGCTGACACCTCTCATCCTGGCCATGGTCTGTTCAAACTACTCCCTTCAGGCAGGAGGTTCATGTCGACCTGGGCAATAACCTCACGCCACAAGAACAGCATCTTTCCCAGTGCTGTAGGTCTCCTGAACATCAGATAAACATTTTAACCATACAGAAACTAGTCACCCTGCGTCTAGATCTATCCCAACCTCTGTTTCTCTCCTATGTTCTATGCTTATTATGTCACGGTCTGAGGTATTTCCCTGCTGTCACTCCCTGTCTTTTGAGTTTCCCTCTGCAGGTGGGCGTGTCTGGAGGTGACCAAGCTGCAGCAGATCTGCTCATCAGCTGGCCAGGGGTATTTAAGCAGCTGGGAGACTCCTACACTTCGCTGGATGATTACTCTACCTGGGTACCTTCTAACAGCCACTTGTGAAACTTATTCGAGCTCTGTAAACTCTTGAGAATTAGATTTGTTTTTGGATTATGGATTTTTGAGATTTGATGTGTTTTTGGATTTTGGATTTTTGCCTTTGTGACCTCCTGCTCTTGTTCCCAGACAAACCTACACACTCATCTCTGACTGGCAGAACTCTGGAGCCCACACCATTTGGATCTCCAACTCCGCTTGTCTCTCAGCCTCTTCCCTGGCCAGACCCGCCTCCAGCTGCCCACCTAACCTCCCCGGACCTCCCCAAGCTCAGCTCCCTCCACGTCTCTTTTCTGGATCTCAGTCCCTGCTACCCAGACCGGACCACTCCTCCCTCAAACCAGTTCCCACCTCTCCAGACCGTAAGTCCTCCACATAAGCCTGATTCCCTGTGCCATCCGCAAATTGGATCTAACTCCGATCTGTCCACAGCTTCTCCCGCACCAGCTTCCTCGTGCAAGAACTCAGCTACGTTTACGCTGCTTCCTTGGTTTCCCTTTAAAATAAATTTTTAAAAACATTTTACACCGTCTCAGATCTGATTCTGTATGTCGTGGGTTAGATTTCTTCACCACAACATGACATATTAAGCATAACCCCTTTTATATGATGCATCTGTGTCTGCACCATTCCACCAAACCTGCTAATGAGAGCTTCACTCAGGTGCTTGGCATCAAATCAGATTGTGTGTGTGGTAATTGGACACCAGCTGGTCCTCGTTATCCATAACGAGACCAGGGAGGATAAAAAGGTGACCTGCTGAGAGGTGTGCGTGGTCGACCTGTCATTTGGCAGTAAAACTCACCTCCTCATGGCGCCAAACACGGTGAAATAAAATCTTTTTCTAAGATGTAAACAGCGCTTCGAGTTTAAAAACGAAGATATTTCTCCGACCACCTCGTGAGCTGGTGAACTACGTCCCATGAATCAATCTCTTCATTTGTAAATGTGGAATCTGCTGGGGTGAGTGTACAATATTGTGTTCCCTGATTTTTGGTTGATTCAGGCTTTTTCTGTTTAGTTTCCTAGCAGTTGACCAACCAGTCTAAAAAAAAATCACTCATTATCTTTAATGTTGATCCTCAGTAAGGTCACAGAAAGCTGGTGTCAGTCTCAGCAGTCTTCGAGCAAGGATATGGGAGATACCCTGGACAGTCTCTAGTCAGCCTAACATGCACATGTTTGGTCTGTGGACGGACAATGGAGAAAACCTAATGGCCAATGACCAAAAGAGAGGACATGTAAAAAGTGAGTGATTTGAATAATGACAAATGCTGGAGTGTTTGGGGACATAATGGGAAATAATAGAGGTTTGCCTTTTGAAGTGTTTCATTTCAACAAGCCAGTTGGGTGGCATTTGTTAGTGACCTGTTCTCCTCCCTGCTCCATCCCTGGGTACATTAACCTGCCTTTAATATCATCATCATCTTTATTTATAGAGCCTCTTACAAGCATGAGACATGCCACCAAAGTGCTGCACAGTAACAAGTTAAAAGTAAAAGATCAACGACATATAACCCAGAGAGTTAAAAGCCAAACCAGTCAGTGCGTTTACATGCAGCCAGTCTCTAGTCTCATTTTATTTATAATAGCTGTGGCATCGGACTTGTTGGGGGTTGTTCGCAGTCGGGTAGGTCTGCCGGCGACGAAGACAGTGCAAACAGGCATGCAGCGTTCCAGTGCTAGGAGGGAAGGCTTGTCGCCTTTAGGCAGCGAGGGCTGGGCATGGTGGATGCCAAGACCACGCAGATATCTGCCGCTACGGACTCAGGCAGTTGGACTCATGTTGTGGACTTACCGCCGTCCTCGCAAGCTGCACCCCGGGGCGTTGGAAGCTCAGACCCCGGGGAGGGGGGTCACCACATCTGAGACAGTAAGTACCGCTGCTCGTGTGACTCATGCTGGACTGTTGGTTTTAGAAGAGAGGGCTTGGGCCATGGTGTTTAATCATTGTATCTTATTGATAGTGCAATAAAGTGTGGCTTTTATAAGTCGTTACCTACTGGTGGTGGTTTCAGGTTCTGTCTGGAGGGCAAGATATTCTGCCCGTGCTGCCCACAGCTAGCCTGGCAAGCCAGACTAAATAAATGTATTATTTAGTCTGGCCATGCTCCATTAACGGCTCTTGGTTGTGGGGCGGGTTCTACTGTTGTCTTTCAAATGATCTCCGCATTCCACTGGACAATGAATGTGACATACTCATCTTGTTTCACTCTGTTGCATCATCCCACCCACCAGGCATATAGAGTGCCCTGATTGGCCCACAAAGCGGATAAAGCTCTGTGATTTGTTCACTAAGCAGATGGAGCACTATGACTGGCCCACCATTATGGACCAATCACAGCTCTTTGTGTGTTTGAAACCCCTCTAGAGAGCTGTGATTGGCTAGCCAGAGTCCTGGTAGGAGCTGCTGAGGTTCCAATGGAGCATGCCTAGACAATTCTTTGCAAAGCAAGAATTTGGTCTAGTTCACTAGGCTAGCCCACAGCAACTTTCATTACAATATCAATCTGGTGTAGTGATGGGAATTCCGGCTCTTTTTAGAGACCCGGTTCTTTCGGCTCAGCTCACCAAAAAGAGCCGGCTCTTTCGGCTCCCAAGTGGCTCCTCAGATTTTCAGTTGCGTAGAGTACATTTATAATCAAAATAATGCAAAACTATGTGTAAAATGATTTACTAAATTTAAAAAATGCTATATATCAAATATTTATCATTTCTATGGATTTAATAACTGAACACTTACAGAAATCTCCACTTTCCGACTGCTGGCGCTCATTTTCTCACCGTCTTCGTCACACTCTCCTCTCTCTCTCTCTCTCTCTCTCTCTCTCTCTCTCTCTCTCTCTCTCTCTCTCTCTCTCTCTCTCTCTCTCTCCATTTTCCTCCTCCTCATTCCCTCTGGTCTCCCTCCGCCCGCATGTGCTCTGCTGTGTGTCTGAGTCTTATCCTCCCTCTTCCCCACCCCTACTGCTCGGTGTGTGGACAGTCTGGACACACAGTTACACATCTTGACCAATCACCTGTGGCTTTCACCAAAGCAAAAGGGGGGGGGGGGGGGGAACAGCTCCCAATGACGAGCCGGCTCCCGTCGTTCACTTCAAAGAGCCGGCTCTTAGAGCCGGTTCGTTCGCGACCGACACATCACTAATCTGGTGCATGGGTCTCCTCCCCTATAATCCAGTTCCGTGTTTTCAGTGTGCTGACCACACAGAACAAGCCAGGGAAGCATAAAGACTAATAATTTTTTTCTAAAAGTGCTTATCCAACACTCAGTAAACGATTCAACGCGGGATCGTACATTCCGAGTTGTCCGGATATTTGTAGTTGTTGGCGAAATGACTCAAAATTTATTTTTTTCGTATATTTTTTGTTTTGTTTAATGTTTCGTTCCCTACTCCGTTCCGTGTTTTGGTAGCGACTCGTAAAAGACAAGGAGGTGGGTCTTGGTTTCGGCCAATGAGAGTCGCTCATTTGAAGCGCTCACCCAAAACCTTCAATTTTGAATTCTAACGCTCGAAGACGGCTTTGAGTAACAAGGAACTCGCCCTTAAGGTAATTTAGTTTATGTACATTAAAGAGGGGTTTTTATCTGAATTGTAGAAGATCCACTAAATTATTAGTCAAGGATATCGTCGTTTAAAATGTAAGCTAACGGTTTTATGTTTTTATCTTTACTCTTGAGCTAACAACAGGCGTTGATAGCGTTTAAATATAATTATTCCAAGTGGAACAAATTTAATGTAAAACGTTTATTATGTGAACTCGCTCAGGTACGAGGTTAGATTTAGTCAAATAAAGTTGGTTAACGTGGAATAAATGTCTTACTTCATTAGCCATGCTATGTTAGTACTTTGCATTAATAGCAGCGTATTTTCCACCTTAGATATGCATTATTTAGGCTTTTGTGTTTCCTTAACAAACAGACCGATACTTATTTAATGTTTTAGCTTCTAATACAGATCCCGAATATCAAACATTTATTACTGATGTATTTTCACTATTAAAGTTGAGTATCTGCCATTTAAATACTTTTATTAAGAATAGAAATTAAGTTTTAGAAGAAAAAATGATTAAAACAAAATTGTAAGTGACGCTAGCAGTTTTATATGAAAGTGTGCATAGTTTTTGTTTTCGTGTTGCTGCACATTGGGCTAAAAACCTGATATTTTTGTGTTGCATGGCAGGAAACCTGGTGTAAACATTTTTATGGTGTCATATTCATATTAAAGTATTAAAATTTCTTAAGTAATATAACCGTTTTTGTTTCTCAAGCGCTCCAGGAATTATAAACTGATTATTACTGAAACTTTTGCATCATAAATCTCAGCTGTGTCTGATGTTTATCATAACAACGGAGTTTTTCTCCTCTGATTTTGACCAAATTCTTTTCTTTTCTCCATTCTCAGCTCATCATGTCCCGTTTGCCTGTGATAACCAAGAGGGTTCTCACCAGCAGCAACTCTGAGAACTCTCATCACTTGGCACCTGCTCCGGTTTGTATTAAAAAAGATTTATTTAAATTTCACCTTCCTAGTTTGTAGCTAATGGCTTAATGGGGAAGCACTTAGCCAAAATCCCTTCATTAGTGCTCTTTAAATCGACAGTAAATATTCTTAAAACTTTTTGTTTTTGCAGAAGAAGGTGCGCAGAGAGCAAGAGCCACAAAGATGTCCGACAGCTGTAACCGTGATAGGAGACAAACGCCCTCCAGTTGCATCAGGAAGAGCTTCTCTTTGTAAGTTACTGTCTCAGTCGGCGTATTCTAGCTCTGGCGGGGTGTTAGAAAACCTCAGTTGGATTATGGTTTTATGCAGATAAATCGGTGAGAGGTGCAGGAGCTGCTACCGTGGCTGCTGGTCCTTCCAGAGGTGAGACAGGTTGCCTTTAGTCCATCAGTAACTATTTTTAGTTGGGAAAATAATTCACATGATTACATTGTTTCATCAGCTGTCCAGAAGGTGCCCACAGCTTCGACTGCTCCTAAAGGTGCAGCCAAACCGCCCGCTGCCACTAAAGCAGGTGAGAAATGCAACTTTTTAAAACCACCTCAGAGCTGTCAAGCCGAAGCTGCAAAATATAATTTGGCTGGAAAATTTTATGCTGTAATTTCGTGCAACAACTAATCAGGACGTAGGAAAGTTTGACAGAACCTTGAAATAAACGGGTCTTCCTGTGTCCAGGTGGGACCGGGGCTCCGAGGAGACAAGCGTGGGACCTGAAGGGCAAGGTCAGCGACATGGAGGGCAAGATCCGCAACTACCAGACCAAGGTCCGGTCTGTGAACGAGGAGAATGAGCTCCTGAAAGGCTCCGTGGCCCAGAGCCGCAACCGACTGTCTGACCTGGAGAGAGAGGTGGAGAGTCAGAAGAGCAAAATCTGGTCAGAGATGTTTTCTTTAGGATTTGAAGCTAAATCATTAAATAATTTCACTTCAATACAATCAATGTTTGTTTTGTCGTCATGTAGTGGGTATGAAGTGGAGCTGCAGGCTTTGTGTGGAGTCCGTGAGGATCTAAAACACATGACCAGTGAGAAGAACTGCCTTCAGAGGGAACTTTCTGATCTGGAGGCAAAATACAAAGTCATGGAGACTCTGAGGGACAGCCAGGAGGCCGAGCTGCAGACTCTGAAGGTAAATTATCGTCCTCTCCAGCTGGAACTGGATGGGTTATATGATCAAATCTGTGAAATGATTCAAAGAAGGCCCGATCTCTCTGAAATGTTTAAACACAAGAGAGGTGGTAGCACCTTCAGTGGGTCTGTGGGCGTCGGCAGCGGTGGCTCAGACGGCTGGGTGAATGTTTTGCTGTCTGCTGCAGATGAAGCTGTCGGTTCAGGACTCGACCGTGACCCGGCTCCAGACCAGCCTCACAAACGCACAGGAGGAGGTTCGCACCCTGAAGGAAACCGTGGTGGAGCAGAAAGATGAGCTTCATGCTGGAGAGATGGAACGCCGACGGCTCCATAACATGATTCAGGAACTCAAGGTGAGTTCTTGTGATGCACCCGCCCAACACGATCCGATCGGTACCTTTAAACCGTTTTTGTTGCCTCTAACTATATTTATGTAGTTGTGATTATTTTCCCGTTATGTCGGGTTGTTTTCACCTGTGTTTCTGAACTGATGTTCCTGTTTGTCCTGCAGGGCAACATCAGGGTCTTTTGTAGGGTGCGCCCTCTAGTGGATGGAGGCCTGAGCAGTCACATCCAGCTTGCCCCCAGTGACAACAAGTCCATAACTCTGGCCAAAACGGAGGAGGTGAGGGTCGTGTGGCACAGGAGTTAAGTGCTCGCCCCGTAATTAGACGGTTGAAGGTTCGAGCCCCGCTCAGTCTGTCACTGTCATGTCCTTGGGCAAGACACTTAACCTCCCTTACCTGCTGGTGATGGTCGGAGTGCTTGTGTACAGCAAACTCCCCTCCGTCAGTGCACCCCAGGGCAGCTGTGGCCACAGTGTTGTATGTTGTAAAGTGCCTTGGGGGGGTTCCAGGGCTCTAGATGGGTCTATATTAAATACAGGCAATTTGTTTATATAGATAGTTTCTGATTAGTTAACAAATTGCCATTTTGTTTAAAATGTGCATAAAAAAACTAAATAAGGAGAGAAACTTGACTCCTGTTTTGTTTCTGTCCATCAGTCTCACACGGGGAAAAGTGCAGACACTCATAAGAATTACCATTTTAGCTTTGACCAGGTGTTCGGTCCGCACGCTTCACAGCAGCAGGTGAAACACACACACACACACACCTACTGATCTACACGCTGTGTAAGGGGAAATCACGAGGACTTTTCTTTTTCAGATCTTTGAAGAGATCTCGCTGCTGGTGCAGTCGGCGCTGGACGGGTACAACGTCTGCTGCTTCGCGTACGGGCAAACGGGAAGTGGGAAGACTTACACCATGGAGGGGGAGGAGTTTGACGACAGCAGAGGCGTCATTCCCAGGGCTGTGCAGCAGATCTTTAGAGCGGGCGAGAAGCTGGAGTCTCAGGGCTGGGAGGTTAGTTTAGAAACGCTTGTGTGCAGAACCATGAGTAGAAAACACAGTCGGACTGTTATATGCACGGTTTTTCTGTTTCAGTTCAACTTCACGGCCAGCTTTGTGGAGATTTATAATGAGACTCTGAGGGACCTGCTGTACACGGGCAAGCCCAGCAAGAGACCAGAGCACGAGATCAGGAAGAGCAACAACGAAGTGACGGTTACAAACCTGACCTACAAGCAGGTCTGCTCTGAGGGTCAGGTACGTCAGGAGGACCTCCTAGTCACTTTAAAGCTACAGAACAGGTCATCAGTAGGGCCCGATCGAGATATCAACCGATATCAGGGTCATTAACAGTATCGGCTCTCGGCCAAAAAGACGGCCGATGTTCTGCTATCTATCCAGCAGATGGCGCCAGCTTTATGAACTCATGTTGTGTGGCTCCGCTCCTTTGAACTTTGAACACAAATGATTGTTTTGGAACTTTTTTTAATTCTTTATGTTATGTGCAATTTCCTGTCCAGGGTTTAAAGTTCACCAAGTTAACCTCCAGAGTGTTTTGTTACAAAGCACAAGTATTATGTTTTATTTATTGCTGCATTTTTATTTTTATTTTCTTATAGGGATCTTCTGTCCCTAAATGTGTTAGATTCCCCAGAGTTAGCCAAGTCAGGAAAAACATGTTGTAACCAGTTTTAGTTTAAAGCAATGGAAGGGCAGGCTTGCATTCACCTACATAAAAAACACTACAGTGTGTGTGAATTCACTTACTTTGTTTTATGCTAAACTAAGAAAACCAACTGCTGCCAGATCATGTTGGGCTGGTTTTTGAGATCTGCTAAATCTTATGTGCATTACATGGAAACCCTGGTGAGTTACTGAGACAGTTCTTTGGTGTGTAAGAGAGAAACAAGTTTGCATCAAAAGGCAGAGAATGAAGGGTTTAAGCTTAAGAACATTTTTATTCATTTATTTTGTGAGGGAGATTTATCGGCCATTATATCGGCTATCGGCCTTAAAAGTTTTGTATCTGTATCGGTCGGGCCCTAGTCATCAGGTAAATTTGAGAGTTTTTATACAAAGTTCATCATTAAAATCTCTCCTGCAGGATTTCACTTCCATAGACCTGCAGAGTTCATGCTTTAAAGCTCATTTTGGTCCATTTTAATGTTTTGAATCGTCTTAATAATCTTTGCTTCCCGTCTCCTCCCAGGTCCTCGACCTGATTGCTCTGGCCAAGCAGAACCGCTCCACGGCCCAGACGGCTCAGAACGACCGCTCCTCTCGCTCCCACTCCGTGTTCCAGCTGCAGATCGAGGGAGCAAACGCCGGCAGGGACGTCCGGTGCAAATGTGTGTTTGAGTATCAGCGGTGAGCTTTAGAAAACGTTCTCTAGTCTCTTATTTATAATAGGTGTTCTTTTGTCTTTCTCACGTGAAGCCACGCTCTGCCTGGTGGATCTGGCCGGTAGTGAGCGGATGGTGAAGAGCCAGTCTCAGGGGGAGCGCTTTAAGGAGATGACGTCCATCAACAGTTCCCTGTCCAACCTGGGGATCGTCATCACCTCTCTGGCTAACAAGGTGCGTTACCTGCAGCCCGGCACAAAAGGAATCGGCTCAGCGAGTGTTATTAAGCGTTTCTGTGTTTCAGGAGAGCCACGTCCCCTACAGGAACTCCAAGCTGACCTACCTCCTGCAGGGATGCCTGGGAGGAAACAGCAAAACGTTCGTTCATAACACTCGTCTCCATCAGTCGTGTCGCTTCTTATCTCCTGAAACAGAGAATAGGATTTCTAACAGAGCTGTGTTTCTCTTCTTAGATTGATGTTCGTCAACATTTCCCCCGAGCCGGACAGCTTTGGGGAAACTCTGAACTCCCTGAGGTTTGCCAGTAAGGTTGGTGACATCTTCACTAATAATCCTGGCTTATAAACTTAGAAACAGTGCAATGATTTTTATTTTAATACATCCTGAATTTTTAGTTTGTTTAACAGGCTAACATGATTCTAGTGATTGAGCTAAAAATTAATATTTTTATAAGGAAATATTTTTCATCACCTATTTGTTGCTGTATTAGAAATGCTGATTTATTTATCTTCGCAGGTGAACGACTGCGTCATCGGGACGGCGAGCTCCAACAAAAAGTAGAAATTAAGCCTCCAATTTTGTTTTTTAACCTTATTATTTACACAATCACATAGTGACTCCATGGTTCAGTTTGAAGCCTGGTCTACACGTGTCTCACTTGTAAAAACCAAAAAAAAAATTGTTTTGTCTCAGGCACTCTTACAGGCTTTAGCCTCTTTTTGTAAATAGATTTTTGTTTAGCTTTTTTTAAACTTTAATTAAAATTGTATGAATTTTACTAATGAAAACCATCATATTCTGTTTTTTTCCATCCTTTATTGTTGTAAATCCACTGCAGAAACATCTAGTTTTATTACCAATGCTGACTTCTGATCTCCTTTTCTTGTTGGGTCTTAATAAATATTTTACCTGAGCTGCTCCTGTTTTTAAATGACGTATATTCTTACTTCTCCAAGAAAAAACACTTGGCCAATATAGTAGACCACTTTTTAACATTTCAAGAATTTTATTTCGGAGTGATATATAAATATTAGTTGAATAAGATTTTTGTACAGTATTTTGCATCAAAGATCAGTACTAAATACTCTGTGTAGTTTGGCACATACCGTTTTCATGATAGTTACAATAGACTTCCTGTTAGAATTGAACCCTTTTATTTTGAAGGGACAATTTCCTGTTGAGGGGAAACGCAAGCTTAACTGAAAATAATGGTACGCTACTTTTTTTTTTTCCACCAGAAGGTCGTGCTAGACAGGTTTTTAGGCGGAACTTTTACTTTTTGAATAAAACACAAATGTTAAAATAATAACTACATATCTACAGTACTATAAGACCGATATTTAAACAAATTATCAGCTAAACAAGTTGGTTTGGGTGCTACTTGCTCTTTAAAGAGCAAGTCAACCCCTACCAGAGTCTAACTCCACTCCCACTTCATGTTAGCCTAGAGAACTAGACCAAATTGTTGCTTTGCAAAGTTTGAAAGTTTAAATAATTTATTTAGTCTGGCTTGCCAGGCTAACTTCATGTTTGAAAAATGCAACAACTGCTGTTGCTTGGCAGACCGAAGGCAGAGCTGCTAACAAATACACAAACACACAGGCTCACGACAGCATTGTGACATCATAATGTACCAGTTTACATCATAGCATACCTCTTAGCCAATTTAAAGGCAGATTTAAATTAAAACAGTGCAGAGTTCCTGACAACGGCACAACACTGCCAGTTTTAGGCAGAATATTTAAATTTTAACCAAGATGCACTGAAGTGCAAAATATGTGTCTGCAGCACGATTACACTCGTTTATTATTGTAATCGAGTCACCTTAGTTCCTGGAAGTTACTCTGGTTATACCATAGACTGTAAATACGTGTCATGCTGCGGACACAGGGGAGGCCAGGTGTGTAATCAGAGGGCTGCTATAATTAGGGCAGCTGGGGTCTAGCCGCAAGAGCGGAATGCCTCGCTGTGGGTGCAGCCAAGTGTGTGAGCAGGACTGAGGGGTGAACAGCCGGAATTTTCATTGGCAAGCGGTCGGCCGATGAGACCTTAGCCTGCTACTGTTTTTCCAGTTCTTTTATTAAATCTTTTCTAGTTCTTTTATTAAACCGTTTGCCGGTTTTATCTTATTACTAATCGTTTTCTCCAGAGGGGGAAGGAAGCAAACTTGTGAGTCGGGTGGTTAGCGTTAAGCACAGTGCTGTCTCTGGGAGGCTAGCTTCTTTTAGAGTATCCGCTGTAGGAGTTTTCGGGGTTTTACTCACTTCTGGGTGACGTGTGTATGAGCTTTAGTTAAAGGGAGCACTGAGGCCCTGTCCACACGTAGCCGGGGATCTGCCAAAACGTAGACATTTTTCTACGTTTTGGCCTGTCATCCACACGAAAACGGATCTTTTTAAAAACTCCGGCCAAAGTGAAGATCTGTGTTTTCTCTGTTTTGGGTGTCTGCGTGTGGACAGACAAAACCGGAGTTTTAAGGTCCGCAACGTCACTTTCCGCGACAAAAAATGCTGACATCACGTGTGCGACCTGTGTTTACACTAGCTGACAGCATGGATGCCCTCAGAGCTGCGCACTGTCACTACCCGATCCCTCAATTGTCCAAGTGCTTTCTGCTTGTTTGTTTTTGCAAGCGGAATTACTGCTCCTTGCGGAAGACCACAGACGAGGTTAAGAACGGGGGAAGTACTGCCGCCTACAGGTCTGGCATGTCCTTAACAACGTATTTATCCGGGTACATGTGGACAGAGTTTTGTTTTAAAACGCGGTGGTGTGGATGCAAGTTTTTGGAGGGGCGGATATTCGTTTTCAAAAAACCCGGCTACGTGTGGACTAGGCCTGAGTGTTTTTCTTTATATTATTGTCTCTTGTCTCGGTTCCCTACAGCGGCTTTGTGCTTTTAAATAGTAGTTGGATGGCGTTGTGTGTAGTCCCAGGGCCAGCATTGTCGTCGCTCCTCCCTCTCGTGGTTTAGAGTTTTAGCCTATTTTTATCCCGACCTGGGTTGTCTTTAATAAATCTCCTGTGCTGTATCTTCTAAATAAAATTGTTAAACTTGTGACTAAGCCTCTGCTACGGTTTTAGGATGTAAGCATCCAACCCTCTAGGTCACATTTAGTTTATCAGCAAAACAAAGTTTATTTGGGGGTGACTTGCTCTTTAAAGGTCTGATTTTGTGTCGGCTAAAGTCTGGCTGTCTGTCTGGGGGTCGTTAAAGGCGACGCGTCGTTGTCTGCCGCCGCAGAAATCCGACCAGAACAAGTCCGTTTAAAAATGCTCCTGAAAGTTCGGGTTCTGGATGACCAGGCGGGTCGGGCTGCCCCTTTCTCTCCCACAGACTGGAGCTTTGAGGGCGGCAGAGACTGAAACGGTGAGCCGAACGTCCGCTTTTAGCCCACCGCCTAAGCTAACAGCTGCTAGCATCATGCTAACAGCACATCTGTAACGGAGTGACGGATTTTACAGATGTTTCCCTGACAGATGTGCACGATCAGCTACATAACATTTCACCGGTTTGTAGTTTTAATTTGTAACTTGAGTTTTAATCAACTAAAAGTAAGTTTGTGCCACAGATGAATGAACAAAATGTTGTCTGACACGTTTGACTCAAAACAAGGAACATAATCTGCAGTTTTCTGTCGGACTTGATATAAACTGTAGTTCTGCAGCATCATTGTGTTGTCATTAATCTGCTGTTACCTCTGTGGTTTAATCAGGATGTTTAACGGGAACTAAAAGCTGCAGGTTTTCAGACATAAACAAGATGATCGGTTTGTTATTGATCGTAAAATCTGACTTTCTGGCATTTTAGGGTTTCATTACATTAGTTTTAGGTTACTGATGAGCTTTAAATTGCTTTTTTATACATGGTTTACTACAGAGATCCTAATCTTGTCTGCAGCTTATTTCCTTTCTAAACACAAGGATGCACTTTAAATAATTTGTTGTTTTTTAGCACCAGATGACGTTTTTTTCTGGATTTTTTATTTATAAGAGGTTTAAATTGTCTGATAGGTTAGTCCAGATTATATGATTCACTTTTTCAAACTGCAATAAAAACTTTTGTTCATAAAAAAAACTAATTCTGAATCATATTTGGAGTGACTTAAAGCAGTTGCACTGAGTTGATGCTTTTCTACCATCCAGATGCAGTCGGTGTCCATGGAGGTGGGAAGCAGCAGATCAGGTGGTTCTGTGGTTCAGGTGAGCTTCCCCAGCGCTCAGACGTCTGTTCTGGACAGCCTGAACCGTCAGAGGGAGGACGGTAGTCTCTGTGATCTCTCCATCCACGTCCAGGGACACGTGTTCAAGGCTCACCGCTGCGTCCTCGCTGCTTCCTCGCCGTACTTCCATGACCAGGTCTGACTTCACTAAACCAGATAACAGTTACACACAAATCAGTTCAGTGTGTTAGACAAAAGTCACTAGTGTCTAAAAACACAAAATCCTAAAATTACAAAGCCATGATTAATTGTGTCTGCAGGATTTCTTTTTGCTTTTAGTTCATTTTTAATTAACCAGGAAAGTCTGGGGGGTCCTTCTTGAACCGTCACCTTATCATGATGGAGGAGTTTGAGTGCCCTAATGATCCTAGGAGCTATGATGTCTGGGGCACTTTGTGCCCCTAGTAGGGTCTCCCATGACACATGGGTTTTAGGTGAAGGGTGCGACAAAGAACAGTTCACAGGATCTTTCATGGACATTAAAACAAAGAGTCAGAGTACCCGGCCCGGAGGGTTACCGGGGTCACACCTTGGAGCCAGGCCTGGGGTTGGGGCCCGTGAGCGAGCGCCTGGTGGCACATGGGCTCATCCAACTGTGGACCCACCACCCGCAGGAGGAACATGAAGGGTCCGGTGCAATGTGGATCGGGTGGCAGACCAAGGCGGGAGTCTTGGCGGTCCGATCCCTGGACAAGGAAACTGGTTTTTGGGACATGGAACATCACCTCGCTGGCGGGGAAGGAGCAGGAGCTTGTGGCAGAGGTTGAGCGGTACCGGCTAGATATAGTCGGACTCGCCTCGACACATAGCATTGGCTCTGGAACCCAAGTCCTTGAGAGGGGTTGGATACTCTCCTTTGCTGGAGTTGCTCCGGGGGAGAGGTGGAGGGCTGGGGTTGGCTTTTTGTTAGCCCCGAGACTCTCTGCCTGTGTGTTGGGGTTTACCCCGGGGGACGAGAGGGTAGCTTCCCTGCGCCTTCGGGTCGGGGAAAGGGTCCTGACTTGTTTGTGCTTATGGGCCAAATATCAGTTCAGAGTACCCACCCTTTTTGGAGTCCCTGGGACGAGTGCTAGATAGTGCTCCATCAGGGGACTCCATTGTCCTGCTGGGGGAATTCAATGCTCACGTGGGCAATGACAGCATGACCTGGAGGGGTGTGAATGGGAGGAACGGCCCACCTAATCTGAACTCAAGTGGTGTTTCGTTACTGGACTTCTGTGCAAACCGCAGTTTGGCCATAACGAACACCATGCCCATCGGTACACTTGGTACCAGGGCAGCCTAGGTCGCAGGTCGATAATAGACTTTGTAGTTGTATCATCTGACCTGCGGCCGTATGTTTTGGACACCCGAGTGAAGAGAGGAGCGGAGCTGTCAACTGATCACCACCTGGTGGTGAGTTGGATCAGATGGCAGGGGAAGATGTCGCGTAAACCTGGCAGACCCAAACGCATAGTGAGGGTCTGCTGGGAACGCCTGGCAGAAGAACCTGTTAAGACGGTCTTCAACTCCCACCTCCAGAGGAGGGTGAGTTTGGTCCGCATAGCCGGTAGTAAGTCGGACCTGTTCCAGGTGAGGGTTGGACTCCACCAGGGCTGCCCTTTGTCACCGGTTCTGTTCATTACCTTTATGGACAGAATTTCTAGGCGCAACCGTGGTGTGGAGTGTGTCGAGTTTGGTGGCAGGAGAATCTCGTCTCTGCTTTTTGCGGATGATGTGGTCCTCCTAGCTTCATCCAGCTCTGACCTTCAGCTCTTGCTGGGTAGGTTCACGGCCGAGTGTGAAGCGGCTGGGATGAGGATCAGCACCTCCAAATCTGAGACCATGGTTCTCGACCAGAAAAGGGCGGCTTGCCAACTCTGGATCGGGGGAGAGGTCCTACGTCAAGTGGAGGAGTTTAAGTATCTCGGGGTCTTGTTCACGAGTGAGGGTAGGAGGGATCGGGAGATCGACAGGCGGATTGGTTCGGCGTCTGCAGTGATGCGGACGCTGAGCCGATCTGTCGTGGTGAAGAGGGAGCTGAGCCAGAAAGCCAGGCTCTCGATTTACCGGTCGATCTACGTCCCAATCCTCACCTATGGTCATGAGCTTTGGGTAATGACCGAAAGAACGAGATCGCGGATACAAGCGGCCGAAATGAGTTTCCTCCGTAGGGTGGCCGGGCTCAGCCTTAGAGATAGGGTGAGGAGCTCGGACATTCGGGAGGGACTCGGAGTAGAACCGCTGCTCCTCCGGATCGAAAGGAGCCAGTTGAGGTGGTTTGGGCATCTGGTCAGGATGCCTCCTGGACGCCTCCCTGGGGAGGTGTTTCAGGCATGTCCTGCCGGCAGGAGGCCCCCGGGTCGACCCGGACCCGGATAAGTGGAGGAAGACGACGACGAGGAGTCTGGGGTTAAAAACCTCTTTAAGGAAGTCCTGGGAAGGATTAATGTTAGAATGATGCGTGTTTGCTTTAATTAACTGATTAATTAATTTATTATATTAACAAAATTAAAACAGAACAAAAACATTCATGCAGGACCATGTCCTATCCAAATATTTAGTCAGGTATCAAAAAAAGATGTTTTTACAGAAAGAAAACCAGAGGTGAACCGTCCTTTGACCTTCTGACCTCCACCTGCCTCCAGGTGCTGCTGAAGAACATGTCTACCGTCTCCATCCCGGCCGTGATGGACCCGCTGGCGTTCGAGAGCGTCCTGAGCTGCGCCTACACGGGTCAGCTCCAGATGCTGAGAGACGACATCGTCAACTACCTGACGGTGGGTAGCGTGCTGCAGATGTGGCACATCGTGGACAAATGCACCGAGCTGCTGAGGGAGGGTCGAGCTGCAGCTGCAGGAGGTGGAGGAGCGCTGCAGGATGGAGCAGGAGGAGGTGAAAGGTCAGCCGTCGCCGGGTGTAGCAGCAGCAACAGCGAGGGTGGTGCCATCAGAGCCGCTGGTGCCGGTCAAGTCCAGGTTGTGGAGTCCGACGAGGCCCAGCGAGCCCCCCCGCCCCCCAGCCGGCCCTCGGTGAGTGAGAGCCAGTCCCCCAGCAGCACCAACTACTTCAGCCCCCGAGACGGGAGCAGCTTCGGGGGAGGAGGAGCTGCTGCAGGGGGGGCGTCGATGGATGGAGGCAGAGCCAGCAACACCCACAGCTACTGCACCCCCTCGGGAGGAGAGGAGGCCCTGCTTATTGAAGAGGAGGAGGAGGAGGAGGATGAAGAGGAGGAGGAGGAGGAGGAGGTGATGTACCACCAAAGGAAGAGAGCAAGAGGAGGCGGCAGTGCGAGGAGGAAGAAAGGGAGCAGCGTGTCGGAGCAGGAGGTGGGAGTCAGCGACAGCTTCGGCGTTTCCTCCTACCAGGTGACTTTAGGATTTTCTGATGCAGATTCAATCAAATGAAAAAGTTTTCATTAGAATAAATAAAACACTGTTGGTCTTAAATCCAAAACTGTGTCTGAAGGACGGGGAGGACTCGGAGACGAGTCAGCCAAAGCGTCCCACCTACAGCCAGCCCAGCATCATGCCCCGGAAACAGTGGGTGGTGGTGAAAACCGAACGCAGCGAGGACGACGACCTCATCGTGGTGTCCGGAGAGGAGGGGGGAGAGGACGAGGAGGACGAGGATGAGAGGGAGATGGAGCTGGCCCAAGAACGGGAGAGAGGCAACTTCAACATTTCCAACATCAGGAACCTTTCGGCGGAGCTGGGGGGGCGAGCGGAGAGCAACATGGACTCACAGGTGAGCTGGGACTCCCTCCTGCTGGTCCAGAAGGAACCAGACAGGTGGAGCTTTTATTAGTAAGACAGGTGTGTTCGTCTGGCCATGAGAGGGCGCCAGAGCTACACCGTTCCCTAAACCCCGCCCCTCTCTCTGTGCAGATGGACTACTGTCAGTCTTCTGAGGACTACCTGAAGTTTGAAGGCGGTCTGATGGAACAGACGTTGGCTCAGCACCTTCATGACAGCTCTGCGGGTCAGAACCAGAACAGCAACCGGGCCGTTTCAGCCCTTCTGGGCCAGGTTCAGTCTGCAGCCTCGGCCCGGGCCCAGCTCTTCCCTCTGGACATGCAGGGGAACCAGATCCTGCTCTACAGCCAGGCCTCCGGACACCCCCTGGACCCCGCTGCTGCGCCTCCTTTAGGGACGATGGGAGGAGCTTCGTTCAAAGGGCCCAGTTTGGAGCACGGAGCGGTCCACCTGCAGCCCGGTTTGGGGGTGGAGGGCTCGGACAGCGGAGGGGTTGGAGGCGGGTGCAGTGGGAGCAGCTCCGGTGGGTCGGCGAAGGTGTTCATGTGCCACTGTGGGAAGACGTTCACCCATAAGAGCATGAGGGACCGGCACATCAACATGCACCTGGACCTGAGACCCTTCCACTGCCCCGTCTGCTCCAAGAAGTTCAAGATGAAGCACCACCTGACGGAGCACATGAAGACCCACACCGGCCTCAAGCCCTACGACTGCCTCGGCTGCGGCAAGAAGTTCATGTGGCGCGACAGCTTCATGAGGCACCGCTCGCACTGCGAGAGGCGGGGCGGGCCGGGGGAGGGAGGGGGGAGCGGGGACAGGGGGAGGCGAGCAGCAGCAGGAGGAGGAGGCGAGGATGGGCCTGATTTTAGCTCCTCCCCCCACCTCCTCCCGTCTGCAGGTGAGGGAGGGACCAGAGGAGGAGGGGGAGGAGCGTCTGCAGCTCTGACACATCGGCACGGCGGCGTTACAGGAAGTAGTAACAGCGTATCTGGAGCTGGGGCGCTGCTGGGGGTCGTCCCTCAGAATCCGGGTCAGGATCAGGGGTCCGGAATGTTCGGAGGCCTCGGACTGGGCCGGGATGTGTGTGAAGTCAGCGCTGATGAAAGCAGCGTGACTTAAAGCAACCAGCGTGACGGACCTGGGGGTTCTGATGGTTCTGCTGCTGAGTCCGGTCGTTTGAGGGCGGGATGAAAACCGGAAGCTTCTGTTCTCGACCTGCTGAATTTCCGATTCTTCCTTTTGTTTTGTGAAGTTTCCAAAACGGTTTTATTTATTTGCTGTCGAGACGAGAAGACTTTAAAGTTTCCTCCCGTAAACAAACCGGCTGATCTGGAGTCAGCTGGCGATTCAAGAAAAGTCCCAAAACGTTCCTGAACTTTAAACCCAACTGCTGTTCTGTTCCGTGGGAACGTTCCGGTGTCGTTAGAGTAGGAAAACGTTCTGAATTGCTGTGATATTCTGCTGTGATGTATCGTGACCTGTCGCTGTGCTCAGATTAAAAACTAATTAGAAACAGAAAAATATAATAATTCACATTTTTAAACATTTCAAAGTTCTCAAACATGAAAACAGAATTTTGTACACGGAGGATGTTTTCCAGATGTTTCCCTCACTGGAGCAGCTTCAGCTGGTGGGGAAAGGCCAGGACTGACATGAACTTAAACTGATCCTGAAACAGTTCAGCTGGGAAGCAAAAGCTCACGGTGTTTATTCTGATGTGACTTTTCTTAATTAGCCGTTTCTAACATTTGCACATTGATGAGATTAATAATATTGTTGTAAATATTCAGAAATCATCAGAATTAAACATATTTTAGTTTGTTTTGTTATTAAAGGAAGTAAAAATGTTCCTGAAACTGCTGAGTTCCTGGTTGACGTTTGCAGAGGCGCACAGTGTCCACCAGGGGGAGTTGTCTAACCAGTGCCCCCTTGTGGCCATGGCTGGTACTGTTACTGACTCAACAACCATACCATTGTTGGTTTTTGTGATTTATTTGGCTTTATTTCCACATTTGAACCCAGTAAAGTTTATAAAACATATTTTTGTGTTGCTGCAGAACAAATCAGTAAAGGGCGGAGGTAAACCCCCACAGGACCTTTTCATTTAAAAGCCTTCAGAGATTTTCCTTGCAGAGCTGCAGGTTTGCTTTTCTACCTTCTGTGAAGGATCAGATTTCGAGCTGCAGGTTCGCAGCTCAGGCTGCTGATCTGTTTCCTGTGCGTGAATGAGATGAGTGGGATGGTGTTGCTTAATCCCATCACCTGTTTGCATTTAGAGATTAATGAAATCAGATTAGAACAAACGGGTTTTCTGGCAGAAATGTGAATGGTTTTGTTTTTAAAAGGAAATCTTGGACTTAAGTGCAGCAGCCTACAGGAGAGATGGAAATAATCCTCTAATTTGATCGTTTACATTAAAATTCACCATTTGACTAATTTAAAAAATGAAAATCTTTAACCCCAGATGGAAGATTTAAGGTGTTTTTCTTCTAAATCCTTCAGTTTTCAGAGCTGTTGATGCTTCTGTAAGCTAAAGGGAATAAAACCAGACATGGTTCATGTTTACGTTCACATGCTTTTTTTGCTGTTCCTGTTTTTTAAGGAGGATCTCAGAAAGCTCAGATCTGCTGCTGAAAATAAAAACTGATTTTATTTTTGTACATTTAAACAACGAAACACGACCAACATCCTGATTGTTGTAATGGTGTGAAATCCTGCAGAGCATCGATATTAACCTCTTGTTCCTGATTAATAAATTATTTAGGGAAGATAATTGATGTCTGTCTTTATTACCTAAATGTTTTAGAATAAACAAAAACAACCACAAAGATAAACAAAGATTATTTTAGAGAACGTCCAACTAAATCTGGCTGTTTTTTTACTTATTTCACCAAAAATTATTTTAATTCTAACTTTATTTCCAGCTATATTGATTTGATTTTAATCTGCAAATGAAACATCAGCTTTTAGACACAGAGCTGCTTTATCTGGATTAGTAACAGAAACGGGAACTTTTACATCTTTAAGGGACAGAAATCTTATTTTTTTCAATTGATTAAAAAAAATTCTTCAGCAAATTCTGGAAAATGAGACCTGGAAGCAGCAGGAATGTCTGATTAATCCTCAGAGCTCAGCACTGGGACAGACGTAGTTAAATTGTGAGATTAGATTATAATCACGTGTAATCTGTAAAAACTGGTCAATAAATCTTATATTTAACATCCACAAAATAGAAACCAAAACAGCTTTAATTCAGTAAAATTTGCAGGTTTTAAACATCTCTAGGGGTGGGTGGGGTTACATTGTGGGGGGGAAGCTGGAATCGAACTGGCAACCCACCGAGTCACTATTAACTAAATTATCTCTAATTTCCCCAAACAGGAGAAAAATCTCATGAAAACTCTAAATGATTTTTTTTCTGTTGAATCATAAAAAGTAGGGCTGCTCAATTAATCGAATTTTAATCACGATTACGATCTGAGTTTAACGATTATAAAAACAAAACAAGCCGATTATTTGCTCCTCCCACTTGCGCTGCCCCGAGTTGCAAATGAAGCGCTCCTCGGGAACGATGTAGTGATGTGTCGGTCGCTAAAGAGCCGGCTCCCTGTTGGAGTAACCAGAGTGAGTGACACACACCGCACCTGCGGACTCCTGAGCCGCTAAAAACGGCTAAATGTGCGCGTGCTAAACACACGTGCAGTTTGCCCCGATTGCTGAGACCGGGTTGGGGGGTGCAGCTGTGGTTGGGACAATTATTACATTAACTGATGGACGACTTGTAAATAAATAGTTTATAAATAAGGTAGAAATAAGTTCCTCACGCAGATAAATAATAACTAATCTCTCTGAGGACACGGTGCTAGTGCACGCTCCTACAGCACCTTGACATGACTAAATAAATGTTACGCAACATTTTGTGAACATCAATTTATTTGCATTTATTTGTTATAAATGCCACTGTATAATTCTTGCTGTCAGAATTTGCAAGATATTGGTATTTGGGTCTGTACTGGTTAGACTTAAATGAGTTAAACCAAGGTCTATAGCCCTTGGGTCATAGACTATGAGCTTTAAGTATATTGGTCTGTTTATACTGGGAATCAGGAGTTATTTTAGTGATCATCTTGTTTCTTATTTATTTTTGTCCGATTGTGCCCTGAGCAATTTTATGACTGAATAAAAACAAATAAAATCAACATAAATTGAAAAATCGTCCTAAATAATCGTGATTATTATTTTCGTCATAATCGAGCAGCCCTAATAAAAAGTTTTCCTTAAAAGAAAAAAAATCCTCGAGTTTTTTTTACCAAAAAGCTTTTTTTTATTTCAGTATCAAAAAGAAAGTTCACAGTGAAGGACGGAGCTCTCCTCCGCAGGAGCGAGGACCGATCTCAAGAGTTTTTCACCCGTCAGGGAAAACGGGACGGGAACGCCTGAAGAGGGAGCATCCATCCGACTCGCACGCACGACTCAGCTTTATTTAAAAATACGCCAAACGACTCCGGTTTAAAAGGAAGCGTCCGTCAGCAGCGGGGAACGTGGCTGAAACCAATAAAAACGAGACACAATTACTGCTCTGAGGTTGTTTTTCTCTGCACAGGATGATAAAAATATTTATTATTACTTAGAAAATCTGATGATGGAGGTTTGGTCCGAAGCGTTTTCCTCAGCAGGCGGCTGATTAACAGCTTTAACGCTTCGTGTCCGAGTTCATCTGACACGCAAGTCTCACGTTTTAACGTAGAAATGTAAACAATGTAAACGTTTGTGCTTTAGACTTCTTAGAAAGGGTGGAAATTATTGTTCCGGCAAATAAAACGTATTCCGAGTCCGCGGCCGACTCATTTCATCACAAATCTAAAAATGAGGTCATTTTACGTGTTAAAACTGCTGCGTTTCACACGTTTCCATGGCAACACCATACTAACAGAAGAACAGCATAAATAAAAACAAACGAGGAGGAAATGAACCAGAACATTCGCTGATTCGGATCTAAAGCTGCTGCTGCTCCGTGGAAGAAAATCCCAGATCGCGTTAAAATGTGACGAGTCGTCGAGCGTCGGCGGAAACAGACGTTCAGCAGAGCGAGACGATCGACGGCTCTCGTCAGGCACCGGTTCTTATTTACAGAAACACCAGCAGAGCTGCTCGTGTCAGGAAAGTGGAGAGGCCCAACTCGTCCCCGCTGAGAGGAACCGACCCGACGGGTCCCGGATCATCAGGAATACTCCGGAGCCGAGGTACAGACGTCTGTTTCAGCCGCCGCTGAATCGCTGCTCTACGAGTCCCTCAGGGTCCACCAGGAAACGTGTCCTTGGTAAAGTCCAGTTTCACTCCGAGTCGGACAGAACAATGATCTCATCCGGGTCGCACTGAGTCGCCACGTTGACCTGGAGACGCAGAGTCAGCACAACCTTTAGAATGACCTGTGATGTCACCGTTTCATCGCTGCTGTTTAACCCTCCCACTGTCCTAAGGGGAGGTCCACGTGGCAGGGATGAGGTGGTGCTCTCTCCTCACCCCTGCCACGTGGACCCAAGGGATAAACCATCAACCGTGCTCCAAGGTCAACTTTCCTGGCGGGGTCACATCCATTAGGACAGTGGGAGGGTTAAATCCGTAAATAAATTAGGATTATTATGAAATAACAATCATTAATTATCTTTAACGGTTTCTGCACCTTGTTTTTCTTTGGGGGCGGGGTCAGCTGGGGGCTGCAGATCAGCTGAGAGGGTGTGGAGGCGTCCTGAGGAGAGCTGCAGCTAATGACGCCCATGTCCAGAGGGATGTCGGCGTCGCTGAGGAAGAGGAGGAAGCACGTTAATAAAGAGAGTAAAGGTGTGTGTGTGTGTGTGTGTATGTGTGTGAGTTTGTGTGTGTGTGTGTGTGTGTGTGTGTGTGTGTGTGTGTGTGTGTGTGTGTGTGTGTGTGTGTGTGTGTGTGTATGTGTGTGTGTGTGTGTGTGTGTGTGTGTGTGTGTGTGTGTGTGAGCGCTCCACTCACCTGTCGTAACTGATTTTTAGTCTCAGGTTTCTGGGAGTCTCGGCCATGTTTTCCTCTCGTTTCCTCTTCTGGCTCCTCGTGGTTCTGGGGCTGGGGGGCGGAGACTCGCTGGTCTTCGGTGTTCCTCGCTCAGGTGAAGGATCCCCGTTAACGGCTGCTGGGACGGCCAACTTCTTATTATTCACCTGGTTTTCTTTTATGATCACCACCGACAGCTGATTGGACGCGGCGAGCTTCTTTAAGTTTGCTGTTGTCCCGTTGGACAACGTCTGCCGAGTGTCCGACTGAACGAGCTCTGATTGGCCGGGGCTGTCTCTGGGAGACGGGACGCTGGACATCTGTGTTTCCTCAGAGACGGGACTTTCGCTGGTGAGCGGCTCCATCTCAGCCCTCGGGCTTCCATCGCCGCCTGCTGGAGCACTTCCTGTCTGCTCGTACGTCTGATCCTCCTTGTCGTCCTCGCATGACTGACCTGCCTCGTTAGCGTTCTCCTCCTCTTCCTCCTCCTCATCGTCATCTAAAGGAAACATCAGTAAAGTTATGATTAAAATAAAAACAAACCAGTTTGTGCTGGTTGGACTGGAGCTTCTTACTGGTGTCAGAACTTCTAATTTTGATGATTTAATCTTTAAACCGAGCTAATCTGGATTAACGACACCGGGTCGTGACCTCTCCACGGGTCAGCAGATTATAATCTCCCGTTTGGAACTGTTATGGAAAAATTCATGTCTATTAATTCTTGATCATGGACTCAACCAACTGAATGTAAATGTATCGCTCTGTGCCTCTCTGCATGCCCACTAGTCCAGAACTCTCACACACACACACACACACACACACACACACACACACACACACACACACACACACATTGATAAATCCATGACAGGAACCGAGTCGAGTTTACATCAAATCTGAGAAATCTCACAAACAGTTTTAATCCCAGATTTAATCTGACCTGCGGCAGCCTGCTGAGTGCTGGCCTGGATCTCCTCCTCTATGTCAGGGTCTGATGATTCATCCTCCTCCTCGTCCTCCTCCTCCTCCTCCTCCTCCTCCACGCCGTTCGCCTGACTCGTCTGTTTTCCTTCTTCTGGTTTCTGATCATGGAAGTAAAAGAAGTAGAGTCGGAGCGCAGATGTTAACTCCTGGAACTGTTTTGATGCTTCCTGTTTTATCCTCGGATAAAAAGGTATATAAAACAGCATTCCGGACCAGCAGGAAGGGAACATTCCGCCTCGCTGATGCGCCGGGATTTTTCCTTCACCTCTTTCTCTTTCCCGTTTTTCTCCAGTCTCCGGATTCTCTCCTGCTCCTCTGTGTCGTCCTGTTTCACGGCGTACTTTTTGATGACGTCATCCAGACGAGACAAAGCCACTTCCCTGTTGGACCGTAGCTTCTTCAGCAGAGACAGGTCGGACAGAGCCGGGTCGTCAGCTTCCACCGGAGGAGGAGAGATGAGAGGATTAGGCACAAACATGGATGAATGAATGAAAGTATTAAGCGTGAACGCGGAGCTGGAGCCTCACCGGGCTTGTAGGCGTCGGTGAGACGCGAGCCGAAGTTGTAGACGAGGTCGAGGTGTCTCCGCTCCTGCAGGAGGCTGCCCGTGTCCCTGAAGGCCTCCTGGGCGATCTGACTCACCTGTTTCCGGTTCAAACACAGGTTGTGGCGCTCGTTGACGCGCACCACCAGCTGCCGGATGTCGTGATAATCCGGAGGGTTGCTACGAGCCTCGGGACTGTTGATGAAGCGCTCGATCTGACAGGAAGCAGGAACACATCCTACGTAAACGCTAATCCACCCGCTGGAATGACACCAAAAGAGAAGAACTCACCTTCCGGTTGATCTCAGGGAAGCGAGTCGTGTTGAACTTGATCTTCTGCTCGATCACTCGCCCCGTCAGCGTGTTGCAGCCCTTCAGCTCACACAGCTTCTCGTAAATCTTCATCATCTGGAAACAGACGTTAAAAAAAAAAAAGTCACCCGTCGTCCCACCGGAGATGCAACGTTCCGGGTTTAAACTGCCGCTCAGCCGACCTTCCGCTTGAGTTTGTGCTCCTGGATGTACGTGGAGTCTTCCGTCTCCATGTCGTCTAAAGTCAGCTCGGCCTGCTGCAGCCGGCTGATCTCATCGTTGTACGACTTCAGCAGGTTCTCCAGGTGTGCGATCTGGAAATCAGAGCGAGTAAAACCATAAGGGGGGGGGGGGGGGGGGGGGTTCTGCTGAAAGGAAATCAGCTTTTCGGCTCATTTTACTGCAAATAAGTGAGAAAAAGTTCAAACAAGCAGGATTAAAGCCTTCAGAGATAAACACTCACCTGTTTCCTTAACGCTCTCTTAGCCTTCCGCTGCGCTTCTTCACTCTCCTCCTTGACCTCCTGACCTCCTGACGTCGAGGCTCGTTCTGCGGCTGGTTTCCCCTCCTCCTCCTCCTCCACTTTAGTTTTACTCTGGAGTGAATCGGGAGCAGACCGGGTGGCACCCGACGTCGATGCAGAAGGCTCCGCCTGGCTGAGGGCCGGCCTCTTCTTGACGCTGTGCTGCTTGAGCACGGTGCACAGTTCATTAATGTAGACGAATGTTTTGGAGCTGTTGGCCTGAGCGCGGGTCAGACATCGTCCCAGCGTGTTCCTGAACTCCACGGAGGACAGGAACTCAGCGCTGGCCTTGGCGTGCTTGGTCTGGAGGAAGGTTAAGACCTCTGGGCAGTCCTTAGTGAGAGACGTGCAGTGCTCCAAAAACTGGAGAAAAGGCAGAAAGGAACCTGATGAAGCGTTTGGTGAATCTGGTTTTGTTAGAGAATAAAACTATATACATATATATATATATATATATATATAAACTCACCACACTGAACAGCTTCTGGTTCTCTGCCTGCAGAGCGTTTACGCTCTTCCTGTTGGAAGCAAAAGGAGAGTGGACGATGTGTGTGGGAGCCTGCTGCTGACGGCGGGCTGGAGAGACGTTACTGGTTTGTCGCTTGGAGGAGGAGGAGGTGGCAGAGGAACACGCAGGTTCATCATCTTCAAGCACAATGATCTGATCTGCCAATGAGGCAGGAGCCACCGCCATCCCAAGTTCAGCTTGTTTCTGTTTATAAAACCCAAACGAGATGAAGGAGATCAGCAGAGCGGCGAGTTTATCATCGATAACGGTTAGGAAGTGACAGAGTTCTCTGTAAACCTCTAGAGTTGTATGGAGGTCGTTTGTTAATATCTCTGGTGATTTAAACCCTTTTAGCATATTTAAGAGAACGTGTGACGTTTCGGCTGTTTATATTCAACGCTGGTCCGCTTCCTTGCTTGGTGCAGCTCTCTTTAGGGTGCAAAACAAAAACGTAGTTCTGAGACCCGATGAAGGAGGTGGCCTCAAAAGGTTGCAGCTTTGAGGCCCACACCCTCCTGTTATCAGACTTGCATTGCATTCTGGGATGTGAGTGAAAACGTAAACAACAACAACAGCTGCAGCATCTCACAACAAGCCACACATAGAGGATCTACTTCACTGATGTTGATCAGAAGACTGGATTTGTCAGCTCTGACTCAGAAAATGTTCAAATTATTTATAAACAGATAAATAAAATATATTTATGTAATTGTGTAAATAAGGTTTGCTGAAGGTTTTTTGGTTTATAAACAGACTTCAGACTAAAGAGCAGATAAAACATCTCAGAACTTTTACAAGGTTTTTAATTCAGTAAAATAACGATTATTTGTTGTCGTCTTCCTCCGCTTATCCGGGTCGCGAGGGCAGCATCCCAACTAGGGAGCTCCAGACCGTCCTCTCTCCGGCCGCCTCCACCAGCTCCTCTGGCAGGACCCCAAGGCGTTCCCGGACCAGATTAGAGATGTAAACTCTCCAACGTGTCCTGGGTCGACCCGGGGGTCTCCTGCCAGCAGGACGTGCCTGAAACACCTCCCCAGGGAGGCGTCCAGGAGGCATCCTGACCAGATGCCCAAGCCACCTCAGCTGGCTCCTTTCGATCCGGAGGAGCAGCGGTTCTACTCCGAGTCCCTCCCGAATGTCCGAGCTCCTCACCCTATCTCTAAGGCTGAGCCCGGCCACCCTACGGAGGAAACTCATTTCGGCCGCTTGTATCCGCGATCTCGTTCTTTCGGTCATTACCCAAAGCTCATGACCATAGGTGAGGATTGGGACGTAGATCGACCGGTAAATCGAGAGCCTGGCTTTCTGGCTCAGCTTCCTCTTCACCACGACAGATCGGCTCAGCGTCCGCATCACTGCAGACGCCGAACCGATCCGCCTGTCGATCTCCCGATCCCTCCTAGCCTCACTCGTGAACAAGACCCCGAGGTACTTAAACTCCTCCACTTGAGGTAGGACCTCTCCCCCGACCCGGAGTTGGCAAGCCACCCTTTCCCTATGATTATTAATAATAATATTTATATTTAGTCATAATTCAATTAATGTATCTCTAACTTCCCAGCATCTTACAGTAGTGATTTAAATATTCATAAACATTACATCAAAACAAAATACTTGTATGTCTCATAAAAGTAGATTATGTCCATTTCAGTTTCACTCTCAGGCATTTTGAAAACATTAAAATAAAATTAGACATTCCAAAGATTTCAAACGTTTGTGTGTAGAAATAATGTTGATGTCATATTTAGCCTAAATGTAGATGTTAAAACATAATCACCCTAACCCAATCATAATACATAAATGCTTTAAAGAATAATTTATTATAAAGTATTGGATTATTTGGGATTATTTTAGTAGAAACAAACATTTCTAATTAAGGACCTCTTAGGAAACGAGAATTAGCTTTTAATAACAACATTTTTCTGTGTTTTGCTTTAATAGTAAAACACTGTCGCTGTTAACTAAAACATCAAAGCACATGTTGTTAAACACGTTAACTTACATTCCCGCGAAATTATTAGCTTTAAAGGACAGAAACGAAACTGAAACGCCAGTAAACCTGAGATAATTCTGATCTTGTGTTAAAATAGATAAGAGCTACAGACAGTTGACCACAAATACCAAAAACACTTACCTCTTGTTTAAGAGCAGTTCGATGAGAAAATAAAGAACATTTGCGGGTTACAACGCAGCTGGTTAGCTGATGTTAGCATTAGCAACAAGTAATCATGTTTATTTTTATGGTTAACACGAAAATTGGTCTTAGTCTGTTTGTTTTGGATAATAAACAAAATAAACTATTGTTTAATTCTAGTTTTAACCCAATGAGGCTTCCTGTTTACTCACAAAAAGCTTCTAGACTTAGCTAAATTGTTAACTCGCGACCCGCTAAACTCCGACGCACGTAGTTGACTCTGGTTGGTCAAAAGACACGTTGGGATGAGTAAAGCCTTCTGTCATTGGACAAAAGGAATGTGTCTTTTTCTCTGGTTTATTTTCTGGTTAACTTTTTTTTTTACCGCCACCTGCTGGAAACATGTATGACGATAGAGGTCTCCAAGAAGTTTGTTTTCCACGCCGAATTTCTACAAGTTAAAATAAATGCAAGCGTTTAAGTGGAATATTTCTACAAATTATAAAGCAGATGACAACAGTTTAATGTTTAAAACAGAGACCAAAACTTGCTTTTCATGCAGAATTTCCTGCAGAATTTTAATTACATCTTTCTCATTAAATGTTTTAGTCCTGAATGTCTCAACTGAAATGTCTGTGGTGTTTATTTTCTGCTACAAACATATTTGTGTCAGCTTGTGCAAAACTTCCTTAAATTTATGCAAACATTCTAGTCAGGCTCTGACACAAGGCAGCTGCTGTTTAAACAATTCTGCAGGAGATGCACAACGAACTAATTTATGTGTTTTTAAAGGCTACACTTTTTAATTTGTTGAAATATTCCAGAAGTGTTGTTTTATATTATTAAATATCAGTGGCGCCATTAATTCTAATGGTACTTGTTTGTTATTGAATTTACTTTTCTAGTTGGCGCAATTCATCTCCTAGAAGGTTTTATTGAGGTAAAACATCTTTAATCAGATGAACAAAATTGGTGTTTTAAATTTCTAAACTCACTTAAAGTTATTTACATAAAATTAAAACTACAATCACAATTCCTATAATTAACATTAATACTAATTTATCACAAATATGCCTATTGGATCATTCCTAATCCCACAAGTTTATCATATTGAAAAAAAAAACCAAATATCATATCTTCTATCTACGTGAATTGCTACTAAAATGGATTTTTTTTCTTCACAAAGATCAGAATTAGATGCTTGTTCCCCATAAAAGTCTTTATTTTAGTGAAGTTTCCACCAACACAACCCCTGACTCATAACTATGCAGAATTATACACAAAAGACTTTTCAGACTTACAAAAGTCACATTTCATTAGAAGTTATGGAGAATTTTAAATTAATTTTACTGTCTCCAATAAAATGAGATTTCTTGTCCAAATAAATATTTTTTTCTGGTATTAAGTTCAGAACAAAAATAATAATTAAATCGTTTTAACATGTTTAAAATGAAAATGATATTAAAAACTACATTATTTTAAACTTAAAGAGCAAGTCACCCCCAAATCAACTTTTTTTCCCTGATAAACTATATAAATGCGTGTCTAATCATGCTGCAGACACGTGTAGTCAATAAATTTGCACTTTAGTGCATTTTAGTTCAAATTTTAATTTTCTGCCTAAAACCATCAGTGTTGTGCCGTTGTCAGGTAAAAACTCTGCACTGCATTTGAATTTAAATCTGCCATCACTATTGGCAAAGAGGTATCCAAGAATGTTAGCTGGTACCATATGATGTCACAATGTCATTGTGAGCCTGTGTGTGTATTTTATTAGTGGCTCCGCCCTCTCGGTCTGCTAGGCAACAGCATTTGTTGCATTTTTCAAACAGGAAGTGGGAGTGGAGCAATGCTCTGGTAGGGGGTGACTTGCTCTTTAATAAAAGCTTCTAAGAAGTTTTTTCAATTTGTAACAAAATCATTAAATAAAAGATAATTTTATTTATAAAAGAGCTTTGTCACTTTTAACGTGAAACCGTCACGTCGGTATTTACATAAAACAGGATAATTCCAGGGAATTCTCCCGGATTCATCTGCAACACAAAACAGTGAAAAATCCAGCTGATCCACGTTTAGACTCATCACCACGCTGGCTGAAGGAACAGAATATTTATCCGAGCTTTAAGCTGAAAAGCTGCAGAGAAGTCACGGAAAACTTAAATCCAGTCGTCTTCTGTTAACTTTATTTCTGCTTCTGTGAGGAAAAAGAGGGAAAAGTTATAAACATTAAAACAAAAAGTGAAGATGTTTTAGTTTCAAACCCGACGCTCCTTACCTTGTCCTGTCCATCTGTTTTATCTGAGCCTAAATAATAAAAAAGGACACAAAAGTCAGGCAAAAATACAAAAACTGGATTTAAAGAGCTAAAAGATGATTTTTGCAGCCTTAAGGGATTAAATTCCTGTATTTAATAATCTATATTATTCCCACCTGATCCAGTAAGGGTCCAGGACACAAACTTGATGAGTCCGTAGAGAACCAGAGCCACGCCCACCATCGCCATAGAGTCCTCAATGGAGGGAGAGCTGAACCCTGAGGGGAACAGATTAACTCCTAAATTACTTTCGTTTCCTGATTCATTCAGACATCAAAACTGATTCTGCTGTAATCATTTAATCCCTGAATAACATATCTGACTTTTTAGGAAACGATTGTAAAAAATTTTACTTTTTCCCTTTTATTTTCAGACCCTCAAAAACCAAAATTTCCATGTTAATCTAAGATATTTTCCGTTACTCCCAGATTACCGATGATGTTGAGGCTCACGCTGGCCCGCCGTGTTCCTCCCGGATGGACAGCCACACAGGTGACCTCCCCTCCGCGTCCCAGGTCCAGTCTGGACGTGTCCAGCTCCAGCCGGGAGCTCTGGCTGAAGGTGCCGTCCCAGGCCTGCTTGTGGCCCGACATGCTGCCTGTTCCCAGGGATCTGCTCTTCCCATCAGCACCTTTAAACTCCCAGCTCAGCTCCAGGGAGAGGGGGGCGAAGCCGGAGGCTTCACACTGGAAACTTATCGTCTGACCGGGAACAGCGAGGGGCAGAGGGGACGGGTAGAGAGAGAGGGACGGAGGTTCTGAGGAGAAGACCGGAACAAAAGTGTTAATATCAGGTTTATTAGAGAATTTAGAATAAATCAGATTAGCCTTTTCAATTTTCTCCTCACCTACTATCTCCAGCTCCATGGCCACCTGAGCCAGCAGGTACGGCAGGTAAACGGTGCAGATGTATGTCCCTGAGTGACGGACTTTAGCCTCCTGCAGGATCAGAGAAGCATTTCCTCTTGTGTGCAAACCTTCAAAGTCCAGAGTGGCTCCTTCTTCCCGAGTTTCAGCCAAACGGTCCGTTTTCCCGTCGTAAGCCAGAACAAGTCGGCCGACACCTCTGGTCTGGTACCGCCACTCCACGGCAAAACCCGTCGCAGTCAGAGGGGAGGAGGGGTCGGCCCAGAAGCCACAGTCCAGCGTAACCGGCTCCCCGAGTCTGGAGCTCGCTGACATGGTTTTACTGGTGACGCTCAGGACCACTGAGGAACCAGAAACAAATAAAACACAGGTCAGGACACGTTTTAATCAGATTTGATCAAAGTAAAAACTCTTTACCATCATGGTCTTTGGTTCCTGTCGGAGCTCGAGTGATCGCAGAAACTCCCAGCTGCTCGTCGAGGCCCTGGAAGGAAGCTGAGAACCAGTCAGCCTGCAGGTAAATGGGACTGAGCGCTGATTCTGTCAGCGACGTGACCCATCTGAGGCTGGAGGGCTGCGGCAGGAAGGGGTTGATCTCACACTGGGGCTTCTGGATGGAGCCTCTGGGGGGGTTCAGAGAGTGGTGGCAGAGAGTTGCTGCAGGGTCTGAGGTCAGAGGGGGCGGGATGTAAACAGGAAGTTACACACAGGTAATTCTGACCCAGATCCAGGTGAACTTGTGGCTGTGTGTCAGATTAAATCAGACCCACCTGTGATAACGTAGACCCTGCTGGGGCTGATGTCAGAGGGAACGTGATGGGAGTCGGTGTGACTCTGTGCATCAGTTCTGACATGAAGAAGGGATTTCTCCTGCGTCGTTGCTCCAGTTAAACCTCCTCCTCGACCCACTTTCTCCTGCACAAGCCAGCACTCCATCACAGGACAGCTGCTGCTGCTGCAGGCTTCAGGCAGGACAAGAAACAGCGACAGGGCAGAGCACAACGCCTTTATCATCATTTTAATATAAGATCTACAGAAAAACTTAAATGAGTTTAAGTTTAATTGTGTGTATTAAATATTTTAATGATTTATAAATAATAAAAGGAGCGATAAAAACTGAAAGTAAATATCAGCATTAAATTAAGCTGCAGACGCTCAAAGCTGAGGTTTAAAAAGAAAAGTGAAAACTCCTGATCTGTTCAGCCAAACAAACAAAAACCAGTTTTAACAAGTCAGATCTAGTACTTTTCATGTCTGTATTTTATTATAGACCTCACCACAGGTTATTTATGTATTTAGTTTATCTCAATAAAATTACTTAAACATCAGTAAAGACATCAGTTTGGCAGAAAATTAGATTAAACTGTTGATTTCCATGAGCTTTGTGCCAGACTCCATTTATAAAAATGCTTTTTCTTAGATACATTGAAATATAAATAAATTACATTAAACTAAAACACAATTTACGATGTTCTACCTCGTTTGGAGGCTTTGAACTGAATCCGGCAAAAATATGGACAAAATAAAAGCAAATATTATGATATTTTTCATTGACAAATGTTTAAGTTTAGCACTTTTTAACCCACCTAGCCTCATTTGCTAGTAACACAGCTGCATTTAGGTACAGCTCGTATTTATGTGCAGATCAACTAGCTTAATGAAGACACATACAGTTATTGTGTGACTAAAGTTGTTAGTTTATTTCCTGTTTATTCATATAATATCTATGTCTATGGTTTATTCATGGAGCTAAAGCGAACTTAGCATGATTAGCTAACTTACCTTGGACGAAGGCGGCAACGGAGAGCAGTCTACAAATGGAAGAAAAATCCGTCATGGTTGTTTCTGATCTCTTAGCTCTCAAGTCTTTAGTTCGGCGTCAACACGAACATTAAAAAGTGTTGTTCTGGTCTGGTTTTCCCCCACAAACCCAGCATTTTACTTTCATTTTCACATCTGTTGTTTAGTAGCTCGACAAACATAAATTTAAGGATTATTGTTGATAAAAAAAAACTCAACTGTCTTATCATTAAAGTAAAATTACAAATTTAAAGAACAAGTAAAAACAAACAACAAAATTTTAACTTTTTTTTAACCAAATTCGGACATTAAGGAGTTCCCCCATTTTGTCCACTAGATGGCGCCACAGACCAAACAGTTTAAGCGGCCCGCATTATATGTGTAATGAAAGTGTGTGTGTGTGTGTGTGTGTGTGTGTGAGTGTGTGTGTGTGTGTGTGTGTGTGTGTGTGTGTGTGTGTGTGTGTGTGTGTGTGTGTGAATCATATTAGTAATTCTAAAAACATGAAATTAGTTTCTTTTACCCTAAGCAGGCCGTGTGTATCTTATGGTAATGATCAGGTGGTACCAGAGTGTTTCAGAACTTGCTGATTTACTGATTTATGGGATTTTCACCCACAACCATCTCTAGGGTCTAGACTGGTGAAAAACGAGGAAAACAGCCACTGAGGAGCAGATGTGTGAATACAAGTGTTTATGGGGTCAGAGGAGAATGCCCTCACCCTACTCCTTTACTCTCCCAGGGTCATGTGGAGCAGGTGCCCATCCAGCAGTCACCAGGCGGACACAGGGGACACCGGACATGCCTCCAGTCTCTCACAGGGACACTTTTTACTTTAATTAAACAGAATCTAAAACTTTAACATCAGGTTTGAATGTTTATGTTTATTCTGCTAAAAGATGAAAATCTTTGAATGAACTTTGATGTTCTCTGGGATGAAGATCACGTTTCTGTAGATGTCAGGACTGATCGAAGTGATCCTTTTTCCTGAAGGTAAACAAACTCATTTTTAACCAGTTCTCTGAGCAAACCGCTAGACAAGGCCATCTGCCCGACAGAATCCCGGCTGCAGACGTTACGAGGGGACAAGAACATCTGTATAATAAAGCAAAAGGCTGCAGCAGTCCGGTCTGTGGACTCGGGTATGAGACAATAATATAAATAATAAATAACCCTAACCAGTGACGTTCAGTCTAAAGTAGCAGAAGTCACATTCATGCATTTTAGTTTTTTTTTACTTCATTTGCTCCAAAGAAAAATGCTAAACTATTGATAAGAAAACGAATCATTTTCAAACCGGACAAAAAGACAGTTTCAATGTGCAGTTTTAACCTGAAGGTGGCGCTCTAACCCTGTAAATGACTTTACAAAGACATGAATCAGATTTACAGACATGTAGAAACTTTATAAACAGTTTAAAACATCTATTTTAACTAGTCTATACTTATATTTATTTATGCAACATCAAGGCAAAGTATTTATTTATATTTTACACTATGTGATGAAGCTTTTCCTGTAAATAGACATTTTTACATTAATGATCTGCTACAGAGGTTCCTGGTGTGTGTTAGTGTGTTTATAATGTAAAACAGCTGTAGGTCCACGCTCCTGTTTAACACTAATGTCTGAATCCTGTATAAACTCTTAGACTTTGCTTTAACTCTGATTATTTGTGAGTTTATGTTTACTTCATGAAGAGAAAAAGTTCTCGATGAAACAAAGTTGATGAGTTTGTTTGTCTGACAGAACCAAACCTTCCAGCTGGACATCAGATTATTAAACACCAAAAACCATCAAAGCAAACTTTCACTTTCGTTTACAACCTTCCAGAACAAATTCTACCTAGAGTTTAGTGACGTTTAGATCACGTTCTGCTCTTCCTGAATTCCTATTGGTTGAGAGGGAATGACGTTCTGCGGCTCTCTGAGGTTCAGCTCAGTCAGACACCAGCGGCTTTAGAGGAGAGAGATGGTTCTCTCTCAGGGATTCAACATTAAATGTAAACATAAAAACACAGTGAAGATGTTTCTGGCCTTCGGGGTTCTCCTCCTGACGCACAACCTGGAGGCGGGTGAGTTTGTAGTTTTATCATCAGATAACTTTATTTCTAGATTTTATTGTTAAATGTTTAGCAGGAATGTGTTCAGCTGCACTGAGTGTTGATGTTAAGATTGTATTTATTTATAATTTATCTCTTAAAACATTGATAACATATTTGTTTCGCCACAGTGACTCATTCACTGCAATACTTCTACACGGCTTCATCTGGAGTCAACAACTTTCCAGAGTTTGTGGCTGTGGGTCTGGTAGACGGACAGCAGATTACCTATTATGACAGCAACGTTAAAAGAGAGGTTCCCAAGCAGGACTGGATGGAGAAGAATTTAGGTGCTGATTACTGGGAGAGAAACACCCAGATCTCCATTGGTAGTGAGCAGACCTTCAAAGTTAACGTCCAGATTCTCAAGCAGCGCTTCAACCAGACTGGAGGTGAGTTATTAACAATCATTCACCAACATCTGTGACAATAAACATCAAACTGCACACACACACACACACACACACACACACACACACACACACACACACACACACACACACACACACACACACACACACACACACACACACACACCGTTATAAATATGCATTCTCTTTTGTTAGTTGTTATGTTTTTAATTGCGTTAAACAGGTAATATTTGTTCTTTAGCTCTAAAGAGACGATCGTTCTGTTATATTTAATATTTAGTGTGAAAACATCTGTCCAGCTGTGATAATAAACAGAAACGAACCTTTTATCTCTGAGAGGATTCAGACCAGTTTTCTGCTCCGTCATCTCCTCAGTAATAAACTAGTTTATAAACTAGATATTAGTTATAATTAACACACATCTGGTGTGGAAACATCCGCTCTTCTGTCTGAAACTGAAGCAGGACGAAATAAATCAGGATCATTTCTTTATTTGAAGTTTTTATTTCTGATTCTCCTGATGAGATGTGACTCGTGTAGAAAACAGAAACGTGTTAGTTTTGATCGTCTTGTCTTAAAACTGATTTCACAACCATCTGTAGAGCTCCGAGGTCCGAATGATGATTTAAACTAACCAGGTGGAGTTAACCTGGTTAAACCCTAACATCCTGACGCTGCTGATCAAGCAGCTTTTTTACTTTATGTAAACAATCAGAATCAAGGAGTAGAAAGAAAATCTGCTTTAATAATTATGAGTTCATTATAATCTTTGTCATGTTAAATAATAAATAATCTGATAATTTATTTAGTTAATGTGCTGCAGATGTGACCTATTAAAACATGAAAGTTTCAGCCTCATTACTGATGTAATCTGATTATTTTAAATGTTAAGAAAGGAGAAATAAATCCAGTTAATCCAGGATTTTTATTGTTAAAATGTGAGTTTAATTTTCTGTCCCTGACTTTATATTAAAGTAATTTAGTGAGCGGTGACTTTAATTGTGACAGATGTGAACAAATCTGAGGTGGTTTAGTAACTAAGATGCTTTTATCAGTAAACATGATAATCTTAAGGTAATTATGGTATTAATGATTATTTTTCTCTACGTACCGACCCCATCTAGTGGACAACCGTTGTCTCTACACATACCTGTAGTTATCGTCCATTTATCGTTATCCAGGTGAAATTCTCAATATATCGTGATATTGATTTTAGGCCATATCGCCCAGCCCTAAGATCAGGTGAAACATCCTCACTGACAGGAAGTGAACAGGAAGTCAGATCGGAGCTGCTGCTAGGAACCTCCGTGATGGTGTGAGCGTGAGCCGCCCTTTAGAGGATGTTTAGATTTAACCTCTGCAGGATAAAAACATCAAACATCACCTTAATCTCCACATCAGCTGGTGAAATGTTCTTTATTCAGCTCTTAGAAGCTCTGGGATTTATTTAAACTTTATTTATAAAACATGGAGTCAGTTTCTGCTGACGGGAACGTTGGCATGAGGCCAGCGGGAGAGAAACGCTGAGAAAACCTGATGAACAGGTGAGTCTGTTTGTTCACCTGAGCGACGGCGGCATCTTCAGGTGGATGGCCTCGTTTCTGATCAGGAGCCACAAACAGCTGCAGGTGTTTAACATCTACTGGTGGTCAGATCATCTGGTGACAGCAGCTACCTGCAACAGGTGTTGGTGGGTTTCACCTTCAGGAGCTTCTAAATAAACCAGGAAGTAAAAAACACCTTCATGTGATACCTGGTGGATGTAAATATATAACTCTCATGAGCTGATTTAGAGATTCATTTATTATCAAACCAGATAAATAAAATTATTTTAGCTAAAGGATGAAATTCAGGATTAATTTTATTTTTCATATTTATTTTTCACCACGGAGTTAAAATCAAACTAAACTTGATTTAAAGGAATTAAAATCAGATGAAAAGCCAGAAACAAACTCCCAGCTGATCCACAAGCAGCCAAAAACCACACGGAGGTTTTTATTTCTCCACTTATTGAATCAAGTCTAAAATAATCTGATCTTCTGCTTCATGAACCAGACCAGTCTGTGGATTAAATTCTTCATATTAGAATAAAAGCAGCATTTTCAGATTAAACTAGATTAAAACATGCAGGATGTTTTTGTCAGATTTACTAAACTTTAAGTTTCAGCTCTCTAAGAATTGTTGTCTCTGCACCACATGCAGGTCACCTTCACAGGTAACACACCTGCAGAGCTTTAAGCTCCGCCCACCTGCACTAATGTGTAATATGAAATAAACCACCAGAGAGCAAAAACCATCAATGTGCTGAAGTTTTTACACAACCTGAAAAGTTAAAATCAACAAACCGTCACAAACAACAATTGAGATAATATAGTAATCCTGTACAGGTAGAGGGGGCGGGGCCTCAGCAGGTTAAATCCAGGTGTATTTCTGACTCGTATTAAAAGTATTTATTTTAGTACATTTACATTCTTTACTGTAGAAGATCTGGACTCAGATTCTTACTCCATGTTCAGGTTTTCCACAAATCTTTAATCTTTCTGATATTTGATGGTTTTTAATCTGCGTCTTTCTTCTGGTGTAGACGTTGTTTTCCCCACACTGAGAACCTGTTCTTCATTTCAAACAAGTCCAGAATGGAAAACATTGAATTAAGAAACTGGATCCCTTCTTGTCTGAAGAGCGTTCACAACCCTTAGGAATTCTGAACCATCAGACGGGATTTCTTTAACGCCATCAGGAATAATTCTGTGGTAGAAGGTCTGAAACTTTGACTCTAATTGTGATTTGATGTTCACTCATTCACCAACGGTTCCGTTTGTATTGTAAAACATCCCAGAGGAAGTTTGGGGTTAATCAGCTGATGATGGAGTTCAGACATTAATGATGATTCATAAAAATATGAAGAACATTCGTGTCTTTATAAAGAATCTGACACGATACAAACACAAGTTTATCTACCTGAAACTTGTTTTATGTTCTTTTACACAAACTGCAGCTTTAACAACATAATTATGTTTTATTTTTACACCTTAAACCAGTTAAATTTGTTTTATAGCCGCTGTGACCTTGTTGTTCACATGTAAATGTTTTATTCAGGAGCTTCATTTAAACAAACGTGTTCAGAATAAACATGAAATAGTAAATTATTACTAAAAGTCTCAGACAGAGAAGGAAAAACACATCAGAGGAGTTTTAGTAAATTGTGTGTGTGTGTGTGTGTATGTGTGTGTGTGTGTGTGTGTGTGTGTGTGTGTTAAAGTTGTGATTTTAATTTTTAAGTCTTATTTAGGAGTCTCACACTGATTCTGTCTCTCAGGTGTTCACATTGTCCAGTACATGGTCGGCTGTGAGTGGGACGATGAGACTGGAGAGGTTAAAGGTTATGAACAGTATGGTTATGATGGAGAAGATTTCATAGTCCTGGACCTGAAGTCAGAGTCATGGATCGCTCCAACACCACAGGCTGTCATCACCAAAAACAAGTGGGACCATGACAAAGGTCTCATGGCTGGAGAAAAGAACTACCTGAACCAGGAGTGTCCGGAGTGGCTGAAGAAGTACGTGAAAAATGGAAGGAGCTCTCTGATGAGGACAGGTAGAATCACTACTGCGTTTATTTTACTGAATAATAATTCTTATGTGTTACTAAACTGAACAAAGTACCACAATACTTTATTTTCTCACTTTCTCTCATGCTGTCTGTTCTCTCCTTTCATCTCTTGGCTTGAATGCAGACGTTTGTGTTCTTATTGCATATAAACTGATAAAGACCACATCACTAGCATGTAGTTAGTAGTCAGACAGAAACTATAACCTACTTGTGTGTTCTCCCCAGTTCTCCCCTCAGTCTGCCTCCTCCGGAAGTCTCCCTCCTCTCCAGTCTCCTGCCACGCTACAGGTTTCCACCCAGACAGAGCTGAGATGTTCTGGAGGAAAGATGGAGAGGAGATCCATGAGGGTGTGGATAAAGGAGAGATCCTCCCCAACAACGATGGAACCTTCCAGATGAGCGTTGATCTTTCACCTGTTCCTGCTGAAGACCTGGAGAAGTATGAGTGTGTGTTTCAGCTCTCTGGAGTGAAGGATGACCTCGTTACCAGACTGGAGGAACCAAAGATCAGAACCAATGAAGGTAAAACTAAAACTCAGCATGAAGACAAAAACCATTAAACATGTTAGATTAGTGCAGTGGTTCCCAATTATTTCCTTTGAAGCCACCCCCCGGGATGCATTTTCTGTTTGTTGCAACATTTGCAGGAAATAATGCGGACATAAATGATTCTGAATCATGGAAGAAGAGTCGATTATAGTGGATTGCCGTGCGATCTGACGACATAAGATCGTTAAGGATTATAAAGTGATGACGATTACCAAAGCTCGGAGATCGTAGAACCGTCTGTCTGCGTTCTGTCACCTGTTCCGTTATTTCTACTGGCACACGTTTTTCTCTAGCCGCCGTCTGCCAGTCTGCTTCTGTCGGAAGGACGGACACACCAACGAACCAATCAGAGCAAGTTGAAGTCAGCATGCTGGTTTGTTTAGCTGGGGTGCTCAGGAGAAAATAATCTAATAACGATACGTTAAGATGCAGACGCAAACGATGATGAATCTTTGAAGAAGCACGCCATACTCAATAATAGCGTGTAGCCGCTAGCCTTAGCCACCAGCTTGCGCCGTCTCTAAGAGGTCATAAGTGTATTCTCACACGTCTGCTTGATCAGGGAACCCCTGGGTCAAAGGTCAGCTCTAAACGTTGTGTTTGGCTTTGTGGCTTTTATTATTTAGGGACGTTTGTGTGTGTTTTAGTGAACCTTGTCACCGTGGCCGCTAGGGCTGCACAATATATCGTAAATATATCGTTATCCCGATGTCAGCATGCACGTTATGCAATAACGCAAAGAACAGATAAATATCGCCATGAATGGTCAGCTCAAATGTTTACTAAACATAATTTATTCCGTCAATCAAACGGTAGCATGATGTTTTTTTTAACAAATCAAATAGAGCTCTTCACCCATTTGGCCAATTGGGTGGGTTCTCATCAGGGGCGTGTCCAGGGAGTGGCCTGGGGTAGCACATGCCACCCTTGGAATCTGATTGGCCACCCCAGGTGCCACCACACTAATTTACCTTTAAAGAGGCTTTTCATTGTCCACAAAAGGCTTGGAGGTAAAACAAAAAAAAAAAAAAACATAACCATTGGTGCCACCCATGCACAAAGTTGTGCCTCACGTGGGCCACCCCATTTTAAAAGATCTGGACACGCCACTGGTTCTCATAGGTTAGATACCCGCCCCCGAGGCGGATGGCACTTAATTTTGACGGTTAGCGAACACCTGAGTTAGCTTTGTTCTGCTCTTCATGCTGATTCTGCTTTTCCCGGGATCCTCTGATCGCCTTTTCTTGTTTGTTTTCTTTTTCCCTTTCCTCACAACTTTTGCTTTTCTCATTTTTATGAGTTTTTAATTTGTTTGATTTTGATTATTTTTGTTTCCGAGTTAAGTTTTTATTTATCGCAAGTAATATCGACATCGCAATATTAATCGCTGTTATCGAATATCGCGGGTTTTCCTAATATCGTCTCTAGTGGCCGCCGACCGGTGCTTTGTGTACGCCATGAGGAGATAATAAAAGTCCCACAGGGCAGGTTAGTGGAAAGGTGTGCAGGTAGCTGGTTAGTGAAGGAGATCCATCAGCTGGGTAGGCTGTTATATAATCCTAATCCAGGACCCATTATGAACTTTTTGACCTAAATTAAAGACAAGAATTGGACGTGTCCTGCAGGTTTTCAGTGTTTTTTAAAGATTTTGTTAACATCTGGAGAGCATGTTTCTCCCATAGCCTGAGATGTTGAATGAGGAAACTGATTTATTTTGACTTTATTAAATCTTCTTTAATGTTTAACATGTTTTGCACGTTGACATTGTTCTTAGAGCTGTTGTGAAGAGTATTTTGTGGATGGCGTGTTGTGTCAGACATGTTTCTGATTTTAAGAAAATCAAACATCTTCGATTTATCGATGAAAACGAATCCAGATGAAACAGTCGTGATGCATGGAGATGTCGGATCGAATCGTGAGACTAGTGAAGATTCACACTTCAACTGAATGAGGACCAAAGTGAACGAGCTCAGAGCTCCAGAACTGAGAGAAAACAAAAATAAACATCAACATCGCAACTATAAAAGTCTTCTCTGTTGTAAATAATTACCTGTTAGTCCCATGGATGTTAAGTTCTTGGTTATTCTTGCTTTTTCAACAGGAAATTACACGACATACATCATCATCATTGCTGCTGCTCTGGTGGTTCTTATCGCCGTCATCGCTGTGATCGGCTTCATTATCTACAAGAGGAAGAGCGGTGAGAAACAAAAACATCTTTTCTTTTCAATTCAGTTTAAAAATACTTCAATAATCCACGAGAGATATCAAGTATTTTTGTTTCATATTTCCGTATTTAATCTTTGGCTTGTTAGGGTTAGTTAAACCATTTCAGTCGTTTAAACCAAGCAATGAGAGCAACTCAATTTAATGAGAAATAAAATGTTTTTGCAATTTCAAACTAACAGGAGAAACTGTTTTTATTTTTGCAGCCAAGCGTCCTCCATCTCGTAAGTAAAACTTGTCTTAATCCCACATTTTTCTGATCTGCAGTTAATCCTGTACTTTAAAATCTATCTGTAGTAAAATGGTTTCAAACAACACATGGTTTAGTACTTATCACACCTCTGGCTCGTAGTTTTCTGTTCAGCTCACTTCAGTTTTCTAATCTCTACAATATTCAAGATCTGGTGAAGGAACCACCTGATGAGTTAGTTGTATCTGTAAAACCACGTTTTATTTATAGTTAATATTTAAATCCCACTCCAGTGTTGTACCAGACAGTTTTCTAACAGCTCCATAGGATGTTGGACGTGTCAGCAGAAGAGGATAACTGAGTCCATGACCCAAACCAAGACGAGCAAATCCAACATTTCAGATTATTTTCATGAATGATTCATCATTTTGACCTTACAGCCGTAGAGAAGACAGAGGTGGAGGAGGAGAAGATGCTTCCTACAGTCTTAGCGACATGATGAGGAGGATGGAGATGCTTCGGTGAGTCGGTTCATATGTTAAATAAAGCAGCTTTATTATTTAAATGAAAATGAGAAATAAATGAATATTTCTGTCTTAAACAGAACATTTCTGTCCTGTAAAAAAATGACTTTCAGCAGATTTTTCTTACAACTGAGAAACAGCTGCTTAGTTGGAATTTGTTAATTATTAAAATGTTTTCAGAATTATTAACATCAGCAGGAAAATGTACATAACTCAAAATGAACATTTAGACAAGCTGCTAAACTAAAGTTTATAAAATGATTGGAACAAATAAAAATGGTGTTTGTGATTCAAAAAGCATCAGAAGCCAAATATTTAAATATCTGCTTTATAAGTCTCATCTCATCAAGATCACTAATGACCTACTCATTGCTGCTGATTCTGGTTTAATCTCTATTCTCATTCTCCTCGATCTGAGTGCGGCCTTTGACACCATTTCTCATTCCATCCTCCTTAATAGACTCTTTTCCTTAGGCATCACTCACACCCCCCTCCGCTGGTTTCGATCTTACCTTACTGGCCGCACTCAGTTCATCCAGTTAAAATCCTTTACCTCAGAACCCTCCCCAGTCAAGTCAGGTGTGCCCCAGGGCTCTGTCCTGGGGCCCCTCCTCTTCATAGTATATCTCCTCCCTATCGGCAAAATCTTTCGCAAATTCAATATCCAGTTTCACTGCTTTGCGGATGACACCCAGCTCTACATTTCCAGTAAGCCCAACTCAACTCTCCCACCATCCTCCCTTACACTCTGCCTCTCTGAAATCAAATCATGGTTCACCTCTAATTTCCTCAAACTCAACGGCAATAAAACTGAACTTCTTCTTGTTGGCACTAACTCCACCCTCTCAACATCTGACAGCTTTTCTTTAACTATTGACAGCGCCATAGTCTCCCCCTCCCCTCGCGTCAAGAGTCTGGGTGTCATCCTCGACAGCTCACTTTCTTTTCAGGCTCACATTAATAACATAATTCGGTCAGCATACTTCCATCTACGTTCCATAAACCGTCTCCGCCCCTCACTGACCCCTCACACTGCCGCCATTCTCGTCCACAGCCTCGTCACCTCCCGTCTCGACTATTGCAATTCACTTCTTTATGGTCTCCCCAACAAACTCCTTCATAAACTGCAACTGGTCCAGAATTCAGCAGCCCGTATTATCACCAGAACCCCTTCCTTTCACCACATCACCCCGGTTCTCCAGCAGCTTCACTGGCTCCCAGTTAAATTCAGGTCCATCTTCAAAATTCTCCTCCATACCTTCAAAGCAATCCACAACCTCTCTCCTCCATATATCTCAGACCTTATAAGTATTCACACCCCGTCCCGTTCTCTCAGATCTTCTTCTTCCATCCGTCTTGCGGTTCCTTCTGCCCGTCTCGCTACCATGGGGAGCAGAGCTTTCAGCCGCTCTGCTCCTCGACTCTGGAACTCACTTCCCCCACACATCAGGAACATCGACAGTTTTACCCTTTTCAAATCAAGACTCAAAACACACATGTTTAAATCTGCCTATGACCTCTGATTTTATTGAACTGTTTCTCTCTTTGTTTTTTCTTGTTTGGGTTTTATTATTGTTTTATTGTATTTTATCACGTGTTTTCTGTAAAGTGACCTTGGGTGTCCTGAAAGGCTATTTTAAATAAAATGTATTATTATTATTATTATTATTAAGTATTACAGGTTTTAAACGTCCTGTTAAGCTTTATTAAAAGCTAAACGTTTTTTTCATCTGTTTTATCTTTTCAGGTTTATGGATGGAAGGTTTGCACTGAAATGAGGAAAAACGTCACACCTTCAAACACTGGATCACAGATTTGGCAACAGCTGGAAATGTTTCATTCTTATCAGCTTGAAATTAAAGGTGTCATTAAAATTAAAAAGACAAACATGACTGGTATGACTAAATTAACTAGTCGATTTGATTTTTCTCTGGTAAAATATTTAAATGTAGAAACATAAAATGTTTTTTTAAAGAACCAAAAGACAAAATTATCATAATTTGTTTCAGTCAGAATAATAATTTAATCATTTTTAACAAATCCAAACTATACAGATTGTTTTCCTGGTGTTGGGTTTTTCTAATCTGTACATTTGTGGCTGATAAATATTGATAATTTATGAGATGTTGCAAACACACACACACACACACACACACACACACACACACACACACACACACACACACACACACACACACACACACACACACACACACACACTGTAGATGTTTTCCTCTGGATCTGACAAAGTAACATGAATAAAGTTTTTATATTTCTAATTAAAGCCACAGTAAAGGTTCATCTTTGTTGATTAGAAGCTGGCCAGTTAGCTCTAAAAATGTTGGGCAGGAAATTATTCTGATTCATTTGTTAACCTAATTTCCAGGGAATCCTCCGTCACACAAATCATACAATAATAATAAATTAAACCTACATTATTCTGAAAGAGCAGTAAAACAGATGGGGTTACATTGAATATTTAGTTAATTTCATAAAACCTGAAAACAATTTATTTTAACTGCATTTTGTTGTGAATGACTTATTTTATGCTTCTTTTATATGATCTTGTTTGTTTTCATGGGTTTATTTAATCTGATTTATAATCTTAGGTTTTGGTTAAGGATTTTTTGTGGATTAGAATTTATTATTTAGAAAATATGGGATACGTGGCTTTTTTCTTTATTATAGGACAATAAGAGGTTAGACAGTTATGCTTTATTTGACTTCTTGATTTTTCTCAGACAATGAATATCAACAAGATGAATTAGTTTGTGTGTAATTTTATTTTTTTGCTCCTAAATAAAATCCCTAAAATCCAATTTTTGTGTGTGTTCATAACTCGACTTAAATACACAACTGACACTAAATACTGCCAAGTAGTATCCGTGCATTTTTGCTTGTTCTTGAAGTGATTTCTCTACTTTTTCTGTTTTAGAGTTTATTTGAATTGATGGTTTGCTTTTGTATCCTGAATACAAACATTCAGAATAGTTCAGTTTCTGAGTGAAACTTCACAGCAACAAACTCAGAGCAAATTGCGATCGAGCCTTCAGACATTTTTGTAATTATTTAGCAAATACTTTTGTCCAAAGTGAATTTAAAGTAGTGAAAATTTACCAAAATGTGAATTTTACTATCATGAAAATCACAAATGTTGGCAGTAATACGAGTGAGGAAATGTTCATTTTAATTTAAACAGCACAATTCACAAGTAACGTGTGTAATTAGTTCAGATGTAGTAAAATTATAATCTGTAAATGAGAAAAAAATGTTACCCCTCCACCACAACTAACTTCCATCTAAGGGTTTGTAACACTTTTTAAATGAAAACGACCAAAACACTAATTTAGCAACAGTCTTTATTGGGAGACGTGTATTTTTTTTGGTCATTTATTTATTTATTTAGCTAACACAAAATCCATTCTGAACCAGTTAGCTTGTGAGAAACGGTTAGGGTCGTCCACACGTGCCATTCCAGTTAAACATCGGTGGAAAACAAAATGTTGAGCTCAGAACATTCCCTCTCTGTAGCGGTGGATCAGCTCTGAGACGTCCTCTTTACACACTTTAATCCAGCCGTCCTCCTTCATGTGGTACACTACACACACAGAAAAAACACATGCATGTACATCAGCAGGAAGACAAAAAAATAATTTCACATTCAAAAAATGTTTTCAAACTACAGCTACCACTCTTCTCCTGTAACCCCCCCCCCCCCCCCATGTGTACATTTTTGCTAACATGCACATGAACTATAACCATCTCATAGCTGATGGGAATCACATCAATCAGCTGCTTGATGTAACTATCAAGCTTTATTTACACCCAGAGTGGAACGAATGCAGACTGGAATCCGTACGGCGTCTGGATGGATCGCCATTTCCCCCGACTGCAGATCCAGTTTGGAGCATCTCTTGAAAGTTGCTCGTGAGTTCACGACAGCAACTACTTGTGTAGAGAGGAACTGGTACACAGCAGCCACACTCGTCCTCTTGAAAAATCATACACGGTGAACTGGCATAAATGTCTGTAATAATAACAGAAGAAGCCGACAGAATGATGCAACAGGTTTTATTGTGAAATAAACGGGATGCATCTCGCAGCCACACGTCTCACTTCCTGTCTGACTCGTGTACTTTCTTTGACTTCATGGCAATCGGCGTCGTGCAGCGTCTGGAAAAAATAGAGACCATGTAGAAAGATTTCACCGGTCCGCACCGCAGCTGGTGTGAATGCTCTGGTTGGACTCAGTGATCTTAGGGGTGTGTGGAAGCCACACAGATTCCGACCCACAGTCATTCAGCACCCAGTTAAAGTGTTCACACCTGTTTCCCATCAACTCACCCGTCCCAATAATTATTTCCCTCAGGATCAAAGTGGCTCTGGTTCACCGATCCTTCTGATACACCCTGTTTCACTCCTACTGTTTCCTGCTTTAGCTCCCTCTTGTTCCTTTTTTGACTTTTATTAAAATACTTTTGATTGGAAGGAAGACCCAGGACATGCTGGAAGTTTCTCAGCTGGCCAGGGAACCCCTTGGGATTCCCCCGGAGGAACTGAACCAAGTAGCCGGCCCTCTCTGTCCCTGCGACCTGACTCCGGATGAGCGGCTAAAATGGATGGGTGGACTTTTGAGTGCACCTGCCTGCCTCCTGGTTCTACACCTGCAGCTTGGGTCCATCCAGCAGTGTGAGAGTAACAGCTTCATAATTACTTCATCTGAGAAGATGACTTAACTCATTTACTGCCCATGACGACAAAAGTCGTCATTTTAAATCCAATCGTTCATTGCCAATGACGACTAAAGTCGTCATTTGCATTTTTTTTACAGTGTGGGCGTCAGAATGAGCCCCCGCACTGTAAGAGCACACATCCCAACTCGAAAGCCGATTTTCATTCACGTATGTCACACATCATGAGATCAGGAAGCAGAAAATCCAAGCATTAGGAGGTCATTTTGGGCCACTGCTGTAAAAAAAAAGTGAGGCGCGAACCGGAAAAGCTTCTGCCGATCACAATTCGGCAACAGATTATGAAAGAAAGGATAATGCTCGAAGCGTGCGGATTATTCCTGATGTAAGAGGTGAGTCTACTCTTTGTTTTGGTAGTTTTGGCATTGACATTATAGTGCGCAATGTTCTGTGACCCTTAAAAAAACTGTAAAAAACGCTGAAAACCGCTGGCAGCAAAGGGCTTTTCTGATCAGGAAATGGCTGGCAGTGAATGAGTTAATAGCTCATAAATTAACTTCCCTGAAAACATAAAACGCCTAGATGTCAGTCGCTAAAATTCTCAGTAGTTATATTTTTTCTTTGGAGTAAAAATATTTTCATTCTCAAAGAAATTTTATTGATTGATGCAACCAGTAAAAAACCAGTTTGGACAAAATAACTGACTGTGCAGTTAATGGTATCTGTTTGCAATACCTTGTGCTAAAATAAAGTAATATAAAATCAAGTATCACTAAAGATTACTCACTGTTTACTACTCCACCAGAGTAGGCGTCTCTGTGAGTGGCGTGAGCGATGCCGCGGCAGCCGAGTTCGTACGCCTCCTCGACGGTCATGTCCTCCCTGTAGCCGCTGTCCACCACGCCGTAGGCGTAGCCGTTACCACAACCGGTGGAGAACATCCGACCAGACAGACGAGTCCCGTTATCATCCACATAATACAAACCTGGACCCTGCAGAAAACACAAATACTAACTCATGAAAAACAGATTGTAAAGGAGTTTCTTTAAACTGCTAATAAAAGAGGGAGAAGATATATATATATATATATAAAAGATTAACAACCATAATTACAGAACAAAAATGTGTTTTTACAGTGACCTACTGCGTAAGAACAAAGGTGTTACAAGAGCTACATAGGGAATAATAATTAACATGACTAACAGAGAAGAAACTAAATCAGGAGGCACAGATTGCTTTGCCATGGAGAATAAAGACATTTATGATATTAAAGAAATCACTAATGAATTTAATGACTTATTTTTGTAAGTGTTGGTGCAAATCTGTTGGGTAACAAATCAATTGTGAAAGATAGTTTTAGGACAATAGTAAATAATGTCAATAATACTTTCCTTGACAAAGTAGAAAAAGAATAAATTAGAACATTTGTACAAAATTGTGGAAGAAAACAATCAACAGATTATGAGGATTTGGACATGATGACTATAAAATAGTCTGTAATTGGTCCATTTATCTGTCACTTTCAACGGGAGTCTTCCTTGACATTATGAAAATTGCTGAAGTGATTCCATTGTTTGGGAGTAGAGATAGCTTTTCTAGCTACAGGCCAATGTTGTTATTGGGAAAGGTTTTTTTTCCAGGTTGGATACATTTATTGAAATGGTTTGTAACAGAGTTTGGAAGCTGATGTAAATGGATGTATTGTGGTTTGAATTTATTCTTGTTTTCCTTTCTTTCTGATTTATTTTGTGTAGTCTTTTGTTTCATTTATTTATTTATTTATTTATTTATTCATTTTATTTACCATCCACTTTAAATTGTGTTGTATGCAAGGAGACTATGGATGCATTATGATAAGCAATTATGATTTGTATTTGTAATCAGCTGAACCATCAACTACTTATATAATATATAAAATCAGTATACTATAGTAATATAGCATTTAAAATATAGTCATTAAAATCAGTCAGTTCTAGTCATTAAAATATAATTACTAATCTGTTTATTTTTTTACTTTCTTTCTTTGTTTAGCCAGTGTGAGTCCATGTGAGGTGAGCAGAGTTAATCAACTAAAATGCTGCTTTGAAATGACCAAATTCAAAGATCGTTAGAGACACAAAATATTTAAACAATCAGTGAAATTGAAATATAAAAAAATGGAGTCTGCTTCAGCTGGCTAAATAAATTATTGCCGACACCGGGAGTCAAACCGGCACATGGCAACACAAGATGAGGTGGTTTAACCGTTAGACCATAGACAATACAACAGTTGACTTGACTAAGACGCTGTTGTAGGTGTGCTTTGTCAGAGTGGGCGGAGCCTCACTGAAACAAACCGTTTTATATCTGGGTATAAAATCAGGCTGATAAAAACAACTAATATTTAAGATGACTGACATCTCAGTAGTGCCAGTGATAATATTTCATCATATACTGTGCCTAGCTTTGCTCTCGGACTTAAAACAGCATGACCTGGAACCTTTAACTATTACAAACTATGTGCAACTTTTAACAACTCATCATTTAAATGCCTGTTTAAATAAAAACGCAGCTTTTCAAACATTTTAAATCATGCATTAAAAGTGTGCCGGTCAACCTGAGAACTAATGAAACAACAAACAACGTCATTTTTAATCAGGAAACCAAATGTGTTCATGTTCTTCTTGGTTACGTTCCTTCTGCGTTGCTTCTCTAATCCCACTGTTTTCAGTTCTTTTCTACATGCAGAGCAGCAAAGCTTGTCTTTGCCTTTTCTGTCAACACTTTTGGCTACTGCTGTTTCCTTCTGCTTTAATGTAACTGAGTCCGTCTGATGATGAGATTTAAAACATACGTGTGTACAAAACAGCAAACTTAGTGACTTAAGAAAAAAAGTGAAAATATGCAAATTTTTCTACGAGTTCTGGCCCTTGCTAGGAGGCTGGCGGAGCAGCCATTGAGATACAAATGTTGAATCAAAGCTACATTTTTCAAACTTGTACTTGTGAAATGCCACAGATCAGCCAGTTTACATGCAGAATATTCAGGAGTTGCATTTACCGGCAGAAAGTAGGTGTGTAGGAGGCGGGATGGGATCCAAAATGTCTAGATCCACATTTTTAGCAAGAGTGATTTATAAAGCAGGAACTGTGTAGCTTTGAGTAACCACTGCTTTAAAGCTCTGAATATTTATTTGCATCAGTAAACCTTGTGTTGAGTTTAAAGGTTTCAGCACCTCCTTGTCCCATCCACAGATCATGCTCCCCACAGAAAGGCCCATGCCTTTGTAACCCAGCATCATGTTACATAGCAGCTTAGAGGCCGCAGACACAGAGATGCGGTGGTTGTTCCTCAGTCTGTACAGCCTGCAGGAAATCAGAATAAGACAGGGTGATAATCAGAAAATGGGCTGATTAGACAGGTAGACGTGTTTATTTGATGGAAAACTAAATCCTAGAGCTGGCAGCAGTTTTCCTTCTGTTTTCTGACTGATCCCTATCCTGCTACACGCAGTTCCATCCTTTCAGGGGTCAATACTGTCAGTCTGTTGGAAGGAGTAGTACTGAGCTTTATCCAGACCACAAGTTTGATTGCAGGCTCTAATAAACACAGCTTTTAGAAAAGTGGGCTCCTTCATCATTGCTCCTCAGAAAATGCAGGCAGCAAATGAGCCTTTCAGTCACCAGTAAAGACGTCATGTTTACATAGTTAAGGAATTGCAACCCTGAATTTGAGTTTTATTTTGAAATTTACCAGATGCTTTACATTGGTACTGTGTTATTTCCTGTCTAGCCGTATGTTAAAGAGCAAGTAACGCCTAAATTAACATTTTTTTGCTGATAACCTGTATAGATGAGTGTCTAATGGTGCTGTACACATGTGTAATCATTAGTGTGGCAGTTTAGTGCAACTTACTTTAAATGTAATACTTCAGCCCAAAACCATAATTCTATCTCCATCTTCAGGTTAAAACTCTGCTTCACATTTATGTAGGACCAGCTGTGGCTGATGGCTGAGCTGAAAAACGTGACGTTGTCACCAAACGACTACGTGGCTGCACCGCACTGGTCTCCAGGTGAGGCTGCCACACCTCCACCTGGCTCAGCCACTCACCATGCTGGCTCTCTGAGACGCTCCCTCCTTGAAAAATGACCCTCATCCCTTTTTCATCTAATGATCGTGGTTAACAGGAAGTCCTCCAGAATGCTGAAGAATCTGTGTCTGCCCTTCTCCTGAGCGGTAAGTCTCATGTGAGGGCGTGTGCTTGCGTGCAACAAGTCGTTTTTAGATTGAGAAACTCCGACAGCGCACGCGGGGGGGGGGGGGGGGGGGGGGGGGGGTTGACGGGGGTGCGGTTCACTGCTGCCTCAGTGCCGCTCTCTCGGTCCGCCAGGCCACGCCTCTTTCAGAAGCGTTTTCCTAACAGGAAGTGTGGATGAAATATGTCTCCACCCAGGCATTGACCCTCACTTTAACTATGGAGTTTGGTGCATCCCAGAAAGTAGAACACAATCCTTTCTTTAGCGGCGTGGTGCGGCACGACGCTTCTGGGACACATCAGAAACGTTCCATGAAACATCTGATGAGACTCAAACCACAGATTTGAATGGACTCTCTTTACCGCGGAGATGAGTCGTTCTGTAATGAGACGCAGACGCACCTGGTGTGAATTTGGGTTAAGTAACAAAATCTCCCCTCTCCTTACTAAATGAGTAAGTTTACCTAATTTTGTAGGTAACTGTGTTTTTTTTTTGTTTATAAGTTCAGTGGAACAAATTTGGCGCAAACAAAAGAAGACAGTTGAGCAAGGATGACATCTGATTGTTCGAGTGTGACTGTGTTATCAGCACAGACAGAATGATAACCCACACTTGCATTAACATTTGGAGGACTACAAAACGCTTTACACTACAGTGTATGATTCATCCATTCATGGTGGTGATGAGCTACAACAGCTGCCCTAGGACACACTAACATAGGTGGGGCTCTTGAGCACAGGCACCATTGGTCCCTCCAACCACCAGCAGCAGTCAGGAAGGGTTAAGTGTCTTGCCCAAGAACACAACAGCAGAATTCTGCTGGAAGCCGGGACTGATCCTACAACCCTCCTGCAGAAGAAGGTGTGATAATCAGGGGCGCCTCCAAAAAATGTTGATAAGGGTGGCCGGATGGGGTCAAACAAATTTTTGGGGTGGGACAGCAAATTGAACCTTGTGGTAACTCTGGGAGAGTTTAGCCTGTGATGATGCGCTGCATTGCTCCTTTATTCATATTTATTAAAAAAGCAGTACGTATCCAAGCATTTACCTTAAATTTTACAAACACGAACATTTCAGAAAAGTACATTTCAATTATTTAAAACGTTATTCCAAATTAAATGTACAATTTTTTCAGGTTAACTCACCTGTTGCTGTGTTTACAAAAAAATATCGAGATAAAAACTTTTTTAAAATGGTGAGCAGCCGAAAATATTTTTTATTTATATATTTATTTATTCTGATTATTTCTTTCCTTATTAATTGTATCATTTTTATTTTGTTTTACAATTACATCTTGAATAAAAAAGATCAATATATGGTTTGACAGAACATGAATATGACTTATTAAAACTGACTTTTCCTGGGGGGGTCAGCACTTTTCTAGGGGTGGCCATGGCCACCCCTGGCCACCCCTTGGGGGCGCCCTTGGAGATGTGTAGAGAGAACATTATAAACACAACAGAACAGACCTGCATTCTTTGGCCAGGAGTCTCTCCCAGTACTGACAGTCTGCAGCGCTGCCCGACATGGTGCCCAGCAGGTACGAGTTAATCTCTATCACCTTGTTAACATCATTAGACGCTGCAGCACAGACACAATTAGAAAATAATCACATTTAATTACAATTATTACATCAAGCCTGAGCATTAGGAGAATAACAGCAGCACGTCACAAAAACATGTGTTAATTGCATTATCTATGTATACTAATGCCACACTTTGATGTTTCAAATCCCTTTCTTGTTCAGAACAGAAACATTAGGTCTCCAGCTCAGGTAAGAGGTAACTAATGATGTTGGAGGACTTTACCCTTTAATACCCAAAATTAGGGATGCAACGATACCCCTTTTTTCCAAACCGATACGATATCGATACTTGGATCTGAGTACTCGCCGATACCGGTTACCGATACCGATGCTTCTACCACACCAAAAAAATTCAATAATTTGGAATACAGATTTTATTTTCTTCCAGGAAAAGACTGTGAGGTAGATAAAAAGTAAAATATATTAATAGAAATCATCACAAAACTAAAATATTAGGTGAACAGAAATGACAAGTTACAGTGAAGCCATTTTCAAGCAACTGCATTGGTATCGGTTAACTTATACCAAAGTATCGGTATTGGCACCGATACTGATTCCAGTATCGGTGCCAATACCGATACTGGATTGGTGCCGATAAGTATCGGTATTAACCTCTGTCAGTGCGCCCCAGGGCAGCTGTGGCTACATCGTAGCTCATCACCATCAGTGTGTGAATGTGTGTGAATGGATGAATGATACACTGCAGTGTAAAGCGCTTTGGAGTCCTTACTCTGAAAGGCGCTATACAAGTGCGGGTCACCAGTATCGGTATCGGTGCATCCCAACCCAAAATGGTTTCGATTTTCCATTTCTGCTGCATTTCTGTTTAATGGTGAATTTATATTCATCTTATGATGACGTGGGTGGATTTAGAGGGCTCGAGTCACTTGATTACCTTTCCTTGAGGTCACGTGGATGCACCTGCAGTGTAACAGACTTTTGATTTTTTAAAAATCCAATGTTTCACAAGTACACGCAATTAGAAACTAGGTTAATTCAAATTCAAAGCTCGACTTCTAGCTCTTACTAAAGGCTCATCTCTGCGTCAGACACACATATTTACCTAAATAACGTCCAGCTGAAGCTCTGGAGTCCACAGCCACGATGACCCCATGCCTGAACTTGAAGGCCAGGGTGGTGGTCCCATGGTCCAGGTCGATGCTCACTCCTCCCTCCTGATTACAGGACTTCAGGAACCCTGAAGGCTGGAATTAAACATGTAACTAAACCTGGTAGTAGACCTTTGTGTTTGTGGTAATCTAATCTTCTCTTCCACGTGAAACGGGACCCGAGCGTCGCTTCGGTGTTTTCTAGATGACAGTAAAATGAAAACGCACCTCTTCTCCCACAGGAACAGCAAATTCCTGGATTTTAGTCCCAAAGCTGTAATGGTTGGGTCGGTCCAGCAGATGCGTCTGTCTGGCTCCAAGAAGACGCTTAAGACCGCTAAACTCAACCAGCGCCATTCAGGTCTAGATTAAAGAACGTAATCCAACAATAATCTGTTTTAATATTTCCTAAAACGACCAAGGCGATCCACAACGCTGGAATTATTTCCTCGTTCGTGACAAAGAATCCGAAAGTGAAAGAAGTTTGTTCAAGCTTTTATTGTTTAGTCTTTTTTTTACACATTTTAAATAAATACACACAACAACAGGTACAGATATTCCTAATCCCACCTATTTATAATATAAACGGTGAAATATAAACACATTAGGTCTAAATGGGGAACTTTTATAAATAGACGAGTGAAAACCTCTTAGCCAATAGGAGAACGATTTGTTTTCTGTCATCAGTCTCTAACCGGAGATGCGGAAGTCAGGTTTAAGTGTATTGTCTCTGCATTTTAATAATATTATAATAATTATGTGGACCTGCCTCCTGTCCATTATGAGATCAATACACTTAAAATGCATGACTGGTAAAGTAAAACAAAAGTCCGTGAAGATAATTTAAACAAAGTTTATTAGGATTTTTCCATTTTTAAACCTCATCAGTATTACAGCGTCTGAGTTATTCAACATCACAGGAAAGCAAAAACAAACATGACGCTGGGGTTCTTTTTAAGTTTTGATGTTCCTTCATCTTGTTAATAATCTAACTTGGTGTTAAATGAAATTAGGACTTAAGAGTTCTGGTGGTTTTCTGGTTCTGGATCACACCGTTTCCATCTTCTGGACGGTTTCCTGGACAACCTCCAGCTTTAAGGGAACAACCTTCTCTGTCAGGACTGCTGTTGTTCCTGGACGATACTTGTATTTCATTTTCCTACAAGAAGGGGAAAGAAAGGAAGTAAATACTTGGATTGTGCATAAACATTTCCTTATGACTGAGCTTGTGAATCTAGATCTGTATTGTAAAATTGCTGCAAATGTGAGAACCATTCGTCAAAAAACCAGAATTTAATTCTAGCTCCACAAGAAAAACGCTCCTCATGTTTCTTGTTTGCATTTCTTTGAATAATGAATGTGATTTAAGAACAGGAGTGATGTGCTCGGTTCTCTTGGTTCTTGTGAAGACTCTAGCAGCAGCGTTCTGAACAAGCTGCAGCTGCTTCACAGCTTTTTTGGGATGACCAGTCAAAAGATCATTGCAATGGTCCAGCCTGCTGGAGATGAACACACGAATGAGTTTCTCTAGGTCTTATCTGGACATGAGACCTCTGAGTCGTGCTATTTAGAGATTAAATGTTGATCTAGTTATAGCCTTAATGTGACCAGTGAAGCTCGGTTCTCAATCAGTTATGGCACAAACATTTCTAACCTGGACTTCGACTTTATTCCTCTGGAGCCAAGCTGAGCCGTAACCTAAAATGTTATTTTAATGCAGCTGGTGCTGACCCACACTGATGCTGCTGCATGAAGCAAAACGTTTGTTGAGCTTTTTGTGGCGATTTAAATGCAATATGACAAAAAATGTGGTTGAAAATACAAAAAAAATAATAATAATTACAACTCAATCCAGAGAGCCAATAGTACAGACTCATACCTGTCATCTCTGAAGTCTGACTCCTGGAAGGGTCTGCTGTAGTCCACTCCGCCTCTGGTGATGACGCAGATGTCGATGTTGTTTCCTGAGCCGAGGTCGCTCATGATGCCGGCGTGGATGGCAGCTCGCACCAGCTCCTTCGCCTTCTCCAGCTGAGACAAGGAAAGGTCAGGAAAAAGATCAAGCTGGTTTTTGCGTGTTGGTTTGATTGAGTAAGTTGTTTTCTATTTAGTTTTTAATTTAAACAGTAAGCTGTTATTTCACCATGTGTCGAATGTTTTACCTCCAGATCATGTCTGAAGCCATCTTCTAAAATCCCAAGAGCAGCAAGACCACCAGATCCTGCGTGAAAACAAAGCAGAAGAATCTGAAACCGACTGGATGTCATGAGTGTTAATTTGAAAATAAATTCACCTGCACAGGTAAATACATACACATCACAAAGACAGATGAAAGGTGTTTTAATGCACGTCACTGCAGAAACAACGAAAGGAGAAAATCCAACAGTGAATGGATCAAAGAAAAGACACGTGAATCAAAGTTTAACACGTACCCATCGCTAGATAAGGCACCTTATCAACACTCCCATATGGGCCCACTGTGTACAGGTGGTTCCCAGTACAGTCCACTCCTCCCAGTATCAGATTAGCACCAATCTGACCGTGATACCTGAGAAAAGACAGAACCTGGATACAGTCACACATATCTGAGTAAAGACATCCATGGATTTCTGAAACGATGTCTTCACTCAGAGCACGGACCTGTACAGCATCTCCTGTAAGATGTTCACAGCCATGACGACACGAGGATTCCTGCCGCTGTTCAGGGAGAAGATGCTGAGGTTGGATGAGAGAATATCTGTGGTTTTCTCTGTGTCTGCTGCTGTTCCTGCTCCACAACAACTAGAGATAAGCAGACAGAAGAATTAGGAAGCAGGAATGAAACAAACAAGTAAAAAAAACATTTATTTTGTCAAAAAACAGAAAAAAGGACTGTGACCCAAATTAAAATAAAGAAAATGGCATTTTTTACTATGTGTAACACTTTTTTCTCTCATAGATTCCAGTTTACACTCATGAAACTTACTAAATATTAGGAGAAATGAAATGGATCTTTGCACACATCTTGTCAGCCACAACTTCACTGGAGGTGGCTCTTGTGTCGGCTCCCAGCACGACTCCATCCTGCGTTACAGAAGCCAAGGGGATCACCAACATGGCCAAGAGAATATTCATGTGCATAATGATAAAATAACACCACAGACTCTTGAATTTACAATATCAGCTAACACACAACAACTGCATACCAATACTTGTGCAGCTCTCTTGTAAAACTGTAGGCGTTTAATGTGGAAGACACACACTGTGCTTCAGTGTCAAACCGTGATGGATCAGCTGGATGTTTATCCCCTTGGACATTGAAGGTGACGAACAAAGAATAAACAATGTTTTCCAGATTTCATATCGAAGTCATCAAACAGGTAAGAGTGTCACGGTTTTTTTTGTTTGATGTGCTTTTTATTGCTGTACTCACCTTGTACACCACTCCTGCGATGGTTGTGCCTGTTTTTAGAGGTTTTGGTGTTAGTCCCCCATCAAAAAGACCCTCTAGTGCTGCATTTCTGGACAGAAGGGAGATGGAGACAGGGAGAGGTGAGGGTAAAAGGTTAGTAACGGGTCGGTACTGACAAAAACTCAAGAGAAAAACGTTGTTACAGCAGCGATCATCAGATCAAAAAACAGGTAAACAAGCAGGAGAAAGTTACTTTCACTTTTGATCGCAGTGAAACTGTAGTTGTTCTGATGTTTTTATGTTGCTTAATAACAGAATCACCAAGTCATCATACATCAAAAACAAGCTCATACCTTGCAGTGTTGTCAAAATTAAACCCAGCCGCCGGAGTTTCGAGGACATTTGACAGCGCCATGGATGCGTCTTGGTGCGTCTTTACGCGCCCCGGTGCGCCTGAGGTCGCTGTTCGGAGCGTCCGAAGCTGCTCGTTTCTTTCTTTCGATTTTAGAAAGAAAATGGAGAAACACTACACGGACTCACAATTGAAAGGAGTCAGCACAGGGGTGAGTAGGATGGGTTCAGCTTATCCTCATAAATTACTTTTATATGTTTTCAGTGTTTGTAAAGAGCCACATAAGAAATGATTGTGCGTAAAGAGGTGGAACAATAACTGGACAGCTTCGGAGTGAAGCAGAAAATTCAGCAAAACTAATTATTTACCAGAGATTTAAAAATATTCCACCGTTAGGGGGTTCCGTGTTCATATTAACTCAAACAAATTACTTTGACTTTTTAATATAAACCACCGCTGTTAGAACTCAGAGTCCCAGAATTCATAGCGACGCACAGTTTTCATGAATGAACAGATCACGTGTAAACGTGCCTGTAAACACCCCCTCTCCTTTCTCCTCCTCAGACCACCATTATAGCGGCTGTCTTTGATGGGGGGGTCGTGATTGGGTCAGACTCCAGAGCGTCAATAGGAGGGTGAGGATGGAGTGATGGGGTGGATTCACGTACAGCAAGACTGCTGAGACGTATTCATCATTACAAAAAAAAAAGTATTTTGCTGATAATATTTTTTATTAAAGGCTGTTTTTAAAATTCTAAATTGTAATTTTAAATCTTCTGTAAAAAAATGAAGCGTTCTGATGATTCCAGTAAGTCAAGTTGAACTTTCTACATCACGAATTTGTTCAGGGAATATGTTTCGTCTAAGACCATCAACAAGGTGATTCAGGTTCATGACCGGATCTTCTGCTGCATGGCTGGATCACTTGCAGACGCTCAGGCTGTCATCAAAACTGCAAAGTTCCACCTGTCCTTCCACAGGTACTCACACACCTGACATGTAAATCCACACATCATCGTGTAAACTCTAAGAATTCATAAGTTGTCTCTCCTCTTTTTGCCTCTCAAACATTAAACTTTTACTAAGTTAAGTTAAAGTTCTTTATCCTGTTTCTGGATCTGCTACAGCGTCCAGATGGGGGATCTTCCTCTGGTGATGGCAGCAGCGTCGGTGCTGAAGGAACTGTGCTACAAAAACAAAGAGGAGCTGCAGGCTGGCTTCATGACTGCAGGTTGGGACAGAAAAAAGGGACCTCAGGTAGGTAACAGGTGACACGACCCCTCCAGCATTTACCTGCACTACTGATGTTCTCCTCCCTCCCCAGGTGTACGTTGTGTCTCTGGGTGGGATGTTAACCAGTCAGTCTGTGACCATCGGCGGCTCAGGAAGTACTTACATCTACGGCTACGTCGACGCTAAATATAAACCCAACATGACCAGAGGGGAGTGTCTACAGTTTGCCACCAACGGTATTCCTAATGCACTCATTTATGTCCCAGAGTGTAAATGAACTCACAGTTCAGTCAAAAACGTGAAATAATTCTGAAAAAATTAAGAAGTTTAACTTTCTTCATTCATGAGTTTAATGACTTGTACTTGTGTGGGACTTTATGAAGTCCAAGGACTCCAAAGCGCTTTAGTCTACAGTCACTCTTGCACCCATTCATTCATACACACACACACACACACACACACACACACACACACACACACACACACACACACACACACACACACACGTTTGTAGATGGATGAATAAAAATCTGAATATAGTAGAAATGTAAACTCTCACAGAGCATAAAAAAGTACTTTGAATAATCAGAAGAATAAATCTAATAAACATTAATAATTAACTAATAAAAAATCACTTTGAGGCATATTCATAAAATTCTAAGTGTATTTTTGTTCATCTTGACCCAAATTTTCCTTCTCGTGTCTCCATCTGTCCACAGCTCTGGCTCTGGCTATGGGCAGGGACAACGTCAGCGGGGGTGTTGCTCACCTGGTGGTGGTCACAGAAAAAGGGGTGGAGCATGTGGTGGTACCTGGAGACAAGCTGCCAAAATTTAATGATGAATGATCGTTTAACATCCTACTTTTGACGTTTTTAAGAAGCTTTTCCTAAAGTTGTTTTGCCACATTTTTAATTAATGATGTTTCCTGTTTTAGATCTGATACTCAACAGCTGTCACATTCAAACGGTTAGACAAATAAAATCAGCTCTCTGCAAATAATACAATAGTGGGACTGTTTTACTATGAAGTGATCAGGTGAATTCATGCAGAAATGTTTCCACATGTTCTGTGGGGAGAATAAAAACTTTTTTATTGTCTAATTGTGCTTATTTATATTTAACTTCAACACAATTAAAGATTTGTTGAAATGATTGCTTTTGGAAACACATTTTACAGTTTTTATTAATAATGGAAAAGGCTTTTTGCTATTGCACTTATTAAATGATTTAGCCATCGAACAGATGGTTGATCTGCTTCCAGAGTTTTGCGCAGCAGCGAATCAGACGGGCTGTTCCTCCTCAGAGGAGGGACCATTCTAACTTTCAATTTCGGTTTAACGCCACGAAAAGTAAAATGGAGTCCGTTTGACTGTAGAGCTGATTTATTACTGAGAAAACACGGACAATAAAAAAACATATCTAAGTAAACATTTTCTATCCGGGTGTCCTCCTGCGCGTCTCAGCCGGATCGTCGCTGCCATGTTGGGAGAAGCGGAGCCGCAATGGTTGTCAGAGGAGGTGAAAACAGGGGTAGGTCAGATGTTTTTATTGTCTCTGAAGAGTTTCTGTGTGCACCCTGTCTTCAGACATGAAATCATTCATGGTAGGGCACAAAAATATACACATGAAGACATATTTTGTTTGTTTCAAGACGACCATTATTGCCATAGAGTTTAATGGTGGAGTCGTGCTGGGGTCTGATTCCAGAGTGTCTGCAGGGTGAGTTCATATGCTTTTCTACATGTTTCAGTACTAGTTGTTCAGGTTTTATATGTAAAAATGTGTATTTTAATGTCTCTGTTCCCTCCTCTCTCCATCCAGAGCATCAGTGGTCAACAGGGTGATGAACAAACTGTCTCCACTCCATGATAAGATCTACTGCGCTCTGTCAGGATCTGCAGCAGATGCTCAGACCATCGCTGAGATGGTCAACTACCAGCTGGATGTCCACAGGTTATTTTCACTCCTCATTGTTCCTATAGCATCCTATCAGAGTGTGCAATAAACTTCTCTTTGTGGGGGCTGCATGGTGGCAAAGTTAGCAGCTGAAAGGTTGCAGGTTTAAATCCAGCCTTTCTGCTTGGAGTTAGCTTAGCCTCCCCATGCAGTGTATGCTCTGGGTTCTCAGGTTTCCTCTCACAAACATTCATGTTAGGTTTATTAGTGCCTCTAATCCAGGGGTGCCCAGTCCTGGTCCACCCACCATGTTTTTCCTGCTCCAACACACTTCATTTCAGTGGCTGAACCACCTGTTCACCAGGTCATCTGAAGAAGCCTGATAATCTCCTACTTATTAAAATCAGATGTGTTGGAGGCAGGAAAACAACTAAAACATGCTGGATAGTGGCCCTTGAGGACCAGATTTCCCTATCCCTGCTCTAACTTGTCGTGTAGCTGTGTGTGTCATTTGCCCACTTGTAGCCCATTGGCGGAGTGGTGACCTGTCCTAGGTGTCCCTCACCTCTCACCTGGTGACACCAGCTCCCTGCAGCCCTTTAAGAGGTCCTTCACTGAGAAACCATGTTCTAATGATTATTTTTTATTCTAATGAGTCACTGAGTATTTCAGGCAGGCTGAACATGAGAATAGTCTCCTACACCTATCTCCTGCATTGGCTTCTGATAGAAAACAGACGGTGAAACTCTAGGAGTAGAAAATCCTGACAGATCTACGTCACATTGTCACTTAACATTCATGGACTCACCCATCTTGACTCATGACGGGGAAGGCTGTTGTTGGGTTAACATCCAGGAAACAGCAGAGAACGTCTCGGCTAGCACAAGCTACCCGTTAGCATTAGCAACTCCACCACACAGCAGAACTCCTCCAGGCTTGTGTTATTTGTGGAGATAAAACATCAACGTTGCAGAGCTAACACAGTCAGTTAGTCGTGTTGCTGTTAGCCAATCAGAGAAGAGATGTCCCAATATCAGGAAATAAGACTCCATATCCTGTCTCAATCCATGCTGAAACAGGAGCATCTGAGTTTACCCCCGAGTACGACTTACATCCATTACTGCTACAGACCTCTGCAAGGAATTTAATCACTGGTGTCAAATCCTCATCCTCAAGCTCACCATCCTGCATATTTTTTACATTTCTTCAACACCAGATCTTTAGACTTCTGTAGAGCTTGATTACCTGCTGAACAGGTGATTGATTCAGGTGTAATGTAGCAGGGAAATGACTAAAACATGCAGGTCAGGGGTCCTCTGCTACACATAACGCATTCTGGCAATAAAATGGAAGCATGATGTTTTTTTTAACAAATCAAACAGAGCTCTTCACCCATTTGGCCAATTGGGTGGGTTTTTATAGGTTAGATGTCCGCCCCCGATGGTTAGCGAACACCTGAGTTAGCTTTGTTCTGCTCTTTATGCTGATTCTGCTTTTCCCGGGATCCACTGATTGCCTTTTCTTGTTCTTTTTCCTTTTCCTCACAGATTTAGCTTTTCTCATTTTTATGAATTTTTTTGTCATTTTTTATTTCTTTGTTTTTTATTAGTTTTGTTCCTGAGTTAAGTTTTTATTTATCGAAAGTAATATCGTCATCGTAATATTAATCACTCTTATTGCATATCGCAGGTTTTCCTAATATCGTGCAGCCCTAGATTTGATTTAGCTAAATTTGTTCAAACGCTGTTCTCCAAAAATGTTTAGGCTTTGTTAAACATGAACTAAACTGGACCAAAATCCTGTTTTAATATAAGAGACTGGAACTCCCCCAAGCTCAGTTATGTACTTTATTTTGAAAAGTGGATTTTGATATTTAGCATTTTAGATTGTATGTTCCAGGAGATTATTTTTAAACCGAAGATGTTTTCTGTCACCTGCATGTGAAACACAAACCAACATAATGTTTGTTACAGTAGCACTAATCTTATATCTCCTGTCAGCACTGAAATAGATGAGGACCCTCAGGTTTGCTCTGCTGCCACTCTGGTGAGGAACATCTCCTATAAATACAAGGAGGAGCTGTCGGCACATCTGATTGTAGCCGGCTGGGACAGACGAGGAGGAGGACAGGTCTGTGAACTCATGCTGTAGCCTATTAGAAAAAATGTTAATAATTAATATTAATATCTGATCGTTTAAACTGACGCTGAGGTTAAGACCACTTATGGAGTCTGCACAGGGCTGTTGATGCTCATGTTCTCCACGTGCTTGTTCCCTTTAACCTGCAGGTGTTTGCTACTCTGAACGGCCTCCTGACCAGGCAGCCGTTTGCTGTTGGAGGTTCTGGCAGCTTCTATGTTTATGGCTTTGTTGATGCTGAGTATCGGAAGGGGATGTCTAAAGAGGAGTGTCAGCGGTTTGTGGTCAATAGTACGTTGTCTCCTCATGGCTTTGGTTAAACTACAAAACCAGATATTATAATGCTATTGGTGGCTTTAACAGCAAAAGCTTGTAGATCTCACAAGAATCCATTTTCCCTTTTCTCCTCCCTGTAGCTCTGTCGTTGGCGATGAGCCGTGACGGCTCCAGCGGAGGCGTGGCCTACTTGGTCACCATCGATGAACACAGCACAGAGGAGAAAGTCATCCTGGGAAATGACCTTCCCACTTTCTTTGATCAGTGACTAGTTTTTACCTTCACTGGATCATTTAGTTTTTATGCACAGCAGTCCACCAATTCAAGCTTTTGAAATATAAACGGAACAAATCAAACATTCATTCTAATAAAATGGAAAAAACAAAAACTTGCATTTCTCTCCAATTCTTTATGGTATTTTTGTTGGTAAACTTTGTATTTCATTGTTAAATTATAATAAAGAAACATTCATGTTGAATGCCAAATACATTTTATGGATTTAATAGGAACGTGGAAACAACTGATTAGTAATTGTCAATGTTGTGTATTTGTTTATGGGTGGTCCGACTCATTAATATTTATATTACTACTAAACCCAGTGAATATAAAGTTCTGGAGAAGTGATCTTAAACATTATTTCAAATTAACAGCAGCAGCTGCTGTTAAATAGACTAAAACAGGCAGAGTCAATGCCACAATTATATTGTCTCTATAGCTGCTCTGTTTAATTTCAATTCTTATTTTTTTGTGGAAAATTTCCCTAAATGTGTGGTGGTGACCTACAGTCAGTGATATCTGGTTGCAACTATTTTCAACTACGAAATGGACCCATTTCTCACCCAGCAAGGAAATTAATAGAAAGACTGAATAAATGTAGCACGTCTGATTCTGCAGGTGAATTTCTGATGGTGATTTTGGGATGAAATCCCAGATCAGAGGGAAAGCACTGAAGTCGCCTGAAAATGAAACTGAAAGTGAGTTCGGACCAAACTGCAGTAACAGAGCAGGTCACAGGAGGACGGCTGCAGCTGAAAATGGCAGGAAAAGCTGTAACAACGAGCCACAAACTCCTCGCTCTGATTTTAGCCGTTTTTATTGACCTTTCCTTCTTTTACGCATCAGGATTTGTAGAAATCAACCGCGCGTTTGGGAACCTGGTGCGTCTGTGGATCTTTGCGGCTCTGCGATGGTCGGCTATAAGTTTTACTGGTCTTCTGATACTCGGAGACCTCACACCGGTTCTGATTCGGTTCATAACGGTACACAGCCTGCTTCCGGCGGTGTTGGAAACCGGGACCAGGGCGCTTCACCGCGAGGAGAGCCAGTGTAGCCAGGTGGTGGATGTGCGTTGTTGGATGGTGTTTGCTGGAGCGTCTCTGGGTGCTGCGCTCTTCTGGGAGATCACCATCCCGGACAGCGATGAGGAGGCTGAGAGTAAAGAGCAGAAACACAAATCCAGAGTCCTCCTCATGAGAGTCCTGCGTCTCTACAAGCCAGATTATCCTCTGCTGTTTGGAGGTGTTGTCTTCCTGTCACTGGCTGCTCTATGTAAGTAAACATGGTTCACAACATATGTAAACCCAAATGTAAATGAAAATAATAAAGTATATTGAGTAGGCGACACTCATAAATAAATAAAAAGTTTTTAGAACTTAAATGTGTTGAGTTAGTTCAATCTTCTCCTTGTTTTGAGTACATAGAACTCAAACGTTTTAATTAATCTGAAAAAATATATATTTTTAGTGTCGAAGAACAACTTAACTCGAATGAGTAAAATGAACTAAAAATAATAATTTATAATTTTGTGTTTCTATATTATTCTATTCATCTTTATGTCAACTTAAAGTGTGTCTAATAAACTGACTTAAATTTCTTAAAATATTTGTGGATCTATAGGAAAAAACAAGCACAAACAAGCAATTTTGGTGGATTTCAGTCACAACAAAGAACTGGTGGGTGAGGTGCATTGTGGGTAGTTATGTTTTTAGTTATTTTGTTCTATTTTGGGGTGTTTATGCATGTTTATTGTGGGGCGTTGTTGCTCTTAGTTATTACTTCATTCAGTGCTGAAAATGTGGTGCTACTTTTTATATCATGTTGGCACCATAAGTGAGGAGGTTGGTCAAAGGAATGACCACCCTGTGCCATTCCATTTGGTTCACACTTGATGTTCTTTACTTGTCTTTGGATGCTTCACTCACTGGCTGGGTGTGTGAATCTTGTCGATAGAAACTTAACTTGGTTAGTGCAGTACAACAATTTTTTGAGTTATATCAACTTATCAAGTTTGAGTAAAAATATTAACATTTTTCCAAATAATTAGTTTAAAAATGTGTAAGATCTTGAGTGAATTACTCCCTAATTATAAGTTGAGGAACATCAATAATTTTAAGATAACATTGAAATAATTTAGGGCAACTGCAAATGTAATTTATATTTTTTGTAAACTTCAAATATTTAAAAACATCACTTAAATATTTTGTATTACAAAACAATTTTTGAGTTCTGTGAACTTATTAAGGTTTACAGTGTATTTATGTTTAAACATATTACAAAGTTGTAATTTATTTGAATTCAGTAGTTTTATTGCATATTTTAGAATTTAAATCTGAGTTGAGAGAAAGGAGCTGAGCTACTGGTTTTGTTACTAAGATGATGATGATGATGATGATGATGATGACATGTTTATGATAATGACCACTGCTGTCATTTTTCAGGTGAGATGTTCATCCCATTCTACACAGGCAGAGTCATCGACATCCTCGGCAGTCATTACCAACTAAATGAATTCCTTTCTGCGCTCCTCTTCATGGGACTGTTCTCTATGGGAAGGTGTGAGATAACGTTTTATCCCAACATTTATCTTTCAGCGTGCGTTTATTTAATCCAACTCACTTCCTCTTATACCATCTATAGCTCTGTGAGTGCCGGCTGCAGAGGGGGGGTCTTACTTTGTGCCATCAGCTCGTTCACATGCAGAATCAAAGTGAAGCTGTTTCAGGCTTTGACCAAACAGGAAATTGGATTCTTTGAAACCATAAAGACTGGTAAGCATGTCACGTTTTCAGCTGCTGGAGCACAGAGCAACACAAAAAAAGACAGTTTAGGAGAAAATCTTTGTCTTTGCAGGTGAAATCACATCCAGGCTGTCTAAGGACACGACTCTGATGGGGAGAACGGTGTGTCTGAATGTTAACGTGCTGCTGAGGACTTTTATCAAGACGGTAGGGATGATCTCCCTGATGATGACCCTCTCATGGAAGCTCACCTTCCTTGTACTGATGGAGACTCCTCTCACTGGTCTCATACAGAACATCTATGATACACACTACCAGGTAACATCATCTAACTGGAAATGCAGGTTTAAAAGCTGAACAGTACTCTACATTATAAACACGTGGTTGTTAATCATGAGATGTTTCAGTAAATGTGTGTTTCCCTTTGCTTCCTGCCTCAGAGGTTGTTCCAGGCCATGCAGGACTCCATGGCTCGTACAAACGAGGCCGCAAATGAGGTTGTGTTTGGTATCCGGGTGGTTCGGAGTTTCAACACAAACAAGCATGAAGCTGAACGCTATGATGAACAATTAAACGAGACACGTTCCCTCAAGACTCGCCGAGACATTGTGAGGGCAGTATACCTGCTCGCACAGAGGGTGAGAAGTTTTTATGTGTGTTTTTAGGAAATCAGACGATGTTTAGACGGTAATTATAAATAACTTGTTTTATCTGAATTTGTTCAAATGTCCGTAGTTGACAGGTTTGGGTATGCAGGTCCTTATTTTATACTACGGCCGACTTTTTATCCAGAAGGGACAGATGACCACTGGAAGCTTGGTTTCCTTCATCATCTACCAGTCAGATCTAGGCGGCAACATCAGGGTGGGTTAACTACGATGCTGTTGGCCGAGTATTTCAATGAGGACGAACTGCAGCCATTAGAAGTTCTAATAAATATGTATAATATACACCCACACAGCATAATCCAGTGATATTTAACAGTTGTTTCCCATTTTAATACAAATGGAGTCATTTTCTTTTTATCTAAAGATAAATTATTTAAAGAGACTCTTATTAGACTCAGACAACAACGGCTTGCATGTGCTGAGAACTTACTGTGTGCTCACTACTGCATGAATAAATCACTACTGAGGGAGAATAAACCTAAAATGTTCTCAGTACAGACAGAAAACCAGCTGACATCCCATAATAAGTCTAAGTGGCTTTTAAACCAAACCCTTGATACCCAACATGTTTGTTATCTTAGACACTTACCTATATCTTCGGTGACATGCTGAACTCAGTGGTGGCTGCTGGGAAAGTTTTTAACTATCTGGACCGAAAACCTGAGATCAGCACTGATGGAGAACTCAAACCGGATCAGCTGAGAGGACGCATCAGCTACTGTGGGCTCAGCTTCGCCTATCCGACAAACCCCAGCAAAACCGTGCTGCAGGTGAGGCAGAAACCCTTCATTTGGATGTTTTCTGGGCAGACCTTACAGCAAATCTCTTTTGTTTCAGGACTTTTCCTTGGAGCTGAAGCCAGGTCAGATGACGGCTCTTGTGGGTCCATCAGGAGAAGGAAAAAGCACGTGTGTGAGTCTGCTGCAGCGATTATACGAGCCTCAGGGTGGAGAAATCCTGCTGGATGGACAACCGCTGAAGTCTTACGACCACCACTTCTTCCACAAGAAGGTATTTAGACACTGATTTTATTTCAGGATGAGAATTTTGGTTCTTTCAGTTTAAAATTGTTCTGAATTCAGCAAAACAATAATGTAGAAATACTGTGAAAGAAGCTGGAAGCACAACAAGGAAACCTGCAGACTTCCTTCTTAACCATATGTTCCTTTTTAACTAAACAACTACTATAACTTTTATTTTTAGTGGGTTCTGTGATCAGAATGGACCTAAAATATGTAGAAACAATGTTATTTTGTATTTCTGAAGCCTAATGAGAGTGCGTCTAACAGATAGCAGTGGTGAGCCAGGAGCCTGTCCTGTTTTCCGGCTCCATCAGAGATAACATCACCTACGGACTGAATGACTGCTCGATGGAGGAGGTTGAGGACGCAGCTGGAAAAGCCGACGCCCATGATTTCATTCAGACACTAGAGAAAGGCTACGACACAGGTGAACCTGTCAACCGCCTCTCTCTTCCTGTTTTACCTGTCGGTGGGCAGAAGTAACTTAGCCAGGAAAGGTGGATGGATAAGTTTATCAAGATGGTGATAAAAATATCAAATGTGACTTAAATGTTTACAATTTGCAGAATAATAAAGAACAAATATACACTTGTAATGTTCTTTGAGGGTTTTGGGTCGTAATTAGCCTAATTAGCCTAGCCTAGCCTACCACTTTTGTAACCTATTAGCCTCGTGGTGTGTTTTAATGTGCTCTATGGATGGAATTATCTTTTTGCATCAGTTTGACTCCTAATTTTGACACATTTACCCTCAGACTTAACTTGATAGTGTTTTGTTTTATTACACAGAGGTGGGAGAGGGCGGTGGCCAGTTATCTAAGAGCGAGAGGCAGCGGATCGGCATCGCTCGAGCTCTGGTCCGACAGCCAAAGGTCCTGATTCTGGATGAAATAACGAGTTCTCTGGACACTGAGAGTGAAAATAAGGTACTCTAAATGTATTTTTAAGATATTTGTAAACATTAATGTTTCTCCATCTGTGCTAATCAGAGTGTAGAGTTCAGGGTAGTGAAGAAGTCTTTTAGTCTGTAAAATTAGAGTAAAAACTAGGCTTAAGAATCACCCACAGGCGCGCAGATAGGGTGGGGGATGGGGGGATCTGTCCCCCCCAGATTCAGATCGACCCCGATCCGTCCCCCGCACTAAGGCCAGAAAGAAAACAAAATCGGAGGTTAAGCGCTTGAAGCTCCTTTTTCCAATTACATTGAATGCAGCATGACGTAAACAAACACCGACTCCAGAGGCGCCAAAGTGGTTGCTGCTAGGATGCAGGATGAAGCAAAAAAGGCAAGCAACGATTACTGCGTATTTAAAAAAGACCAACAGTGTAAGTAGGCGGGACCGATCTGTCTGTTTATGCGTGTTGGTTCTAGTTTCACTACGTTGTTGTCAGTGTTGGGACTTACTCGTTATCAGTGCCAAAGCCTCAATTGCTGACTTTAACAAGTCTCATCTACAAATATGATCCTCATGAAGTTACTACTTTACACCAGAAGATAGTGGAGATGTGTAACCTTCAGGCTGAGCAAAGTTTGGGAGTTTTTAGAGTTTGAAAATCGCCTCCCGCCGCTGAGAGGCTCCCAGTCGGGGAGAGGAGGAGATGTGCGCAACATGAAGGGCGCAAATATTAGATAAAACATATAATTGCCGGCAGGTCTGGTCTTTGTTGACTGATCACTTTGTCTGGTAATGACCAACTCTGATTATGAAGCAGAATATTGACTCTGATGAAGAAATTCACTCATCCAGTCGGGAAGATTGACGCTGCTGCAGCATCAGACAGCTGGTGCTGCACGAGAGGTGTGTGGAGTTTACAAGCTCCAAACGTCGGGTTTGGTGTTGGTTTAGCCTTCTCTGGGACGTGATGGATGTAGAAATGATGGTAAAACACAGCAAACGTGACAGACGTAGCAACAATGTAAAAAAAAGCTGTAAAAAAGAGGCAGATGCTGATGCGTTATATATGGAAGTCAAGTGTGTCACATAATCATAAAAAGTAAACTATAAAACTTAAAAAGAGCTTTATATATTTATATATAAATTAAAACTTTCCAAATATAATGAAAATTTCTAAATTATGTAAAAATACGAAGGAACATCTGTTGGTCAGGCTGAAAAGTTTGGGAACCACTGCTCTAAGTGATGAGTGAATATTGATTTTTTAAAATAAATTTTATGTGCAGTTTTTTAGGGCTTTTATGTTTTCTGTAAAGATTGGTATGCTGAAAATCATTTAGTGTTTTGCATAAAGCATGAGGTTTTGGTTAGTAATTGATTGGGAGAATAACAAATGACTGACTTGGATAGTGTTGATCAGGCAGAGCTTTGTTGCATAAACACGTATATAAAAGTGTTAGTTTTGTTGTAAACCATTGGATGAAATTACACAAACTGACTGAGCTCTAGTTAAGGCTCTTACAATAGTTTGTGTATGTGTACGTGTGTACGTGTGTGTGTGTGTTTGGGGGAAGGTACACTGGAACTTTGTTTCCCCCCCCCCCCCCCCCCCAGCTTGAAAATCTTACCTGCGCCCCTGACCTAAAATGTCATAGTTGTAAAAAGTCTCTTTTTGTCCATTTTTAAATAAAACCATTATCAACAGAATATAAAATGTCTCATAAAACATTTATTTTAACTGGTTTTGCAAATATCCTTTATTAATGAATGAAAGTGTCATTTTGAGCTGCTGAACACTAAATGTTTTCATATTTGTTACTAACCTAGTTTTGCTTTTATTTGTATGAGAATTCATGAAATTATTTACATAAATGTTAACTCCACCATGTTTAAATGAATTCTGAGAATCAGTGAAAGAAACCAGGCGGACATAATAAAATGATCCTGATCCTGCAGATCCAGCAGGCCTTGGCCAGCTGCCTGGACCAGACTCTGCTGGTGATCGCTCACCGACTGAAGACCATCGAGAAGGCCAATCAGATCGTCGTGGTCGGGGGAGGCAGAGTGAAGGAGCGAGGAACCCACAAGGAGCTGATGGAGCTGAAGGGGAGCTACTATAAACTCAGGGAGGAGCTTTTCACTCAGACAGACTCACCCGTCGAGGCTTAAGAGAAGCATTCTGTGTTTCTGGTTTTTGTTAATAAAGTTTTGTATGAATAATAAAAGTTTATTTATTTTAAGGATCAAGTTACATTCCTGTCACTTTCTTCCTGTGTGATCATATTGTTCCATTTCAAAAATGTCTGAGTTCACTGAGCATTCATTTGTAATCAGAGGGGTCAAAGGTCATGGGTGGTGCATCTCAAATAAAACATTAACTAAAAGCTGAAACCTCTGACTGTTTCCTTTATACGGTAATGTTTTTAATATCTGGTTAATGATGAAGAAAATATTTGATCAACATCAGTTCAGATGAACTTAGATTTATTATTTTCTGTTTCAGTTTGGCAAAAAAAAAAAAAAAACTTAAATCGTGAATTTATTATAAGATGAAAACAATCAGATGTTTTTGTCCAGAACCTTTTTCATTGGCTGAGCTAACACATGGTTTTATATCCAATCGTCAGAGTTGAATGCGTTTATTCTAGTTCTGGTTTTAAGCATCAACATATATACGGTTTTAATATATAAATATAATATAAAATATAATTAATATAATATAATATATGGTTTTAAGCTGCCCTACTACCAAGGGCGCCCCCAAGGGGTGGCCATGGCCACCCCTAAAAAATTGCTGCCCCCCCCCAGGAAAAGCCAGTGTTCACAAATCATATTAATGTTCAGTCAAACCATATATTAATCTTGTTTGATCAAGACATGATTGTTAAACAAAATAAAAATATTACAATTAATGAGTAAAGAAAAAATCAGTATAAAAAAATACATATGTTTCTGCTGCTCACTATTTAAAAAAAGTTTTTATCTCCATGTGTTTTTGTGAACCCAGCAACAGGTGAATAAACTTAAAAAATGTTTTTTTTTTATTAAATTTGGGGTAAAATGTTCAATAACTGAAATGTATTTTTCTAAAATTTTTGTGTTTGTAAAATTTAACTTAAATGTTTTGGATACGGTGCAATGCAGTACATTGCCACAGGCTAAATACTCCCAGAGTTACCACAAGGACCAATTTTGTGTGCCACCCCAAAAATTTCTTTGGCCCCATCTGGCCACCCCTATCAAAATTGGCCACCCCTATCAAAATTTTCTGGAGGCGCCCCTGCCAACTACATTCTGATGCAGCAAATGAAAATGAAAGAAGCTTTTATGGGTCTGGTTTTTATTATAGCTCTATAATAAAAGCTGGAAAGTACTGGAGTATCAGCGTTGCTGTGGAGCATTGGTACCTCTAACAGAAACGCCTGCAGTGTTTCATCAAACCACGTCTCCCTCTCGACTAACAACGAGCTCAGCTTTGACATCTTTCGGCGCCATTTTGTAGCAAAATGCTAAACACCTTCAAAATGGAGGCTGGAACCGACTCTCTGATTTTAAAGTATTTTCTTCTCACACTGGTTTTATCATCTTCACCTGCACCTGAGAGGGTTAGGGGTAGATTTGGTGCAAGAATTTAAACAGCCTCACGAGTTATTTTCTGCATGATTACACAAATTAAACATGCTTTTAAATCTGTATTATGAAGCAATACTTTTATGTTTGCATCTTTATATTTTCCCCGTTTGGGTTGATTATTATTGGCTGTGCATGGGTTAAATCCTTCAACTCTCCTGGGTGCCCTAATAAAACGTTTTTCTGAATCATTTGGATTTCAGGCTCAGAGACTCCCAGCAAGGTCATGATCCACCTACTTGGCACAAAGTCAACGCCCTCACCAGCCGCCATCTCGGGCTGATGTTCTGACATGAATACAAAATGGCGGATCCTGCAAACAGGAAGCAGAAGAAATAAATAAAAGGGGTTCTAATGGGTTTCTGCTTAGCAACAGTTTAAAAACGAGACTCGGATGATTTTGTTGGTTGTCGTGGTGAACCTGTTAATAATAAATGTGTTTCTGAGGCTTTTTCTGAACCAGTTCTGCGCCACAGCCAGGCTGGAAAGCCCCGACTCTTTTCTTTCACTTTCTGTCTTCTTCTTGTTGTGTAATCAGAAGCAGCCGAACTCAGCCAAACCACAGACACACCTTAAGTCCTGTGATTGAATCCTGCATGGGTTTTTATAACCTTTTCATTTGTAGTGTTTGTTTGGGGAACATTCTGGATGCCGGTCACTGAGGAACCACTAAAACTTCCACTGGAGAAATAAGAAATGGAAACTTGAGAGTGTGCTGCTCTGCTTCTGTTGTTCGAAATCAGCTTTAGCTATTTTATCTTGTGATACTCATTTCTGAACCAAGAGAAGATAAACCTGAGCTTGTAGGTCAGTCTGGTGTGTGATCTGAGGTGTTTCCCTCAGGGTGGGGGTGTGAGGGGTCACTAGTGATGGCCTCGGTTCTCCTAAAGCAGCAGGATGTGGAGATGTCCTCCGGGGTGGACAGACGGCAGTTTCCTGTCCTCAGCTGTGGAGCCTGTGTACGTCACACCCAGACAGTGTGTGAACACACTCTCCACAGAGGAGTGGTAGAAGGCAGGAGCAGCTTCAGGTCCAGATAGGAACATCTCAACACAGGAAGTGAATCAGCTGCTGGGCCGTCTCAACCAGGAGTGATCTGCAGGGATGTGGATGCCCAGAAATCTGAAGGTGGTGACAGTTTCTGCTCGTTCTCCACTGATTGGGAGGTGTGTGGACCCTCCTGTGTTTACTGAAATCCGTTTTGAGTTCTTGGTCTTCTGGATGTTCTGGATCAGGTTGTTTCCTGAGCATCAGAACCACACATGTACCCGTCTCAGCCTCCTCATAGACTTGTCCACCCTCGGTGGTGTCATCTGCATTTTTAATGATGTATAATGAGGATTTACGAGGCACGCAGCAGGGAGCCCAGAACAGCCGTAAGGGTGACCGAGTGGAGAAGTGATGAGCGGTCAAGTCTCATACATGGGTTTTTGAACCAGATGCCGATGGTGGTGTGTCTATATGTCTGTGTGTGTGTGTGGGGGGGGGGGGGTCCCTATAGCTCCAGCTGTTTGGTGATGAATTTCTGTGATGATGAGCATCCTCTCTCAGCTCTTCCTGTTCTCCAGCCGGTGACTGGATGTTTTTTTTTATTTGCCCTAAATAAGGAAATAATTTCTCAACCATGATCTTGTTGTGCTGCTGTGAACATTTTAATTTCCACACAGCCCAGTGGTCTATAGGGGATTCACAGAAGGATGCTTTACCTGCTTTACCTGTGAGGAGTGGGGTGATGGCGTCCTCAGTGGACTGTGTGGGTCATGGGAGGCAGATGCTGATGAGCTGGGAAACAGACCGCTCCAGGCCCTCCCAGTCACAGACATCAGGCTGTATGTCTGCAGTCATGGGGATGTCTCTGGCAGTTTTGTTTGGGATGATGATGACGATGACGACGACGATGATGATGATGATGATGATGATGATGATGATGATGATGATGGAGGCCTTCAGGCATGGGGAACGTTTGTTAGAAAGAGGATCCCAGCCAGATCCTCGGCACATGCTTGGACCACCGCTCTGGGGACACGGTCAGGGCCGGAGGCTGTTCTGGGGTCCACCCCTCTCAGGTTTCTCTTCATCTCTGCTGCTAGAGAGAGAGAGAGAGAGAGAGAGAGAGAGGGTGGAGAGCTAGAAGCAGAGGGCAGAGGTGACTTCAGGTGTGTGGTTGTGACTGTGAACCAGATTTACAGTAGCTAACATGCTAGTGCTCTGGAAACCATCAAAGAGGACCTCTAAACCTGCTGAGTCGTCCTCTGAAGTGGATTAGACCATCTCTGGATGAATTTGCTTCTCTGCAACATAAAACTTGCTTCTCTCTAAATCGAAAGTAATGAAAGAACTGATGCAACAGAAACGACACCGATGCATCAGGGCTTCCACACCTCAGCTACTTTTCTTTGGTTTGTGTCTGAAACGCGAGGCTGAGCAGAAACGAAGACACGAGTCCAGCTTCATAATAAATAAATGACCCGAGTGGATTCTGGTAACCGGGGGGATTTTATTCAGGTGAAAGTGTCTCGCTGTGGGAATCATTAACTTCATATCAATCCTGTTGTGTTTCATAAGCAGGTAAACTCCCAGCATGCTTCTGTGAATCCCCTGAAGTCCCCTGGGGGGGGTGTTATAAAAGATTTACAGCAGCACAATAAGATCACGCTTGATAAACGATTTCCTTATTTGGGGCGAATAATAATATAAAAAAACATCCAAGCATCGTCTGAGGGAAGTTAGAGTGAAAACGAAGAAAACACAACCCTGTTCTGGTTTTCTAACAGAGCCACAGCGCCACCGTCGGCTCTGGTTGGCACGTTTAACAAAAGGTCATGTGATTTACTGGAAACTGAAGCAGAAAGGGGGAAAGTTAGGGGATCATCAAACCTCTCCGAGCGGAGTGGATTTGCTGCTCTTGGCTGACATCTAGTGAAACCATCACCGTGGAGAAGTGGTTTAGGACCACGCTGACATGTTTCGGTGGTTTGGAGATCAGAGGTTATGCGTACTGGAGCGCGATGCAGATACAGGAAGTCACCAGCATTCATGTGCACAGAAGTGGCAGAAGTATGAAAACCACAAGGCCACTTGGGTGTTCACCAAACCCACCGAAACCAACCTGAGCTGAACTCCTGCTGCTGCAATATTACCAGATGTTTGTTTGTCAGATTTAAACTTTTGCAGAAGCTAAATGCAAACTTTTTGTTTTGCTATTTTTATAAAACCGATGGTTGTGAGATTAAAGCAGGCGAACAACCCTGGCCTTTTTAAGTCTAAATCCTTTTTATTCAGGAAAGCTTTAAATCACAGTGATGGAAACTTTTATCTTCTCATCTGGCCTTCGCACCTGATTTGCATGTTCCTAATGTTTTCTTTAGATTTTTGTCTTTATGTGATCTGTTAAGCACTTTGGATGTAGTTGACTGCTTTAGAGGGCTACATGACCAATAAATGAATGAATGAATAACACCAGCAACATCCCACTGACTCACACTAAATCCTAAACCAGGTCAGGATGTCGGGGTTAAGGGATGTGAGGGATGATGTCACCTAGAACAGGAAATGAAACAGAACAGAGTTGTGATGAAGAGCACGAGGAAGACCAACAGCAGTCCAAGTGTTTGGTGTCATCACCACTCAGCCAGCCATCCACGTGATTTCCTGTAAACCTCCAGCTGGTGAATCTGCAGCTACTGAAGACGCGAATGAAAGACCACGAGTGCCCTCAGGTGGAGATAAACCATAACTGAAGCATGCACGAGCTGCG